ACTACTGCTGCTGCTCTTGCTACTGCTGCTGCTACTGCTGCTGCTACTGCTACTGCTGCTGCTGGTACTACTGCTGCTCTTGCTATTGCTGCTGCTGTTGCTACTGCTGTTGCTACTGCTGCTGCTGCTACTACTGCTGCTGCTCTTGCTACTGCTGCTGCTACTGCTGCTGCTACTGCTACTGCTGCTGCTGCTGCTACTGCTGCTGCTGGTACTACTGCTGCTCTTTCTATTGCTGCTGCTGTTGCTACTGCTGTTGCTACTGCTGCTGCTGCTACTACTGCTGCTGCTCTTGCTACTGCTGCTGCTACTGCTGCTGCTACTGCTGCTGCTGGTACTACTGCTGCTCTTGCTATTGCTGTTGCTACTGCTGTTGTTTCTGCTGTTGTTGCTGGTGCTGTTGTTGCTGCTACTGCTGCTGTTATTTCTGCTGCTTCTGGTGCTGCTGTTGCTGCTGCTTCTGCTGTTGCAACTGCGGCTGTTATTGCTGTTGCTGCTGCTTCTGCTGCTGTTGCTGTTGCAACTGCTGCTGATACTACTGCTGCTTCTGCTGTTGCCCAGCAACATACAGTATTTCATAGTTCAACTCTGGAGTCGGTTTGTGCGGCTGCATTTTTGCACTAGAGCTCTTTATACAAAGCCTTCAGAGCAGACAGATTTCCATAATATTCAGAGACAGATGCAGTTGTTAAGATGTAGATTAAACTGTGTAAATACAGATAGTGTGGAGAGCAGCACTTTTTTTGGAGGAATAACCTAACACCCTTTGAAGGAGACCCAAACATTCTGGGTTATCCCCGAGGCCTCCTCCTGGTGGGACAGAATACCTTCCGAGGGAAGTGTCCTGGAGGCATCCAAATGATGCCTCAGCCACCTCAACTGCCTCCTCTTTACTTGGAGTAGTAGCAGCTCCTCTTGAGGATCTTCACACTACCTCTACAGAGGAGACCCATTTTATTTGGTTGTATCTACAGTATGCTTGTTTCCTTTCAGCTTTTACATGGCCATTGGTGAAGGTGGGGACGGAGACCAGCCATAGACTGTCTATAGATGGACATTGCTGAGCCCTATAGCTCAATGAAGCTCATAGGGAAGTATTCCACTTAAGTTTGCAAGTCACACGAGAGGGGACAGACTAGCCCTGCTCCTGATTGGTGTTATTAACTATTAGCTATTAACTAAGTTTTTATACTTTTGACACATTCCAGCTCAAATAGCCAGTTTGAGCTCACTCTAATCGACCTCATACACTATGGTGACGTCAGCTCTCTGTCAGTTCTCTCCTAATATACAGTCTGTGTGATTGATCAGTAAATTTGGAGCTTTGCCTTTTGACTCAGCTCCTCGTCATCACATCAGTCTGATACAGCGGCCACATCACTGCACACGCTGCACCAATCGGTCAATCTCATGCTCCATCCTTCCCTCACGCATTGGAAGGAGTTCCATATTATATTGTATAGTTATTTTGTGCAATTTTTTTGTTAATTTCTTTTTTTTCAAAAGTCACCCTACAGAATCACAGACGCAGATATACGTACTGTACATAGTTTAAAAAGGGGTTGGAGCCATTAAACACAAGACAAAACTATACAGTTACGATACAGTATAAAAGTAACACAGGGCACGGTACTATACTATACAGCTGCTTTTCAGATTCATGCTGCTAAAATCTGGAACAGTCTTCCTGAAGATGTGTCCTCTCTGACAATGTTTAAAACCAGGTTAAAGACAGTTCTGTTTAGCTGTGCATACAACTGAGGGATTTTATATTGTTATCTTTCTTTTTAATGTTCTGTGATTATTTATGATTTTAATGCTTTCTTATTTTGTTCAGCACTTTGAATTGCCTTGTGTATGAATTGTGCTAATAAATAAACTTGCCTTGCCTTTCAGTGTATATCAGGGGTCTCCAACCTTTTCAAATCGGAGAGCTACTTTTTCTCAAAAGAAGAGGCAGAGAGCTGCTCCTTTTTGCAGTCGTAATCAAAATCAATCTAATAATTACGACAAAACATGGAGAACACTTGTAAAACATACCATAATACTGTATAACCCTATATTTATACTTATCATTCATATGTAGTGACTCACAATGTATTCATTCAAGATCATTTCTTAAATTCTAAATCCTTTGGCGAGCTACCTGAAAGGGGCTGGCGAGCTACTGGTATCTCTCGAGTCAGAGGTTAACCCTGCTCTATAGTAACACAGCACACATCACTCTCTTTCCTACACACATTTCTGCAGTAGTTTTCAAACAGGTTTTAAAGTGAATGATTTGAACATGTTTCTATTTCTCACGTTAGATTGTTCCAAACGCTTTCTCCATGCACTGAGATAGAAATGGGTTATAAATTAGTTCTAAATGGACACAACTGTAAGCTATTGTTTACTTTGTTCACTCATATGATGTTCAGGGTGCGCATAGCAGAGATCTACAGCAGAAACCACTTTATATCTGTAATTCTTATTTTAAAAATGATCTGTAATAATTATCTGTATTTTTTCTATGGTCAGACTCTGTTGTGACATATTTTTACTCCCACCATGAAGTCCTTTTGATTGCATACCATACAATATACATACAAAAATATAAAGTATGAGTATCTCTAAGCCAGGTTTGTCTTACAGGTCAAGAGAAAGATGGTTTTCATTGACAGTTTATCACAAAGAGGAAATAATTTTCTTCCGTGGTGATTTCTTTGCGTGTTTCCTTTACTGCATTTGTTCCGACAGCCGTTTTAAATCCGGCCTGACTCAAACTTAAGAAACTCACATGCAGTGACTGAGTTTGTACTGGCTGGAGGAGTGTCAAAACACGGCAACGCCATCATCACAGATACACGCTGTTCACTGTGAAGATAAACTCGCCTCATTATACCGGGAGTGGAGCAGCTCGAGATTCCACCGGTGAAGCATTCATTACTAAAGAACATGTTGATCATGCTCATTTTAAGCCTTATGCTCAGAGATTCCCTCCTTTGTCTTTCTCTCAGCTTGGCACTGATGCTGCTGAGTGGCCCTGCATGTTATTGCTCCACAAATCAGGCAACAAGCCCTATATTCCCCTCTTTTGCTGACTCCTCTTTTTATTTTGACTGCATGCAAGCTACACCTCTAGTAAAATGTGTGTAATTTTTTTTCCTCAATCACCCGTATTATTTCCAGCACATACATTGCGCAAGAGTTTTCTGTGTTAAGCCAGATGACCCATAGATTAACTGAGATGCATGCAAGGCCTCTGAAAGCACACAAGGATCAAGCAGACAGCAGATCTAATAAATAACCTTTGCCGCAGCTCGAGAAGTGATCCAGGCGCGGATTTCACAGTCACATAGTTACATAGACAGCATATAGGTGACATTTTAATGGCCTAAAGCTTCAGCTATCCGTGGTGAGCGGTTGATGAATGTACTTAGAGGTTGGTTTTATCCAGTAAACACCAGACATGCGCTGCAATATGTGAATATATGTGTTATTAAGTGACAGTGTTTTGTGTTAATCTATACTTCAGCGGCTGATCTCCTGTTAGCGCCACTCGGCCTGTATGAGAGATGTAGCTTTCTTAAAATTCAATGTGGTTTTTGTATATGCATATGCAAGAAAATAAGTCATCTGTATTTACGTAGCATATTTCACAGACCACGGTCACATAAAGCATATAGAGTTGTACCATTCATTTCTCTTCACTCCACATACGGCGACGAGAAAGGCGAGATTCAAAACACCTCGAGGCCCCAGACCACTACCATCGATACACACACTCATGGCATTCATAACTCTTGTAGTGGACACAGAGAGAACATGCAAACTCCACACAGAAATGTCTGGAGGTGGAATCGAACCCAGCACCTTTAAGTGCAAACCACTCCGCCCAAATATCCCAAAGGAAAGGAAACATCAAGATAATCAAGAACTTCTCCTGTTTGGAAATTAAAACCACTACAACATGCACAGCAAAAAGTGATAAGAAATTAAGTAAAACATTGCTAAATTGATCTTACTTTGAGCACTATTTGACTGCCTTAAACACGTTTTGTCAATGGGACTATCAAAAGTATCTTGTTTTACAAAATAAATGTATGGATGGATGGGATCTACTCAAATTAGGATAAAAACCATTTGATTCAATCGATTATTACCCCATATTTTATCAGTTTTTTCAGTTTGTACAATAGGTTATTTGGATGGTGATGTCGGAGGCTTTGATGTGCCTGTGTGTTTGGCGTTTTGCTTCTGTCGTCATCGTTCGTTGAGTGAATGGGAATTACCAGAAACCAAACTTGTAAAGCGCTTTGCGTGGCCTTGGTCCGTAAAATGCAGATTTTGAATAAAGATTACTTACTTACTTTTTTCTTCATATTTCTTTCCCATGGATCATTGGGTCTCTCATTGTAGCACTCAGTCCTCATGTAAAATGTAAAACTAACTCTTGTCTGAGAAATGGACAGTCCAGATTTATCAATATGACTCTGACATTGTTCAATATTCCATCCACTTGTTTTTGTGTCTGTTTCAAATAACAATGACAGGATTATAACGTAAGAGGAAAATACTGTATCTCCCCATCACTGAAATAGCATGTTGTGAATTTACTGATTTGTTTTCATATCAAAAACAACAGTAGCAAAACAAGGCCTGGAGGCAGAACAAGGCGGAACATGCTTAGGGAATTCACAAACTGGTCAATCTGTCTCTTCACACTTTTACAAGAATCTGGTTGTATTTTGTATCATCCTAAAATGGTGACAAATGATGACACATTGTTCTGTATAAAGAACCTTGAACCTTGAACCACATACGGGAAATTACTTCTAGACTATGGGAAAACTTTTTAAAGGTTCGTTTTGTAGTGATTTATGTTTGAAGAGATCTGTCCGTGCTTGATTCTAGTGAAGCGTGTGCATTTTTTGATCAGTAATTAACCAACGTGAGTCCATATCCTGGGGTTTATTCAAGGGTTTTAAAATGTGCATGTGCTTTGTTTGTGTCCTCAGCTGTCCCATTCCCCCTGAGCCACCGTCTTACCTTAAAGGAAGTGTTCGACTGTGAAGGGAAGCCGCGGGTGGACCTGCTCAAAGCCCATCTGACCAAAGAGGGTCGAGTGGAGGAGGCAGTGGCGCTGCGCATCATCAACGAAGGAGCAGCCATACTGCGCCAGGAGAAGACTATCCTGGACATCGAGGCGCCGGTCACAGGTAACATGGAGTTTGTCCTCCTGATACTGCCTTTTACTGATTACTTCTGCATATAAAGCATGTCCCAGGGCAAATCAATGATATGAGTTCAGTATATTTACTACTTTGAATTATAAAGCTGAAAAACAGGCTTAGAATGCCTCTAAAGATGACATCTCAAACTTCAATTATATACAAATAGGTATTTTTGAACACTTTTTATTACTAATTTATTAGGGTATTTTTCATATATAATATATTAAAAGCAGTCCCATATTGCAGTCAAAATGTTATTACGGGCAACTGTAGCCATGTTTTATTTTATTTTGTGGGTGTGTGCAGTAGAATGTACCAATCCAGATTTTTTGTGATCCGATCCGATTCCGATATTCTTAAATATTGTTTTGCCGATACCGATTCCGATCCAATTTTCAAGGCATTAAAGATTTTGCAACCAGTATTACTTTAAAATGTTTTTATTTTAATATAACATGGTCAAAAATATTGTTTGGCTTTTGGTTAACAGACCTGCTGAGTTAAGTCATAGGTAAGAATCACATCAGTATTGAATATTTCACCTGATATAAAAGAAATATCAAAGAGGAACATTTATCAAAAAGCTGCCCTTAACATTCAGTATAACAAAAAGAAAAGAGCTGGTACATAACTGAATGACCACAAAAAGCCAGAACTCAACCAGTGTGTGAACTCTGTAAATGTAAACTCCCCAATAATTAAAACAAATCCGATATTATCCGATCCTTACAAAATACCCATATCAGCCCCCGATACCGATACTGAATATCGGATCGTTACATCTCTAGTGTGTGTTGTGTGCGTGTGCGTGTGCGTGTGTGTGCGTGTGTGTGTGTGTGTGTGTGTGTGTGTGGGAAACAGAGGCAGTGCTCTGTCCTTGAGGTGAAAATATAAAATACTATAATGTATTCTACGTGTGTGTAATTACTGTTAACCCGTCAATAACCTCAGCGTTAATACATCCAGATATAGAATATGTTTGATATGTGCCTTGATAATAATAGTAATGCTAAAGTACTCTATTATTACCTTTGAGTAATTGAGAAATCAAACCATTTTTTACTTAAGAAAATATACTTAAATGGATATTAATTATATGTTCTATCAACGATTTGGTCAAAACAAATCAGTAGTTTCTGTGCATTTTAATCTTGATTGAAAATTACACACTACTTGTTGCCCTGACTCTGCAGACGACTCAATCTCATTAGAAATAAGCGCTACAATTATGTGAGTGTGCCATGGTGCCCTTTTCCAAGCTTTTAACCATATTTGAATGTTGTTCTCTCAATGTATGTCTTCACGTGTGTGTATTATCTGACTCAAATCAGTCTTATACAGCACAATTTCAGCAGGCCCCCCGTGTGCCCCCATGTGCCCCCTGTGTACCCCGCGTTCGTATCATTTCTGATCTGTGCTCCAAGTGTAGTATTAGCAGGTCTAATGTCAGAGTTTCATCTATGCAATTATAACATGTTATGTGGAAGTTTGATCTAAAGATATCAAGTACTCTCTTAACGACTCTCTGGTTTAAATGAATGAAAAAAATGGAAATGTACGACCACAACTGACCTATAATGAAGGGGTCCCTCGTTTATAAAAAAAAAAATACCCCGCAAAAAGTGATATTTGGTGGTGTGTTGTGAAGCCAACAATAATAAAACAGTTAAAGCAGCTAATGCTTTACGCGATCACATTACACCAATTCAGGCATTGTTGCACTGGCTTCCTGACCATTTTAGAATCAATTTTAAGATTCTATTGTTTGTTTTTAAAGATTTGAATGGACTGGCCCCTCCTTACATCTCTGACCTCATTCAAATTTACCACCCGCCCCGCGCTGAGGTCCGAGGGCCTAGGACGAGACTTAAAACCCGGGGGACAGGGCCTTCTCTGTGGCTGGACCAAAGCTGTGGAACGCTCTGCCCCCAATATTCAAACTGCTCCTTCTGTGGAGTGTTTTAAGTCTCGTGTTAAGACCCATTTTTATTCTCTGGCTTTTAACACTGCGTGAGTTAAGTAAGTAAGTAAGTGAGTAAGTAATCTTTATTTATATACCGCCTTTCACAGACCAGAGTCACAAAGCGGTTTACAATTGTTATTATTTTTGGGCATTTTTGCCCTCTCACTCCACACAGAGATGGGAGCAGGGTTGCCAGGAGGCGCATGCTAGACCTATTGTGCATGTTTTTAGTGGTAGGGGAAACCGGAGTACCCAGAGGAAACCTACGCGGACACGGGGAGAACATGCAAACTCCACTCAGAAAGGCCCTGGTCTGGCCGGGATTCGAACCCAGGACCTTCTTGCTGAGAGGCGAGAGTGCTATACACTCTGCCACCAGAGTGGATAGACTGGTCAGGGGGCCACTTCAGTTACAATTATTGTATGGTCCTTTTTTTTTCATTTTCACTTCATCTTTTTATTGTTGTTTTTATATTCATACATTATGCACAAACGGTTTTTCATATTTGATTTTTTATTATTTTACTGTTTTACTATGGATTTGTTTTATTTAGTATTTTATTGTGCAGCACTTTGGAAACTGTGTTTATGAAATGTGCTATATAGATAAAGTGGATTGGATTGGATTGTGATGCTTCAGATTTATATGGTGCTTTTTTGGACACTTGACGTGGCTATAATTCAATGGATCACTATCATTGTATCAGAATGAATGCATTAGAATGTTCTCACGTACATGCATTTGTCAAAAAGTATTAAATTGAAACAACCCATAAAGTTAAATGCAGTAATATTGTAACACATCATTTGTAGACTTTTTATCCTTTGCTTCTATAGTAATATGTAACCCTTTTTGAGTAACATTCCCGACACGGGTAAAACTGCCCACCAGAATGTGTATGTGTAGACAGTTACAATTACTGAAGGCGTAATAATAGGCTAACATGCTAATTCCGCTTTGTCCAGTGTCCGGAGTGATCAAGTCTTTCAAAGCTGTATCTGGACTTGCTTCATGAAAAACCCTGCGTATTGCATTGGTGTGGAGGTTTGTTGATCCCCGTAAAGCCGAGTTTAAATGTCTATGTTGCCCAGTATGCAAATTCATATATTATGGGGAATTTCTGCGCTGGAGAGTGGCTCCCTGCGTGGATGTGTTGTTGGCTGTGCGCGTGCGTGCGTGTGTGTTTGATTGCTTTAGTCACACTGTGTCTCCCACTCACATTGCTCTAAGCTTTGAGTGGGCGAAGGCCACTGTGGAGCTGATAGGGGAGAGAGGAGAGAGGAGAGAGGAGATGGAGGATGAGTAGGAGAGAAGGAGACACAGGAAGATGATAATGAAAAATTGAAGACAGTGAGGAAATGAGATGTAGGTTTGCACTCGCGAGCCAAACTGTTCACTGTGAAAAAGTCTGTGTTTCCCCGGGGCTTAAGCTCTTTGTGGGATTTCTCGATTTTGAGCAAAGGAAGCAGGCCTTTCAGCAAAGAAAATGAAGAAATCTTAGTGGCGTTGCCATATTAAGTTAAATCACACAGTGCGTCTTACAATGTAATTTAATTAGCTGGCTTGAACAAAGCCGCATAATGTTATTTTCTCTGCATACATAGCCATTCCTTCAGGAACATCACAAACCTAGCCCTCAATATTATAAAACAATTAAAAAGTTTACATCAATATTGGGGCCATTTATCTGGTCGATAGACTGGTCAAGGGGCCACTTCATCAAAAATATAACTTCTCTCACTTATTAGAAATATATTCTCTAAATCATGTCTAGTCTCTTAATCAACCTTGCAATGTATTTGTAGTGCTATGGGTTTTTTGAATGAATGAATGAATGAACTTATTTAAGTTATGTAAACATTCAGAATCAGCACATGACTCTTGTCTCTTAAGACAGGGAAAAAAGACCTCTGCTCTTTTTTCCATTTTAACTAAGAACATATACGCTTTAAATATGATGTGAAAGGTTCATCTCAGTAAATGTATGTATTGCATCCACATGAAACGTGACTGTGTGTGTGTGTGTGTGTGTGCGCGCGTGTGTGCGTGGTTGTTTCAGTATGCGGGGACATCCATGGGCAGTTCTTTGATCTCATGAAGCTGTTTGAAGTGGGAGGATCACCAGCCACAACACGGTACCTGTTTCTTGGGGACTATGTTGACCGCGGCTACTTCAGTATTGAGGTACAACATTACAGCCCACACAAAGACCATTTTATCTGTTATCAATCATGCAAAAATAACATTGTAATTCTCTTTCCCCACAGTGTGTTTTATACCTTTGGTCGCTGAAAATCCTCTATCCAAAGACACTATTTTTACTTCGTGGAAATCATGAATGTAGACATTTGACAGAATATTTTACCTTCAAACAAGAATGTGAGTACAATCTAAGTGACACTGTTCTTTTGGGTTTTTTTCTGTCATTTGTGGCACTGGGCTTTTTTTGTAGGTGTTATAAATAATGCATTTGTCTGTAGAGACGTAGTGCTCTTGATAACGCCCTGTGACAGCTCAAAAGAAGCTGTTTTAAAGTGAAGATGCTCAATTATGTGGAAATCACAATTACTATTAGACACTTAGATTGCATCATAATAGAAATGGACTAAATTTAACAAACAACAGCAAATAAGGAAATGGTTCTGACATAAAAAGAATGGAAATATTAATGCTATTCATCGGAAAATATGCCTGTGAAAACCTTGGGAGAGGAGAAACAAACTCCAAATAAACAAATGAAAGTATTGCATGGACCTTGTCTCCATAAAGAATGATGATGGTGAAACAAGATTCTTGATTTTGCATTGACCACAAGACGATAATTACTGTATACTATGTTTCACCCCTATTCAATTCAATTCAATTTATTCTTGTATAGCACTAAATCACAACAGTAGTTATCTCAGACGACTTTACACAACCGTTGAATTTGCCAACACAGATCAGAGATTTAAAACTGTTCAAACACAAGAAATAGAACAGAAAACACATTGGTTTTGGTCCATAAGGGGCAGATGACCAATGTCCATAAGTGTTGAAAAATGTCCCTATCCCTCGTCCATGCACACAACAAGAGACATTATACAATGGAGTAAAGGGGAGGAGCTACACTTGTGCTAAACAGTTTACAAACCCAGCCATAGATATAATTACTTTGGCCATATTCATGAACGATAACCCAATCACTCTATCTAATATTGTCGATTAAACTTGTTTTCTATTTTCAAATTATGACAATGCTGAGCCAATCTGGGGATCAAGAAATTACGGGAACTGATGCCTTTTTGCCAAGAAGAATGGGCAGATTTATTATCAGAGAGGATCCAGAACCTCTTCCATGGACTCCAAGCTGTTATAGATGTTAAAGAGGAAATACTGTACAGAAAACTGAGAACTGGAGGATGGAAACTTCTAATCAATAGCATTTGTAGATTCTGTGGTCCTTATGATTTGGAAATAGAAAACTTGTTTATTTGACAATACATGGTTTCACACAACCACTAACAATGAGTGAAAAATGTGGTGTTTTATCATTCATAATCACACTAAAAACAAAATATTAATGTTTCTGTCTAGTAACTTTCAAGCACAGAAGTCCTTACTGGAATTTCAATGTCAAACTGTCAAACGGACAAAAACTAAATTTGTATTAGCAACGACATGCTTTTTGATGTACACTAAAAGCCATTGTAGACAAACTTTGGATTTACATTTTGTTTACCTTATTGCAGTCAATGCTTGGAGTCAAAATTACAAAAGATATGCTTAACATTATAGATTCAAGATTCAAGAATTTATTTGCCATCTGCAGTAAAACCACATTGGAAAAACTGTGCAAGACTACCCCAGTGTGCACCAGACAGAGAAGACGGCACACACCAGAGCTCTTGCATTATATGACCTGCGTTTCTCTAATCATGATGCTAATAATGCTGTGTTTCTGTGTGCAGGTAAAATCAAATACTCCGAACAGGTGTACGACTCATGTATGGACTCGTTTGACTGCCTTCCTCTGGCTGCGCTCATGAACCAGCAGTTTCTCTGCGTCCATGGCGGGCTCTCACCGGAAATTCACACTTTAGATGATATTAAAAAAGTAGCGTATTTGAGAACGTTTCAGACTTCTGTTTCAGAGAATAGTGATGATAACGTCTTGTGTTGCAGTTGGATCGGTTTAAGGAGCCACCAGCTTTTGGGCCTATGTGCGATCTGTTGTGGTCTGACCCTCTGGAAGACTTTGGGAATGAGAAAACCCAGGAATTTTTCGGACACAACACAGTGCGAGGGTGCTCCTACTTCTACAGGTTGGTGATTGTCTTCTGGTCGGACTTTATTTGCCTCAATATAAACTGAAACCTAGAATGCATGTTGGTATGTGGCTGTGATTATAATTCCCACATACATTGCGTTCTCTTCCCCTGAACTGGGCTGAAAAAGAGAACTTTGTGATTTCAGGTGACCTCACTTTCAAATCGCTTTCAATCCTTTGAATATGATCGGATTTACACATGTTATACATTTTTGAAAAACCTTCATGTCCAAACAAATGCGGCCTGCTGTGTCATTTTATGTAGCCATCTGCCGCTAACACAAAGTTGCCATTGAGGTACTTTCACAGTGTCATCCAGCCAACTTCAGCTCCGCCAAGTCCTTTGAAATCAACATTTGTTTTATTTTGTGTCACAAAATTCCATGTATGGCACTAATGTAGCTGTAGTGTGAATCAATATGAACACATCATACCTCATATGAAGAACAGCTTATATCCAGTAAAAACAGTTTTACAATCCATGTTGTCAGCCCCTTGACAAGTCTGTTTAACTAAAGTGGCCCTCTTACTAAAATGTTTGGCTTAGAATCTACACTTTCAGAATCTGTGAGTAACTCATAATGTCTCTGGGTAGACTTCCTTGTTCGGCTGCAGCCGGTCACACATTGACTTGATTCTCCAGTTAAAGCTGGGGTACTACAACTCTTAAAACCGTTTTCTCTTACATCTTTGGATCAACTTTTTCAGACAGAAAAGTGTAGAGTAGAGATAACCAGACACATTCAGGGCTCTTCCTTACAAGTTTCCAAAGTGTTAATTATTTTCAAATTTTGAAAAGGGGAAGAAGGAACATGGTCTGATTTGTTCACACAATTTAAATCTATGTACCCTGGTGTTTGTGAATGGCAGAAGGTTCCTTGATGTTTCTTGAAGTGCTTTGCCTTGAAAAAGTAATAATGAATTGTTTATATATTTAGATACAGACAATCACAAAGGCATGTTGGATAGACACGTTACATGTGGAAAACATGCTGGATCTTTTTGTTTGGAGAAAGAATGGTCTTGACACTCATGAACACTCCACATGACAATATTCCTTCACACCATGTGCTGGTCCCCTCTGACCAGCACCAATCATTCGCGCTTACAGACTCATTCTAGGCAATGTGGATAAAGGATCTTAAGGACACAACAGCCGCAGCCACCCTACTGTGGCACCTGATGTCCCATAGGTCTCCCATCACAGCACAATGTACACACGAGATTTATAAATGTGACCATATACAGTCTGCCAAATGACCATTTGGCAATCACATGCAAGCTTATACAAATATTACATTATTTTAAAAAGGCTTTCTGCCTGCCCAATGCCTCTACTACAATCAGGGGGAAATTTTCAAATTACTGGTTGCTAACACAAACATCTGACTGTACTTGAGAAATTACCAAAACAAATTCATGGTAAATACTTTTGTTTGAAAGAAAAAAAATACCCGCAATACAGGGCTGACAATGGGGATCCTTGCTTGTGAACATATGTCTTCACCCTGAGTTGACATTCTACTGTGACTGTAAAAAAGTGCTGCTAACGTCTTTGCCGATACGGAAGTACCCACCACTTGTGCTTTTTCCAGTGGGGGCAGGTCCCGGCTTTAAAAGCTCCATGAGCATGTGCGCAGACACACTTGCAATACCACTCCGGGCTGGTGGGGGTGGACCCAGGTCAAGAATTACCCAATGCTTTTGTATGGCGTCTTCCAGATGAGTTTTAATTCTGAGGGTAGTATTATCCTCTGTGGACTTCAGAATGCACTTGTCAAAAAAATGGAGCTCATCCCAGCTAATGCATACGCAAATGCGTTTTTTCACATTTTCACATAGGCATGACTACAGTACGTCCGTTAATATTTCCTGTCTATGGTTTTTCCCCAACGCAGGGCAGTACAACAGATTGACTAAATTCATGCAGCTGAAATTTAGTGAACGTGCATCCATGCCTCCATGAACGCACATCCATGCATCGGTGGTGGGAACACAGCTTGAGGGAGTTACGTGTTTGTGCCAAAAGTTATGCAGCATGGATGGATCTAAAAACAAGGGGACATTATTTATTCACAGGTGTTTTTTCTGATTGATGAATGAACACAAATATGTGTTCTTCAATTGTTTTACTTCAGAATGTTGCTTCCACCTCACTCTGATAACATTGATACAAAAGGGGGATATCCGGTAGGGTCTAAACTCATCCTTCAATTGTGTTAAATGGTCCCCAAGAAGCCATCCTTTCTTCTCACAAGCCGAGAATTGGTGCTTAAAGAGGATTACTGAGAAGATGTGTGGAGGATGCTGCTGCTGCTGCTGTAAAAGTCATGGATCTCCCTGATGGCTTCATTCTATCTTCTGTTGCTTTAAATCTTGGACTGAAAATAAATCTCCTCACCATTATTAGTTGTTCTGCAGAGATATATATTATGGACTCAACACCAACTCCTCATTTTCTAAAATCTATTGATGCAGTTAAAATCGATCTGGCACCACTTTATTTTTGTGAGTTTCTCGATTCGCTTTGAGGTATTGCATGTGAGGTTGGATATAATTATTGGATTCCTTGCAGACTTCCTTGCGAGGTGTGAATACTGAAACACCTAGGATATGTCCTGAGAGAATGGGCCGGCTTGCTTGTGTGTGGGAGTCTGTGGAGGAGTCAATAGGTACGCGTTCTTTAACGGTGCTGCATATGATATAGGTGTGCTGAGGGAGACGCAAAGTTTCAAAGGAATTTAAATGATTGATATTGGAGCAACAACAAGTGATTGTGACTTGTGTTTGACGAGTGGCCGTCAGGAGAATTTAGGATGTATTCAAGAGGCCTGACTGTAATTTAAAACAGTTCTTGAATATAAAGTTGTTTAAAAGTCATTCTCTGGAAAGACTCGAGACAAATATTGCATCAGAATATATTTATTGTCAAGATTGCACGAATAGACACAAGCAGACGCATTGATTGGATACTAATATGTTCCTTGCATTTGAACATGAAATGTTTACTGAGCTTCGTGATTAGACCCCGGCAGGAATACTGCATGACATATGCAGGAGCGATATTCCACTGAAGAGGCGGTGATGGGGAGGAGGTGGGTTGCTGCTTAAACAGCAGCTTGAGCTGCAGAGAACTGAGAGGCTCTGTTTGAATACAGCCATGAAATGATGATGAGCACAGGTGTGTAATGGAAGATTTTGAAACACACATTCATCAACCAAATAATGGTACATACATCTTTTGAAACAGAAATGAGGAGCAATTTTTAGATTTTCAGATTCAGTCCAGTTAAAGTGAACCCAATAATATGAATAAATAGAAAGAGAAAAATATGTGAAGATGGTTATTCTTAGTCTCGTAAACCTTTTTTTCCAAAAAAAAAATATTATTCTGTCAATACGAACGATTTATGCTCTATTTAACCTTTCCTTGAGAATCTGCCACCTGTCTGTCACCAAGGGGACGATATTGCTTCGCCAAGAATAACTTGCCTGTAACTGAATAAATATTTCAGTTTATTTCAGGAGTTGGAACATCTTTAGTGTGACCGACTATATCAATAGCACACTTGTAATAATGTTGTTCATCCCAAAAGAAAGAGTGCTGTCCTCATCTTATTGGAAAACATCTCATTTTTTGCATACTTAAAATGTAAGAAAATCATTATTAAGAGTCACTATTTAATTTTTTTGAGCTGAGAGTTTATTGGCTGAGTGAGGGCAGTCCTCTCTTTTTTACTTTTGCATCTGAAAAAGCTGATCTGAAGATGTGACGACATAGGCCAGAAATACATGTATGTGAAATCTGTTTTACAGCAGGGAACTCTTTATATGTATTTTATGACATTGCTAAATTTCTCTGCGTTTTGAAAGCTAGCTACCCAAGCTTCATCATTGTTGACAGATTTCTTGCTCATTCTCACTGTCAGATTCACCAACACATAACAGAGTGTTTTCGCAGAGAGGAGGAGAGCGGGCCACAGTCCACCAACAGTAATCAATATCCTCTGCATGGTTTGGGCAGAAAATATATTTAGAGCTGTGCTAGTGCTGCACAATAGATCACAAATGTTTGCTATCAACACAATATGATCTCGTTTTTCTCAACAGTTGTTTTGTATTAATAGAGGTGTAGAAATGCACGAGGATTGTCTGTGATCAACTATTCAATGAGGAAAGTTTTTGATAAAGCCCACAATCCTTCAATCGTCTGTTGTGTGTTTGTCTGTTTGTTTATTGTGGATCTTCATTAGTGCCATCAAGCTTTGCTATTCTTCTTGGGCTCCAATAAGATGTGTAACAATGTATAGTAATAACTCTTAACCTTATCATTTTCAATCACAATACAATACACAGGTGTGGTCTTTTCATAGTCCAAAGAAGGTTCAATAACACTCATACATGTTTGCCTAGTTGCACTGCAGAACTTTCTAATAATAGGGCCTGTTGACATGGAGATGTTATTTATTTTCTTGGAATGTAACTCACTGTGATCAATCAACTTCATTTCATTACAGATGCTTCTCTATAATGTGATCCTTACATTGGGTCATCTCTCCTCTCTGCAGATATGTTTTTTTAATTTAAATTGGGATAATGCACATTCATTAACAGGTGTGCCATGTAGGTTCACCCACAACCCAAAAGCAGCTTCACATAAAAGACAGTAAATTACAAGGTGTAGTATAAAAATTGGACACTTTGCTCAGCTTAATGCTCAGCTAAATGATCTAGAGATATACAAAACATCACATTCGTCAGTGGTTAGTCCATGTTGTGCCTGTCTGATGACTTGTAACTGAGTCGAGTGAAGTCACTGATGGAAATGTTTGTTGTCATACTGTGCAACATTCCAGGCCAAACTACAAAATATAGATGGATTCAAGCAAAAAGCGGCCGCTCTACCATAAATTCACTAAATTCCATCACACTGTTGTAGTTCTACCACATGCACTGAGTAGAGTTTGTTGCACAAAAATGTCATTTTATAGAAAACTTATGAAGAAGAAAAAAGTTTGGGATGACAACCTTTGTGAGTGCTGCAGGTTTCCCATCAGCTGTTCTATGAGCTGTTCTTGTTAACATTGAGGTCTATGGGGGTGAGTTTAAGCTGCAGTGCTGTGGATGGCCCCTTGTCCATGATGGAGACAGGTTTCAGTTTGCAAATCCTTCCAGATAATACAATATATCAGTGACTACAACTTTTTTTCTTGATGCCCGGTTGTCCACTGTTTGCTCATGGGTTTATTGCTCTGTCATTCTGTGCGTGTTTGGCCCGCCCGTTCAAAATGCCCTCATGGCCGGCGTTTGTCTTGTCAGGCTAATGTTCCAGTGCTGTTTATGTTGATTTTAGTCATTCCCCTAAACCCTCATTGTGACCATTATTACTTCTTTATACTGTTGAGTGTTGTGCTTTGAATATGGGCGTCCCACATTGAGGCCGATGTCCATGCCCTGTCAGACATATTAGTGTGCACAACCCTATTTCTGTAGTTTATATTGTGGCCACTAGGGGAATCTCACTATCTCAGCCATGTGACCTACATACTGTTTAAGAAGATGGCACACTTACTTCAGGTGCAGAGGACACAGCAGTCTCCCTCCAGTCCCTTCAGTATCATGAGACTTTGAATATTTAAATAGACAGTGATGTGAAGGAGAGGGGCAGATAATACATCTCGATGGACAAATTGTGTAATAATCGGAACTGAACAGGACTTACCCAAGGCACTTGCATTCGTCCTAATATTGTTTGAACTTTTGTTTTATGTTTTATAGATTTAAACTGTGATTAATAGATTATTTGAATCCACAATAAAGTATTAAAGCTCTGTCCACACTGACTCACAAAGCTAAATAGTATGTAGTGTGTAATGGGGACAGAGCAAAAATGTGTTTTGTGAGGATTTAAAAAAAAACAATACACATAGTTCAAAGCTGCGGAATGACAATGCAAACTTCAAACAGCCAACCTTATTCTCCATCTGATTTGAACTCAGATGTGCTATCTATACTGTATGTTGTCACTGCATGAAATCTGCTAAGTCAAGTTAAATGTATCAATTCTTTATCTGCATTTTTGTCTGAAGCCTCAAAGACTTGTTTTGAATGTCTGTTTCAGGCTCTGAGTGACATAACACAACCTTGGAGGTATTATATAAGCCAAGTGTGAGAGCTGATAAATGTTCACACTTAACACTGCAGCTGGAAGTGCCTGCCTTTTATCAGTGTCCCTTCTCCGACCCAGCTTCACAGATTAGAAACTCAACATTATTTGGTTGATCAATACTACTCAAGTATGTACGGTTGAGAGTTGCAGGATTTTATCAGTCAAAACGTAATATAAACAAAGTACAAAGTAGTAGTGGTGCTCTTGAAGATGTTGGTTGGAGGTGCAGTCCTGTCACAATGGAAGTCATGTGGTCTTGTCATCTCTCTGTGGGACAGCTCATAGTCCATCTGGCCAGCAAATACATGGCCCACCCCAATGTGCGCTCTGAGGACAAGATAACCATGTTTTCAAACATTCACTCAAATCTGCATTGCCTTTGTTTGTTTTTGTATTAAAGCTATCAACCTATGTTGCTGTATAAATCTTGGATACTATTGAAAATATTCTCTGAGTTAGTAAGAAGATATGCGACCCACAGCATATCAATCATTCTACTTAAGAAAGTCTCACAGCATTCTTACAAATCTCTCTTTCAGACCTCAACTAATGCACAAAGTAATGAATACAAAATATTTCCTCTTTTAAAGCTGGGGTGTTTTATTTTATTTAATAAATAATACAATTGGTTTTCCTAACAGAAAGAGTCTTGTTCAAGTAAACGATTATGAACAAACCACAACATGCTGTATGTTATCATTCATATACTTAAATACTTGTAAACTATAAGAAAAAGCCCTGTAAGCCATCAATATATTCTGTGTCAGGCTGAGAGCTGATTGGCTGATCATGAGTGCTTTTTCACTTCTCTGTCTGAAAAAGCTGATCTAAAGATGTGACTGAAATGTTTTTATGTGTGAAACAATACATTTCGTTTTTAAACAAAATATTGTTTTTGTTGATAACAATATTTATCACATTGGTACATACATAGACTTTAACATTTGTCTCTGAGTTGCTCGCTGGACTCCTTTGGTTTGTGAGCTGCAGCAGAATGCTGTTGGGCTTTTCACCCACTTGCATCATCTGCACCAGGGCTTTCATCAATGCATTTATAACAATGAATCTTTATTGTTTCATTTGCTGCCGACTAAGTGAACACAAATGTGGAGAAAGTGATCTGTGTGTTTTAAATGTATTGCCCTTTTCCTTCTCTCCAGTTACCCAGCTGTGTGTGAGTTCCTACAGAGCAATAACCTATTATCAATTATTCGGGCCCATGAAGCGCAAGATGCAGGGTATGTCTTCTATTGTACTTTTGAACACAGTACTTTTATATACTTACATGATTTCCCCCTCCTGAAGGTATCGGATGTATCGAAAGAGTCAGACGACTGGGTTCCCGTCCCTTATCACCATCTTCTCTGCACCAAACTACCTGGATGTTTACAACAACAAAGGTACAGATTTGCCCTGGCTCCACTCACAGCCTAAAGAATGTGTGTTAATCGGATAGTGTTGGGAGTGTGCACCGGCCTGAATGCATTAGGGCGCCTCGTTTGTTTTTGTGGACATGTGTGTCTTGTTGCCATGGGGGAAGCGTGGGAGGGACTGTCGGCATCACTGACTCTCCATGTGGCCTTATCCCTCTTGATGTGACAGTGTCAGCCTCCTAGGCCTCGCCAGGGCCATCTAGTGGTGGATATCAGCTGGGTTTTTTAAACATGAATTCCTGTATATATGGTAGATTATTTATTGTACAGTGTTTTATAAGTGAAACCTGGTATTACATTGGGCTTTTATCTGGTTAATCTAAATGTAAATACAGTTTGTCATTGACCTTTCTTCTTTTGTTTGGAAACAATTGTGTGACTTCACTACATTACACGTTATGTTTGTGGACAGGCAAGTCGTCTCATTGTGGGAAAAAAAATAAAAATACATTATCAATAAGGTCAGTTACGCTACTGGATGACTTTTAAATAAAGTCATCCAGAGTTGAGCAAAGTGTGTTTTCAAAACAGCAGCATGATGGCAAGAGGCGGACCAAAGTTGAGGAATGCCCCTTTAACAGTTTCATCACAGTGGACATCTGTCTGGTGTAGTCTGCTGTATCTTTCAGGAGAGATCACACATCATCTTTACTTAAATGATAGTAATCCAGTGTTTGTTTGTATTTCACTATAGCTGCAGTTCTGAAGTATGAGAATAACGTGATGAACATTCGGCAGTTTAACTGCTCCCCACACCCGTACTGGCTGCCCAACTTCATGGACGTCTTCACCTGGTCTCTGCCCTTTGTGGGGGAGAAAGGTTTGTCCAGACTATCACTGTTAATGTGTCCTTGTGACTCAATGTGTCTAAAATGTGTTTTGTTTTTTGTTCAGTGACGGAGATGTTGGTGAATGTGCTGAGCATCTGCTCTGATGACGAGCTCATGATGAATGATGAAGATGAGATTTTTGATGGTCAGAAACTTTCCCTTCCACACAATAGTTCATTTACGTGGAATCCTATCACATATTCTTTTTTTTTCTATATGTCTAAGTTATTGCACCAGTGTTAAAACTGACCTGTGAGCCATATTTGTGTATGTTTTATTTTAGAATGTCCTTAAACAAACTTTGTACTTTGGCTTCACAGCAAACGTGTTTTCCTCTTTTCAAAACAAGTTACAATCATACCCACTTTACTTTTCTTTTTAGCCAATGCAGCTGCAGCGCGCAAAGAGGTTATCAAGAACAAGATACGTGCAATTGGCAAGATGGCTAAGATGTTCTCTGTCCTCAGGTATGCGATAAGCAAATACTGTGTGTATGCTTTCTACAATAACTTCACTTGGATCCTTATCATAACAATGTCATAACATAGTTTTGTCATAACAAGAAATGAAGCCTAAATACAGTTCAAGTATATAACACAAGAGTACTGCCTGTGCTGTTCGATGGCACTTATGTGATTATACAAAAGTCTGTGTGGATGTTGGGAGGAACTGTGTCCTGATGCTGTGTGTCCTGCAGAGAGGAGAGTGAGAACGTATTGACGCTTAAGGGCCTGACGCCCACTGGCATGCTGCCCAGTGGAGTCCTCTCAGGGGGCCGACAGACTCTGCAGAGTGGTGAGTCCCTCCCAGACCTCAGCTCCTACATATCAGCCTTGCTCCTGTCTGTCCAGTAATATTTCAAAGAGAACAAATACACTGTTTTTATGAGCAGTGTCGACCAAATAGCCAAACTACTTGTAGAATTATTTTTATTGTTAGATTATTAGAATGTACTTGGAATACATGACATAAGTTCACAGTTACATGTATAATCACCCTTACTGATTCTGAACTTTCACTAACATTTGTGGCTTATAAGTACATCTGTTGTGTACATCTGTTGTCTCTCCAGTTTCGTTTTCTGATACACAGTACAAACATAAGCGAATATTGCCACTTTGACCAGATCTTTTACTTTTACATATCTTCTGCCATACATATATATTTTTACTTTCCTACTTTACCCATAACCGCATGACTGACCTCTCCAGTCGTGTGCATGTTGGCTGCTATGACGTAGCATGTCAATAAAACAAAAGTTGATTTCTTCAGGGGTTTTTTTTTTTAATACAAACCCTGTAACAATTGTGCTGCCTTTACTTTTGAGTTTGGGGCTGCGTTTATTTCATTTGCATGGCTTTGTCAGGAGTAACATGCTCCCTCCCTCCCTCCAGCCACCATTGAGGCCATTGAAGCCATCGAGCCGAATGAGGAGGACGATGAAGGTAACTGTCCACCTCCAGAACTCATGCTTTGGCAACAACGGCCTCATACACTGCCGATTTTAATTGTAATTTATGTTATTGAGGAGTACTTACTGCATGCATTGCAGTCTGTTGTGACAGATTACAGCAGTGATTGCATGTAAGAAACATTTGCTCAAAGTTCTTGGAGTTTTCTATTATTTTGGTGATACGTTTGATCCTTGGTTATGATCTGTTATTTTTGCATATTAATCCTACTCATTACAATATTTCCATCAAATAGTTTAATAACTACAAGCAGTCTTTTTAATTTTGATCTGTTTAAAATGTAGGTATTTAAAGTGCTCTAATTTGACCTATTTTGGTAGAATGACACATGTTTGAAATGTAATTTTTTTTTTATTTTACACCGGTTAATTAAAAAAAAAAAAAAAAAGGGAAATTATATAGAAATGCATTGGAGTTCTTTAACTTATGACATCACACTATATCCTAAAGTTTGGCACAATTTATAACAGGTTTATTACATTTATGTGTCATTTATTCAACTAAATCATCATATTCTCGTTATTTATTTCGGAAAAATAATAATTTCTGGTTAAAATAAATTGGGAGAGTTAGGCCCAAATTGTTACAAGGTAAAATCTCTAGAATGATGTCATCACACACTCCCCGGAAGTAAAATCATACATTAAAAAAAACAGGGATAACAACATATAAAAAGGTCCTGTAGGCGTCTTCATGTTCTTGCACACAAAAGTAAATATATTTGCCGAGGTTTTGTCCAAGAATGGTATATCTTTCCTAGTATTTATTCAGAATTAGTAGTTTCCAGTTTCTCTCTGCATTAGTTTAACGTGAATTTAAAGTGGAATAACTGGAAGAGCTCTGTGTGCCATCAAAGCACACTCATAATAAATAAAACACTAAGAAGTCAAGTGCTGCTTAGAGAGACATGATTAAAGTGCTTCATTGTTCTGGATCTGGCGCACAAATGGCCCCCATCTGGTTCTGCACTGCACTGCACTGCACAGGAACAAGCAACAAAACAGCATCCGCATCAAATATGCACCAGTGAGCTTCCCTTCCCCTGATCTGCCCAAGTTCATAATCGCCAACTTGGATCCCACTGTGATGCAGCATTATCACTGAAATAGCTAACCCCATTGTGAATGTTTTCTCAAAGGTAAACATTTGCTTTGTGAAAATATCTCTACAAAGATCTGTTGGCTGCAAAATGTCACCATATGTGTTTCTTGGATATTGCAGAAACAAGGGGATTAAATGGGAATTGCATGTACATCTTTGGTGATCTGATGTATTTTTAGTTTCCCTGGGAGAGTGAGAACTGCTGTAGGACAGAAAGCTAAACTGTTGGGGAAAAGAGGATGTAGGGCAGTGCTTTTGCATCAGGGAAACATGATTTTTAAATGTGTTTATAGTATAGCATACCACAACTTTAGGCTGCTACGACAACATGCATTTATGATGAGGTACCACTTTATGCACATGACCTGCTCACTGCTGGATACAGGCTGAATCTACTGCGCTGAGGAGGTGATTTATTCATATGACAATTGTATTCTGTTATTAAGGCCATTGTCAACATGTGTTTCCAATGCATTTGTTATTCTACAAGGTCAAAACATCGATTCAGTGGACTTTATAATGGATTTTTGACATTTGAATCATATTAAGGTCAGCGTAAAGAGATATTGTGTCGGGAGGCTTTTGGAAACACCCTGCCCTAGTTTGAGGCTAATTGGGCCGAATAAGTATGATCATAAACTCAATATTGAAGCTTTTATCACCGTAACCGTAACCAGATATTTGTGACTTTTCCTTTCTGTTTAAATTACTTTGTACACCTACCTTTGCTGCACAGTTTTCTTGATACAGGATCAGTTCCTCGACCATCACTATGAATTAAATGAAAATACTGCCAGTGTTCAGAGTTGGCAAAGGTTCTACTCTTAGGAAGTAAAGTATAAGGAATAAGGATACAATGGTTAATGGTAAGAGTAAAAGTATTGACTAAAAGTACCAGCTTGTATATGACGGTTTAAAGTGAAATGTATTTTTTGTTTAATAAATAACTGACAATATGTGTATTTGAGACATTTTAAGCATTGCTTTGAAACACCTTAACAGCGTTATACTATTGTAGAAAAATTTCATACTGACAGAAAATATGACAATAAATCCAGATTAACTTAAGCCATATGATTATTCTAACCACAATATAAATTCACTTAGAAGCAAATTAAAGTACCGTACTGAAGTTAAAAAAAATGATTTTTTCCTCTTTACCACAAGTTTGAACAGACCACGGACAAGCGTAGCAGTTTGTATTGTTAATAAATGTGATAGGAAGTTGACGATTGATTTGATAACTTAAAAATTTGGTTGAAAATGGACAACCCCCCCTTATAGTACCTGTACCATGGGCATAACTTGTGGTTGTGTTTGCTCTCCAGCGATCCGCGGCTTTTCTCCTCAGCACAAGATCAGAAGTTTTGAGGAGGCTAAAGGCTTGGATCGTATCAATGAGCGCATGCCGCCGCGTAGAGATGGGGTGAACCACGTGGGCCACTCCATGGGCAAGATGAACATGTCCGAGGCCAACGGGACGGATGACAACAGCAACATCCAGTGATTTTGCCGCTTGAGCCTTGGGACCATGCTGCTGCTGCCCCTTGTGCCGCAACACTTTGCCAAAATGGGAAATTCAGGCCTCCCGATATAGAAATCTAACAGGCCCACAGAAAGACAAATGAAATCCTGCAGCTAATCTTAAAGGGTGTTTAAAAGGTCATTTTTTTCTTGACATTGTGTCTTTGCACAGTTTTGGGATAAAAATGGGGAATGAGGAGTGGACAGCCGGCTGCAGCTTGGCTCAAGTTGTCTCTGCCTGTTCAATTATGGACTAATTTTTGAAGAAAGTTGTGCATTTTTTGATTGCTGGCAAAAATATCGGCTCCTTTTACCTGAGAGAAGATTTAATTGCAGTATCCATGACACATTTTACTATTTTCTAAGGTGTTTATGAAGACTCACATATAAATTCACGTTATGAGGAATATGCGCTTGTTTACTGACATGTTTTGCTAGTATTACCAGGTTACACATGCAAAAAGAATGAACGCAAAAAATATGCTTAAAAAAGTACCTCTTTAAACTTGCAATTTTACCTGCTGTGGACTTTACTAACTGATCTGAGGTAAGATGCAATCCTGTAAAGGACAAATAATATTCAGGCTGTTCAGAATTGCATTTTGAGTTTTATAGTTCATAGAGAGTGGTGTATTTCTCCAGTTCTAGTGCTCGTTTTCTTTCTGGGCGTCAGTCATCTCTTAGCGAGTAACACTTGGAGGGGATGAGGAGCCACACTAAAGCCAGGGAGCGACTGAGCATAAGGGGAAATATTATCTTTGAACAATCATTTACAATCATAGAAATGTCCCTTAAAACAGCTCGGAATACTTCAATATCCAACTCATTTATTTTGTGACATTGATTTAGCACTTGACAAAGCTATACCTCACACTAACAATCATGACATCCGCCTGAATGCTCGAAAACCTTTTGTAATAAACAGACGCAGAATGAGTGCCACATAGCTTACCTGCTGTCACTTATCCTAGTATTGCTCACTTGCTTGTTGGAGAAATATTAACTTTTCAGTCACTATGAGGCACACAAGCACCCTTTGAGTTTTGGTACATTTTGCTATGCTGCAAACTCCATGTAATTTCATACATAGACTTGCATCAATATGAAAAGGAAATTCTATACATTTGGAAATACAAAGTCATTAAATGCAGTATATATAACGCTACAAATTCAAAAATATATATTGAATAATCAGACTATTTGTATCACTTTTTCACTAAACTAAATGGCAACTGGTTGTAAATTGAAAATAATTATTTCAGGGAAAAAACAGACCCAATGGAATTTAAAAGACATTTCTAGAATTTCCTTTCTAACATCTTACATACATAACTATTTTTTCTACTCCATCTTTCATCTTTCTATTTAACCCTAATGGTACGTGGCTTAAGGATGGACGGATACAGTTATTTTTAACACAGCATCTACTGTATGGTATGGAACGCATCAATGCATGCAATTAAGTTCCTAATTGTTATGTGAGATTATAATTGTGATAGTTGTGTTTCAAATAGTAAACTTGAAATTTTCTTTTGGAAAAATATTTGTAGTTTGATTTGTCTTGTTTTATATATTATTTTTTTTCAATAAATAGGCTTCCTTTTATTGTTCTTGTCAAAATTTAATTTGGATTCTGTTGTTTATTACGACTGCTAATTTTTTTTTATTAATTTGTTGTCATGCAGAGGTGCCCTTTCTTTCTGTTGTACTGAAAATGTACAGAAAATGTTATATAGTGCGAATGAATATAATCTCAGTGAAAAGCAACTTTCAGGCTGCCAAAGCATGATAGCATGGTTTTCATGGTTTTCAGATGTAATTGAATTGGACACAGTGGAAATCATGTGTCACACATTAAACAGGAAACATTGTACTCTGATTCTATTTACTGCTGATATGATTATTGTTACAATTAAGCTTATGGTTAATTATTTTTTTGTTTCTGGTTCTTGTATGGTCTACGTGCATATTTCAACAAACTCATATAATGGACTTTATCTTGCAACATTTTTTATTATCTCTGGAAATACAGTATGTTTTGGCATTTGACTTCCTAAATGATACACACATTGTAAGCATGCCCTATGGGACAAATCACATTTTTTACTCTTGAATAAAATATGCATGAACATACACTGTACTGTGATTTACTGTCTCATCATACGATATGAGGACCTTTATTCATCCCAATGTGGTGTAACACAGTCTATATTTAGAGAAGAACTCAAATATTTCTTCCTAAAAATATGCCTTGATGCAGGGGATCCCAGTGTTTTCAGGCTGGGACCCCAAAATAAGCAGAAGACCAAAATGTGACCTACACTGATTAAAAACATATAGAAATAATAATGTTTTTTATGTTGCTTATTTGAGTCATTTGGTGTGTTTTTCAATGTAACATTACTTCAAAAATGTATCCCAAAGATTTTAGAATTATAATGTTGGAATTGTAAACAAATACTCTGTCATATTCTTGTGACCTCCAGCTAATGTCCTGTAATGCCCACTTTGAGGGATACAGCATATGGATATACAGAATAAATAGCAGATAATTACTTGCATACTGTGGTGGAGCAGTCTGTCCCTGAAGGTGCTCTCCACAGCAAAGTGTCCTTCAGGGTGTCACAGTCATGGTCCAGCAAAAATGTTAGTTTGTCCACATCCTTGCTGTACCTCACCTGCTGCACTGTGTCCAGTGTACAGCCCAGGACAGAGTTGGACTTGATAAGCAGCAACTCAAGACTCCTAGAGCCTAGAGCCTCCTAGAGCCAGCTCTGGCCCTTATTGAAGAGAGCGTCTGTGTTGACCAGTCCAGTTTGGGGTTCAGATGAACCCCCAGGTTAAAGTCCACTCTCTCTATGTCCTTGTCCTACGCCTTGATGTTATCTGGGCTGGAGCAGAGTGGCATCTGGGGAATGCTATCCTTGGTCTTCTCCATATTCAAGTGACACCAGTCCACAAAATTACTGTGTTGATGTCCTCAGTGACTCCGATGAGCTATCAGTATGGATCTATTATATTAACGGTTATCAGAAACAAAATTGTTGATGAGAAAATCAAGTAATCAGCATTTAATGAATAATGGCATGTGAAGTGTCTGTGAAAAAGTGCTATAAACAGATACAGTGTTTATTGTAATTTTTATTATTGTTAATATTAATACATATATTTTGGAGAATGATTTGAGCGGATGTGACGTCCCCAGTGGGATCGACGAATCCGCCTCTTGGTTTACATTCGGTAACGGGGGATTTTAATTCAGACAAAATACTGTAATATAACAATGAAACTGTCTGTTCGTCGCTCGTTAACTTCAACATGAATACTTTTAAATTACTCTTGCAGTCTGACGATCCATGTGCATGTTGTTTCTTAGCACAAGGAGCTAATACCTGGCGCACAGGCTGTTAGCTTGTTAGCTTGTTAGCCGCAGCGACATATGATACGGACAGAGATTTCACTGATATAAATAGACGCGCCACTTGCAAAATCCACAGTTGACTCGCAAAAATGGACAAAGAAGACGCGGACAGGCTGGTAGAACAGGCCAAGCAGTGTTTACGGTCCGGGCGGAAGGAGAGAGCGCTGCAGCTGCTGAATGAAGCCCAGAGCATTTTCCCCAGCACCAGGGCCAGAGGTAAATATAGCCGTGCTAAAATGTCCACTTACAGACACTATATACATGTGCAACGAAGCAGTTATGTGCATCTTTGCTAGATCAGTGAGGTATACTATAAATAAAATGTAATGGGTTTCAGTATGATGGAGAAATGTGGCTTTGTGATAAAGGACATTTTGTTTTATTTGAATTTAAGTTGTATATGTTTGCAGACACACTGTCAACATGTAGAAATCATGTACATAGAAAACATTAATGCTGATTATTATTGATTTCTTAATTGCTTTTTGTTGTGCCAATCCTCCATGATCACCTCATGTTGCAATATGATGCACAACCCTATAAGAATCTGTATACAATACTGCTGAACATTACAGTTCTTACTGTTACACAGCCTACTCACAACATGTGAGAATGTTTTGGGTCGCTCTGGTTTGTCAGCTGAAATCCTTCACTCATTAAAACATATTTTCTATGAATAATGGTTAAAGATACTGGTTAACGTTAAAATGAGAACGGGTACTACTAGATTTATTTCAACATTTTCATAAATCATTGATCCGTGTTGTAAATGTATTTAATCAGCTTTCAATTAATAGAAGTGGTTAAATTGTGTTCCTTTTTTAAAGACTTCTTTATTTTGTTCTTGCAGTACTTATTGAGGCCATTCTCAGAAACGGAGGCTCTCGTAATACAGAGTCGAACCATGTACCTCCACCGTCAGGCTGGAGAGACGAGGACTTTGGAAATAATGACACAACAAACGCCACTAAAACGAATCATGCCCATAGTGATGAAAAGCATAGCTACACCGAGGATCAACGACAGTCTGTTCTCAGGTTTGTACCTTTTCATGCTGAATTGCTAACATACAATAACCCACAGCCCTCTCAAGGTTATCTCTCATCTCTTTTGTTCACAATTACAGGATAAAGAATTGTAAAGACTTCTATGAGATCCTTGGTGTTCCCAAAGATGCAAGCGATGAAGATCTGAAGAAAGCATATAGAAAGCTTGCATTAAAATTTCACCCTGATAAAAACTGTGCTCCTGGGGCAACAGATGCATTCAAAGGTATTGGTCTTGTTGCGAGTAACACCGGCACATACTGACATTTCAAACAGACCGAAAAGAGTACACAGATAGAAGATAGGTTCGTGTAGCTATTAGCTCCCACAAATGTACATAAGATACATTAGAGTCACGATCAGTTAACAGATATTAGGGATAGGCTAGCTTTATGTGCATCAAAATACCAAGATTTTAGATAGTACAATAGAGAGCACAGTACAAAACCAAGTTGGAGTTGTACAGTATATTTGACTTGAGCTGTTAAAAGTGGGTTATAAAAGTTGTAGAATGCATTGTAGTCTCTTGGTATTTTTGATTCTTGAAATTTTTTGTTTGCCATGTTTAAACCTGGGATAACCAACTTTGAATAAAAAACGAAAAACTATTTAATGTAATCCATGTAACTAGTTCCTCAATCTAAAAAAATTATTTAAAAAATTCAAATGCATGCTTTTTGGCCACTTTTTCAGACCACTCATTCAGCCAATCAGGACACAGATGATCAAATAGTGACTCACGGGGCTCTTTCTTACAAGTATGCAAATGACCAAATGTTTTCAAACGACGATGTTGTGGTCTCATTTATTCACATAATTTTAATTTGAAAAGACTCTTTCTGTGGGGACAAATACATGTGTTTTTTATTAGAAAGAGAAAAGTTAGGTGCCTCAGCTTGAAGCAAATATGTTGACCTGTTCATTCCTGCGTCTACAGCAATAGGTAATGCATATGCCGTGTTGAGTAACCCAGAGAAGAGGCAGCAGTACGATCAGTATGGAGACCAGTCCAGCGCCCCGGCTCCGCAGCACTCCACACAAGCCCATCCCCGACACTACCGCAACTTCCACCGAGACTTCGAGCCCGACATCTCCCCTGAGGAGCTCTTCAACATATTCTTTGGAGGACGGTTCCCCACAGGTATGAACACACGCAATAGAAAAACAAATCCTACCAAATAAATGATGTATTTTTTTTAATGTATTATCACATTTTTGACTGGGACAGAAGTACATTGTGCCCTTGTTTTGTTCCTTCGTGGTACAGGAAACATTCACGTGTACACTAACCAGGGCGCCTCCTACGCTCAGTTCTATCAGCCGCGCCGTCGACGAGCGTATGAGAGGCGTGAGGAGGTGGTGGAGGAAAACCAAAGTCAGGTCGGTACCTCACAGCCTCCGATGATGCTACACAAATAAGACTTATCTCCACGCAGATGTCATTCTCTCCATCCAGCAAATTGTTTACCGTACTGTGCAACATCTCAGGCAAATAGATTACAATTTTTACGAGACGACAACCTTAAAACGTGGCGACTTTTGAATTATATGTTGTGATTTAATTTGCAAACGTTAAATCAGTTAAATGTATTTGTCAATTTGAATACATTTATTTATGAAACAAGTACCATATTTTTTTGCACTAATATGCACAATACATAAAAGCCTTTAATTTCAACCATGTGCATTATAATCCGGTGCATCATTATATTTGAAAATAAAGGCATAATTTGATAATGTGCCTTATAGTGCGAAAATTACGATAATATTTTTTACGCGGGACATTAATACATAACAATCAGCATTTCCACGGTTAGTAATTTATACTCGTTATTTAGTCATTTTCTTTTCTAGAATAATATAGGTCTTTTTCTATTTCCGATATATATTTAACTTGTACTTTTAAGAGACATGAATATGCAGCTTGCCCTGTAGTTCTGTAACCTGATCTGTTCTCGTCTGCTGCTGATTTGATCACAGAACACCTTCACCGCTCTGCTCCAGCTTCTCCCTGTGCTCGTCCTAATCCTCATATCAGTGTTTACTCAGATGATGGCCACTAACCCGCCCTACAGCCTCTTCTATAAACCGTAAGTCTGTTGCATAACTAGCCCACATGTGGTTATTGACAGCTCTGTTTTATTGTGTTTTTTTGGACTGGTGTCATTTGTTTCCAGAGCTTTGGGGCTGGTAGTGTCCAGAGAGACGCAGCACATGGGAGTACCCTATTATGTAGAGAAAAGTTTTGAGAAGGAGTACCGCGGAGAAGCGCTAGACGAGCTGGAGAAAACGATAGAAAGTGACTATATTGAGCATCTTCAGAGCAGCTGCTGGAAGGAGAAACAGCAAAGTAAGGCTAATTAAGAGACTTGTGTCAACACCGAACTGACATAACATTACATTAGGGTTGCATCGTTTTGACAAAATAGTTACACATTTCGTACCATGTGCATAGACTTCTAACATATAATGAAAAATAACAAAAAGTTTCATGATTAAAAAGTGAGGCGCCGTCGCTCCCAGTTTATTAATCCACCTATACTATGGTCAAAACACTCATAACTTAATTAAAAACGTCTAGATTTATCTTCTACACTTTTTGAGCCAACAGGAAACAAAAGATCCCTAACAGTTGTCATGATCAAATTGCAGACTCTCAGGAAAAGCAAAGTATGTCTCTATTTTACCAAACAATACATCTTTCAAATGTAAAATTCTGCTTTAAAAGTAACTTTAAATTGCCCCTAATGCTATGTGTTCCTATGGTAACGATGAAACCCAATAGGGAAGGGTTCATGGACGTTTTGCTCCAAATTGCTCTGGCTCCTTATATTGAAAAGTAAACTCCTCGTAACAGTTTGTGTCACACTCAGATGCGGGCAGAGGCCTTCATTCACGGGGGGTGTAGTGCACATTTTGACAGCTTCAGAGTAAATTACTAATGAAAAAGATTATATGCTTCTGCCTGACAAGATGAAAGATATTTCTTCAAAACTCCAAAATATACTCCACTCCATATAAATGTTTCCAAATTCATGTATTTTTTGCTTATCTTTATTCTTCAAAATAACTTAAAATATTTTCAATTTGCTAATTGCGACCACCAAAATTGCTATTTTGATTTGATTGTGATTATTAAATGCTTCCCTAGTCCCTGTGTGACTGGAAGAAGACTATTGCACTACTAGAGCATTGACATGTATGGATTTGTTGTGTGTGGTGGCTTCTCAACTGTACATTTATTTTATCTTTTGTCCCTTTCTCTGCAGAGTCAGACTTGGCAAATCTCGGACAACTATACAGAGATGAGCGGTTAAAGCAGAAGGCTGAATCGATGAGGCTGGACAACTGCGATAAACTGCATCGACTTGTGCAGCGACAAAGAGGCTAATAGGAACTGTTTGAAGGAAAAAAACATTTTTTCAAACAACAGTAGTTTTTTCAATTTGGCTACTTTTTGGAGAAGTGTGATGTGTGCTGCTGCGGAGGCAATGCCACTCAAAACAATGTGCCTTCTCTTGAATGGTAGGAAATAGTGATCGCATGTGAGCAGCACTGATGACGGAATCTGCAGGTTTGGCGTCTTATGGCGGTATGGAGTAAAAAGGCAGTGATGTAGTAGTGGAGACCCGACACTTGCACAGTGTTTGGTTTGGATCTGGTGCTTGAAGACTGTTTGGTTGGCACAGGATTTTAGGATTTTTGCTTTCTACGCAATCAGGCAGGTTCTGTCTTTGCCTATGTTTTTGGATGTTGAATTTTTTTCTTGAGAATGTTACTTTAGGGCTGCACGATTTTGGCAAAACATCTAATTGCAATTCCTCTGACAAACAGCAATTGCGATGCGGTTCTTGACATACATTTAAAAAGTTGACTTTTGTTTAAAGTCCAGTTATCAGGCAACATTACATTTACATGACATGAAGTGATAGCCGCACATTTTCAGAAATAACAATGGCTTAACTGCAGGAACTACAGTCCCCTCTTGGCAATAGAACTATTATTTTTCTTTGTCAAGGTTTGTTTTTTTTCTTTCTTTTCAAAGGACCTCAAATGGTTTTGCTAATTCCGATCGCTAAAATCATGGCTCGAGTTTCTGTAGTAAGAAATGTCTGTGTATACTGACCAACTAAAGGTACATATTTCTATTCATAAGGAAGAAATCCAATTATAAACACTGCTTCGACCGTTACTTACCTGCTGACTGTTCTCTGTCAGGTATTTCTTTTAGCATATGATCTTCCATGTTTAATATTCCATTTATAATCCATTGTACAAAAACAGGACAAATGTTTGTACAACAGAAGCCTCCACAGTCTAAGACGCTGTACTTAGTCCTTCTTGCATTTTGGTAGCAGATCTAATTTTATAAGAATATATTTGAAAGTGTAATAGAAATTAAGAACACATTGATTTTGTTCGGCCACAGTTTTACCAGACAGTATTGATTTCAGTTTTGTGTTTTCCATGTAACCTCTTCTGCCATCTTCTTTGAAAGTTCTCAACACCATGACTCTGTTAAGCACTTTAGGGAAAACATGTTTAAATGTAAGTTATGTTTTATTTATTTATTGCATGCAGAATAGTCAAATGTCATATTTTATGTGTCTTTTTTTGTTCTCAAACCTCACATAATGAATAAAGTAATAGTGAAACTGTGAAATAAAATCAAAGCAAAAATGGCCAACACTCAAAAATAATTAAACCTATTCACGCGATTTGACTACTGGTCTTTGTTCTAAGATGAGGTATTGCAAATAACAGTCCACTTTCATGATTGTTGGTTACGTTTATTAAAATTGAGAATACTGATTAGTACATACTGTCATATTGAACACTGAAAATAAATATTTTCAAGCACTTGACATTCACTGATAGGTTATTTACAACATAAACAGTGATATATTTTACGTGTTACCACAGTGTAAATAGGCAGATACATGTACTATTATCATTGGTGCTTTCACATGAAATAAGTATAGTGAGTTCTTTGGCCTCTTGACTCTTTAAACATAACGTTAAAATTAACCTTTGAGGCGCTGTAAATTAATTCATAGCTCTGTTAAAGATTTAGTATTTAAATGCCCCTAAATAATATTGGTTTAAACGATTAGTAAGCCCTGTCAGTGGATGCACATGTACAGTCCATCCATTGATTTTAGAGTGCAAATATATGTATGTTAAAACGCCATCCATGCAGCACTATTATGAAACTGTCAGGATTCATTTCTTCATCTTGAGGTCAGCTTCCATGGCACAGCGACGCCCCCTAGTGCCTCCATCCTGAAAAACAAAAAAACGTGTTTGTTATTTGTTCCGCTCTAAAAAATGTCAGGAGCTGAAATTTGCAGTTTTCAATGTCGGGTTTCATTCTCACTAATCCTTTTTGAATTAATGATATCTGTTCGTATACCCTCGATTTATTTAACGGAAGTATGGCTCGGAAAAAAAATAATACTGTTTTATTAGAAACAGCACCACCTAAAGTTATATTTGTGACCCCTCAATATTTTAAAAGGTTGTAGAGCGAAATAATAGATTAAAGACGCAGTACTTACAAAAAGAGAGAGAAGAAAGGCAGGAGAAGACATGGAGACAGAGTCCTACCACAGAAACATGGAGTTAGACTGGATGTGAAATTCTAGAATTTTTTGCTTGTTTTGCATAAATTTCCTATCCTCGTCCAGTTCACACAAACAAAACAAACCGTGAAATCCAAAACATCTTGTGAATATTCACAGAAACTTTTCATCTTACATTTGAAATAAAGTATGTTCTTCCAAATAATATTTTTTTGCAGACTAACTATGGTCCTTTTTTCCCAATGCTTTTGGTTTGAAAGCAGTGACTGAAACCTCTTTTATTTGTACCACTGAACCATATCAACTTTCATTGAAAACTGGAGAAAGGTTCTTTGGCCAAGTTTTGTAAAAGATCCTTGTTTGTACAAACGGGTGCTTTGCAGAGGGCCTCAAGTCATAGTTTATCCCTCCCCATTCCTCTGTGGATTTGTCAAACCTCCAAAACTCTAGTGAAACACCTTGTCTGTGGAGTCTTGTCTGCGCGTGCTCTCGCGGCCCCTCAGGCTCTTGGCGCTGATGCCCGACTCGCTGGTCTCCATGATCAGCTGAGTGGCCAGAAACTGCTGCACCTGCTCCAGGACGTCCCGCTGCATCTCCAGGGCCATGTGGTACACGTCGTGGTCCAGGCTGTTGTACATGACAGCGTTTTGGAACATCAGCATAATGTCTCGCTGGAACTCCGCTGTGGTCCGGATCAAACCGGTCTCAATGTTCTTTTTAATGGTGGCGAGATCCATGGGCCTTAAACCATGCGACATACAATACACACTATTAATACGCTATCAAGAGAAATGTATAAGGAGTAGCGCCATTTCTACCTGTGCACGATACTGTGGTATCCGGGTGCTATTTCATCTGTAACTGGCTGCAGGAAAACATTGGCGTACCTAGTATATAAACAACCATTCATTTGAATTAAAACATGTTTTTTATGGATCACAGGGATGAAATGTGATTAAACTGACCTGTGATTGGCTGCTGCACGCCACACTAACATAATGGCTTTCTTCCAAATTTTGTGCGCTTGTAAAGCCTCCTGATCCTCACTGCACATAGAACTGCAACAATATGAAACAGAATCATTGGGTAAAACTTTCATGACAACGTATTGACTAGTCACACACATTTTTATAATCTGTTAAAAATACAGACAAAACATTATGACCATCAATAAATAAAGATTACGATATGTATATTCATCCATTCATAAAACATTTTGTTTTAGTGTGAGAAATGCCACATGAGGTTTGACTCGTCTCATCCCTGTGAGTTGCTAAAAGCTCTCTTGAGTTTTATTAAATTGGGTATAAAACAAAATATGTCTAGGTTCAAGCACCAGAAACATTGCATTTTCTAGCAATGGAAGTTCAACAGTTGAATTTTCTCCACTGCTGTTTTGTAAATATTAAAATTCACAGCCCTCACAAATGACAATAACATCCTTATATTAAATCCCAAAGAACTTATATACAGTTTAGCTCCATTACTGGTAGTCATAATGTCAAGACTGATTGGTTAACAAGGCAAACACTTCAAACATTTTTACATTTGCCTGTTTCGAGGGCGAGGCTTTTCACTCACAACTGAGAGGAGGCAGGGCTACTGGGGGTGGAGTCTGCGGTTGTGTTCAGGTGGAGAGAGGAGGAGGCTGTGAGGCTGTAGCCATCTTCACTCTCACTGGCCACAGGTTCAAGCTCCATATCACCTTCAAGCTCTGACAGAAACGCATCATCCTCCTCCACTTTGACTTCTTCAGGCCCAGTGCTCTCACAGTCGGCCAGTGCTGAGTCAGAGCCTGGTTCATCATTTACTTTTGTACTCTGCAGAAGATGCAAATGAAAATAAAAATATTAAATAAACATGGAACAGGTGGAGCTATTCTTTACAGTCATGTTTTCACTATGCCTATTGAGGTCTATACCTTGAGACTCCTTTCAGCTTCTAAAAAAGAGTCTGCTAGAAAATAAAGTAAATATAAATTAGATAAAAGTATGTATTTATTGGATTTATCTTTCAGAATGATTTACCCACCGCCGTGACCTTTGTCGACTCGATGTTGTGTCCACTTTTCACCCTCACATTTGATGGTTATTTTTGTTGATATTCGATTGACCTGCTGCACATCATCAGATTTTCTCCCTGGCTCAGAATGAGGAAGTGCTCTAGGAGGGAAAGACTCTAGAGCCGAGTTACATGATGACGCAGATGTTGGGGATACGCCTTTCACTCCCCTGGGTAAAGCTCCCAGACAGTTTTCTTGACTATTGCAAAACGAAGTGTGTTCAGCAGAAGGTCTTCTATGAGCTGGGAACACCTCAGCCTTTGCTCCTGGGCAGCTCTGATGAGACGCACACTGTGGACCTCCCCCAACCACTGTAGGGGGCGCTGTTGGAACACTGTCCTGATGCTGGAAAGGCCCTGAGGCCCAGGCAGCTCCTAGAGTGTGCCCGCTCTCTTCACACAGGGACAGAGCAGCTTCCACTGCTGCTGCGTCCAGAGCCTCTGCGCTCTCGTCCGCCTGTAAGTCAAACAGAACAACTGACAGAGACATTCTTCTGATGTTCTGTAAACATGTCCAGGAAACAGCACCTTGTCCTCAATAATAGCAATGATATCTCCCACTGTCTTCAAATCCAGTTCATCCCCAATGTAAGCGGCATTCACATCCTCCTCACTCAGATCGGACACTTTCACGTCAGGAGAGACCCTTCTGCAGCCAGAGCCCATTGTGTGGGCCGCATGGTTCTCTGCACACAGTACTATGATGAGTTTAACATGACTAAATGATTACATGATACATTATTCACTCATTATGAAGTGTATGTATGCATGGCCAGACCTGCACATCCTTGAGCATTTGTGTCCTCTGTAACAGAAGTCGAAGCTGCAGTGTCTCCGCTGGCCATAAAACTTAATTGGGCCGAAAATGAAGTGGACCCAACCTCCAGTAAACGAGACAGCATCGGCGCACCTGCCATGTAACATACATCACTGCATGTCACAGTTCAGCTGTTACCACAATATTAGTGTGCATTGTTTGGTAAGCGTGTGTACCTGGGACCTGAGGCACCGAAAGACCAGGAGGTGTTCCTGCATCTACGATGTGAAGAGCAGAAAGCTCCCCATCTCCAATCTTCAAAATAAACATGCATATTGTTTTAATAAATATTGTATCTTGTATCTCATACAATGTTCAGTGAAGATTCCAATGTAAACTAATATTGATGAATACTGTTTAAATGTTGAATTTCAGGTTCCATATCACTCCGCTCATCACCATAGCAACACAACAACAACGCCCAAATTGTTAGCTTACTGTTTGTATTATTATGTTACTTTAAAGGTCAATTATACTGTAAGGTGTTGATTAAATGTTGCTAAATATTACAATATGAATTGTTTTTTTTAAATTCACAAGTTAAATGGAATACATTACTTTTTCTTCATTTTGGTCAGAACAACATTGCTAAGGAGCATAATGCTGGCTGATAAAGTAGTCCCTTTACTCAAACATGTTTTTTGAGAGTGAAAAGGACTACTTTAACCTAACTACCTAATTATGAGTGAGCGAGAGTATTGACCTTGGTAAATGTGGATTAAACAACTCATTGTGCGGCTGTATAATTTAAACACACAGGTAAAAACACAATGGATAGTATGTGATACAATAGCAGTTAAAGAACGTATTCTAATGTAACTACCAGTCTTGCGTTTGTAGGTAAGATGCTGCCTTTCTTTAAGAGCTCAGACAGAAGAGGAGACGGTGGAGGTGTGGCTTTCTGAATCAAAAGTTTTTTTTGTGCCTCATCCAGGAGTGAAATATGGCAGCCTTCATCTGCACCAAGTCCAGAGCAGCCCAGTGAGATCAGCTGAGCAGATCCCAACGTCTGTGAGGAGAGAAGCACACCTTTCATTATGTAAAAACAACACAATATACAGCGCTTATGAAAATTGTACTGCACTTGTTTGAACGTACACTTTTTGTAGGAGTCAATTCCGAAGTGAGACTTTCGAGGGAGTCCCCAGGAGAAAACTCATGATTTGGGGATCCACAGCCTATAGGTGAATTTATCGTGATCCCAGAGATACGCTTCGGAGCTAACTTTAATGCCAGTCTGGCTGAAAAAGAAAATATTTCTATTGTTAGTCTTTGCAAAACTATTTGTAGATAGCCTACTAATAGTTTTTATTTAGACCATTCAATTCAATCCATTCAATAAACTTTTTTGTAATACAGTCAGATTTTAACTGCTATAAAAGTATGTATTTATTTGTAGCTATTTTTTTAATTATAATTTGTGTGTGCAGTTTTCTTTTGTTTCATTTTACCATAGGTTTACAACTTCTGGGATGTTAAAGCTTTAAAGTCATTTTGTTTTGGCATAATGTATTTTCATTATTATAGCTGTACATTTCTGAGAATTAGATGTATTATACATTTTAAATATCAAAGTACCCTGGTAAGCTGAATCAGTGGTCTTTCTTTTTAGCTCAGCCGCCTCATCTTCCTCTTTTTTCTTCCTAGAAAGAGTATAAACTGGCTCAAATACATGGAAACACTCAATACACATAATAATAATATATTTTAGTTTTGTGAGAGTTCTTACTGTTGGATTTCTTGCCACAAATCTTCTACTTTTGAGTCAAGATGGCCCGCCTTAATAAGCTCAGCCTCTCTTTTCAGCCTCCTACAAAAGCAGATCATGAAACCATTTGATTATATTATATATAAACATAAGATTGTTTTGTTTTACCTGTGCTTCTCCTGAGTGTCTTTAATAAGCTTTTTGAGCTCGTCAATCCTCTCTGCTGTCAGTTTGCGCACAATCAAATCCTCTACCGTCTCCACTACCTCTCCTTTTTCCCCTCGTTTCCTCCTACCATGAAAGATGCAGTTACGTTAAACCCTATAGTTCATTCATAAAAGGAAAAGCAAGCACACTTACTTTGGTGCTTCTGTGTTTTCTAGAAGCTCTGAATATTTGGATGCACAATGCTGAAAATGACAGAAATCACATGATGCAAAAAGCAAAATATTGCATTGTCAAAAATATTGTATATTTTACCTTTTGTGAAAACCAGTCAGGTGGTCTTCCGGGTTCAGAAAATGGTTTGATTGCACGACTGACAGAAACCCTGCAAGAAGATCAAAGAAGAATACAAAGCAATTTGTATCTTTTGTTGCAAGATCATTTCTAAACAGCATTGCCACAAGTTTCCCCAAAAAATATCACTGACACATACTGTTTAGGCTGTCATAAAATGCAGCCATATTATACAGATAAAAAGAACACACAACAAGTGGATACAAAATGTCAAACAATAGTAAAAATAACAGTTTATATAGTACTAAGAGACACAAGAGAGAACAGAAATTACCAAAACATGTCACGTACCAATTCTGATCTCCACTTTTCATCACAGAAGTCGCCAAGCAAAGCTTTTCTCTCACCGACCATGGCTCAGTTGGTCCGATGACAATTAACTTGTGTTCTGCAGAAAGAATAAAAAAAATGAATCTGAAATGTACTACAAGCAACTATTGTATATATAAAATATGACGAGCTTTAAAAAGTTATCCCTTGGCTTTGACAAAAGATACCAAAGCCACATCGTATACATAGGGCGGGTTCTGGTTCACTCAAGCTGGTACTAGGGCAGAAATGCTTTATTTTTAAATAAAGATGTTGAAGTGGACAAGACCAACAAGTGTGAACGCGCCCGCAGTCTCACAGATTCATTACTCATACTTCTTACTTTTCTAAAATAACAGGATAAATCTAGAACAAAGACATTTCACCATATTTTTGTTACTGTTAATATATTAATATTTAAATAAATGGGTGGAGCCTTTGTGGAGGTGAAGCCCTGAAGTGTTGGCCTCTGATGACTCATTTAGACTAACTATAAGTGGTAACAATCTAAGTCTGCGTTATAAAGGATTGTATAGCTGGGGGCTGGGGGTTGGGCCTAATAGACAGTAGAATGACCAACTGTTGGGTACTTAATGATTAAGGAAAATTAAAATGAGATTTAGAGGCCTGCAATAACGCAATTAAAAAGCTCTTGGAAATAATATTTATTTATTTTGTGCAAATTTCTTTTGCTCAAGTGTGAGTTTGGATTTCAAACTGGTCCTGACACCTCCCAGAATGCTTGTTTTGACAGGAAATAAGAGGGGTCATACATCTTAAACTCATTCATATTTCAGGACAAATAGGTAAATAAATAAATGAGAGAGTACACTGTAAACGTTCAAGAGCAGGTACATAGGAGTCATAAGGTGTGTATAGGCCTACTATGACTCGGACCTACCCACTTCCACATTAGCACTCATGAGGCTTCCTCACACAAGTGGCTGTAACACTCGGAGGTTAAAGTGGCCCCGAATGCACTGGCTTTTTTCAAATCTTTTTAGTCTCGGGATAAACAAATTGAATTGAAGACGTGTGTTTTAAGATAGAAATGAAGAGTTCTATTGCCAGAGGAGTGTGTTTGCGCTGCAGCCGGGTCAGCAGTGTACTGTAGGGGTGTGTTTGGAGGCCGCTGTCACAGGTCAGACGTGTGTCTGTTACTGATGACCAGTAAACAAAGCCCACACAGTGTGATGCCCTCAGACCATAGACCTCAGACACAGCTTCACGGAGGAGGCAGCCATGCAGGAAGTTGGTAACATTACAACACAGCGATGTACTGCTAATAGCGGATAGCATGCATGACTCATGTGCGCCCTGCGGATCCTCTGATACTTACTTCCAATACCACCGGCCATCGTGCTGTCATCCAGAAGTCGTGCACATGTTGGAGATCGCGGAGCCGCCGAGCCGCCGCGGACTGGGTCCTCTCAATGGGGGGCAGTGGACTGGAGCACGGACAGAGCACGTCCTTTACTCTCACTGGGTTAAGCTGCTGGTCATTTCAGGATTAGTGCTGCCTCACCCTGCCCGAAATGTTGCTTTTGTGGGGAAATGTCGTCTCATAGCGTGTTGGTGCGTAGTTATAGCTCTGTCATAAGAGCTCAAGCCAGAGCTGACAGCCCCAGCGGCAGCGTCTCTGTGCTCTACACGCCCACCACCACCACCACTCTCACAATGGTACCACCCCACTGCTGAGCTGCACGCTGGAGCCTGCTTTATGGACATTTACATGCCATTTACTCTAACTGCATGGCTGCTAATTACTCGTATTACAATGTTGCAACGTTTACGTTTGAGAAGAGTGGACAGAAATGAAGAGTGGGTGGATCAGCAACACCTCCTGCTTCTTCAGTGAAGATGCCATGAGAAGCCTTATCCCAAATCCCATTGGGAGAACTGAATCATTTGGTTGCAAAAATCTGCAATTTATAGAAGTATTCTGCCACAAAATGATTGCCTTTTTTTTAACAAACATCCAATTCAACAATGCTGCCACAAATGTATAGAAAGGGAACACACTCAAAGTATTTACCTTGTAACCTCTAGGCCTTAATCAATTGCCTATAGCCAAGTCCATTTCCTCTCAATTCACAAACAAAAACAAACCATTGCAAAGAAGCCTTTACTTTTGTTTGTAGAATTCTGTTTGAAAGTGAACATTGTTGTTCGGTTTAGTCCTGATGGAGGAAGATGGGTTGTTTCCTAAGAAAATGCAAAAAAGCATTGTCAATCATCTCACAGACATGCAAATCATGATGGATTCTTAGCAATTGCTTTAAATGTACTCCTGAGAAAGCCATGTTATGTACAATCATCACAATTAGAAAATATAGAAATTAGAAAAAATATTCTGATTCTGATATATCAAAACCCTAAAAATGTGGATTTCCACTCACCTTAAATCGTGAGAACAAATTTCATTGAATAATTCTAAATGTGTTGTTGTTTTTTATTTCTTTATCATTTGCTATATCATAAACATAATTCACAATACCTCTACTACCTCTTGTGTTGCATTGAGTTGTGGGTGGAGGAGGTGGAGGACATGGAGGGGGTCTGGGGTTCCACCGTTTAGCATTGATTTGCTGGTTTCCCTCCATTATTATTCCTTTCTCCTCCCTACTCCCTGGGAATAGAGTTTTTCCTCTAAAATCATTGCAATTTTCATACAAAGGCGGCAATTTCAGGTGATTTGGAGTTGCTGGGGGTAGTTTAAAGGAAGCAGACGTGATGCTCCTCATGTTCTCCAGCAGCGGAGGTAAATGTCCTTTTCTGTCTCTTGAGGCCGTCTCTGGGTGTTTCCTGCAGTGCCAGGGCAAAGGCACAATCTCCTCATATATAATGACACTTTGAGAATCCTGCAAAGTAGCACATAGTATTCATCAGCTGACTGTGGCTCTGCTCAGGATAATCTGGTTTAGCTTTTATCAAAACACAAAAGTGATTGGCATGTATTTTGGAAACGCACTTCCAATATCCTAAAGACACCATAGCTTCCAACGGTGAAGCGATAGAATATAAAGATGCAACTTACATTATCAACATTCTTCAGCAACAAGCCTTTGTCCTGTTCATTTATCATCTCAAAAAATTCTATGTGTTTGCTTTTGTATCTAATAATGTATTGCACTACAAGGGTTTTTCCTTATGGGAGGTTTGAATGTTTGTTTTGTTTTAATTTGATCATTGTTTTGTTTTGATTCACATGCAAAAAATGCACATGTTTGATTACCGTAATTACCGCACTTCCCTTTTCAAGTTTGAGTTCAACTTAAAACTCTGCGGCCTGTGCAGCAATGCGGGCGGCCGGTGTATGTTTTGCACTTTACCTGCTGCTGTTGACTCACCAGGAGAGGTGACAAGACCATGATGAGATTAAATGTTTCTGATAGAGTTAAGAGACACCAATTCCCCAATACATGAATATATTAATATATTTGGTCTGCTTTCTTGTTTATTATGAATTTTGAAATTCATTTTGTAAGACTTATAGATTAGTCTTCCTAATCTATAATTTATTTTAGGGCTCCACAAATACTTTAAAACCTAACGATGATAATTACTATTATCTTTATTCCAAAGTATTAGACGAAATAGTAGCAGTAGTAGTCTTTATTTAGAATTGACACTCGTCACCATAAAGAGTCATTTTAAAGGCAGATTAAACACCAATGATGTTCTAAGGTCTTGTTGTCAATACCATTTTTACTCAAACCTGTTGTTTATTTAATGTTAACATGGTTAGGTAGGCCCTACATAGTGCCGTGCATTATAAACAGTGGGTAGAACAAAATGAGATATTTGAAGAACTTAAATAACTCTAACTTTAATATGTACTCTTTTAAACATTTGTTTCGCTCTTTAAAGCCTAAATGTTATTGTCATACATACACGCGTTAACTTCTCTATGGTTCTCAGACTAATGTTATTGACTTGGTCCTTTGAGTGAGACCATTACGCACAGATGAATGCTAATGATGCACCTGACATTTCACTACCAAACTGCACTTTACCTCCTGCTGCTGTTGACGCACCAGGAGAGGTGACAAGACCATGAAGAGAGGAAATGCTTCTGATAGAGACACCAATTACCCAATACATGAATTACAAGATGTATTACATATTTCGTCTGTATTCTTGTTTATTATGAATATTGTGGGAAACAGAAAGTGGGTTAGGGCTCTATATCTTGCTCATGGGACCTGTCCACAAGCATAAGCCTATTATTGCAACTTACAATACATATTTATGTAAGTTGCTCACAACATTGTAGTTAGATTCATAGATGTTTCATTCTAATGCTGTATGAAATAAGCCTAGATAATTTCTATATCAAACAGATTCCTAATGAGTACTTGTGGTTAATAACATGTAACTGTGCCCAACCCTAACCCATTAGAAATTGACAATGTTTTATTTCTAATACAACACAACATTGAAGATTTATTATATTTATTACTCTGTTACTATTAGAAACCATATAATTGTACCATGGTTTAAATGTTTATATGTTTAGACGTGTGGTAAGTAATCAGAAAAAGCGACAGCGGGAGAGGGCCACATGTTGAGCAGTGGAGGCTGAACCTCATTATGTGAAGGTGGGAATCTGCTGAAGACCCGGTGGCTCCACCTCATCCCTGCAGTCACCGCCACGCTCTGTAACTGTAACGTGGACCACGGCCATAACAACATCCAGAGTTAGCCAGCGCCTGGTAAGTTTATTTGTTGTTGGGTTTTTTGTTTGTTTTTTATTTTTATTTTTTTATGTTGAATTTATTATTGTTTGAATAAGAAGGTAATAACCCTGTGCTTTGGACGTGGACATATTTTAGTGCATTGCTTTGCTTTACTTACAGCCGTATGCAAAATAAGTTAATTTTGTGTACTTATTGTTTTAAAAGTCACCCACTTTACTTCTGACTGACTTCAATTGAACAGTCGATAATAAACGTATTGAAAAGTAAGGTGATAAGTACTGACTAGTAAGTGTGAATGTAGGGATAAGTGTATTTACACTCCGCAGTTGTGGATGGTCCCCTGTGGAGGGCCCCTCCTTTGTCTCAGCACTCTTCTGAGACCAGCCAGCGCCACTTGCAGCTGAGACCCAGGGAGCACAATTAAGGCAAACTGAAACAGACTAGACACCATGTGATCTATGGGCAATGGCCTCAACACAAAAATCTCCTTCTTAATATTTTTCTTTGAGTGAGTCGTTTAACACACTTCCTATTCTCCAATACAACTGCATTGTCCACAATGAATTATGGGCGCCCAATAGACAACCAGCAGGTTTACCAAAAAATCAACTGCTCCACTCTACAACTGTCCAATTTCAGTCTTATTTTGGACCTCTCACTGAACACTGTCACTCTCACTCCTCTCACTGAACACTGCTTATTCCAAAAGAGTATGGCACAACTGCAAACCTACCAAGACATGGACATGGAGGAAATGTTGTAAACAGATGAGACCAAAATGGAAATTTTTGGTTTATGAAAAACACTAAGCTGGGAAAATCTGTCCATCACTCACACCTTCCCCACTGTCAAACATCATGCCCCACATCATGCAATGGGCCTGCGAGTGTCAAGCTGTGGCAAGTTAATGAGAAGGTGGATGGAGCAAAATGTCACCCCCTGCAGGACACTCACACTTCTTATCTTAAAATAAAGGACAGTCAGTCTGCAAAACACTTGATGCTAGGGTGGAGGTGGTATACCATCAATATCTACCATCAATACCTAAACATGCAGGTGGTGAGCCCCCTCCTGTGGGCTCACCACCTGCAGAGGGGTCCGTGGTGGCGAGGTGCAGAGAGGACTGGGCAGCAGTCGAAGGCGGAGACCTCGACGACCCAGTCCACACACCCAACATCTGGCTCTTGGGACGTGGAACGTCACCTCACTGGGGGGGAAGGAGCCCGAGCTTGTGGGGGAGGTTGAGCGATACCGACTAGAGATAGTCGGCCTCACCTCCACACACAGCTTGGGCTCTGGAACCCAACTCCTTGAGAGGGGTTGGACGCTCCACTTTTCTGGTGTTTCCCGTGGGGAGAGGCGGCGAGCTGGGGTGGCCATACTCATTGCCCCCCATCTCAGCCGCCACGTGTTGGAGTTCTCCCCGGTGAATGAGAGGGTCGCGTCCCTCCGCCTCCGGGTGAGGGACAAGTCTCTCACTGTTGTGACGGCCTACGGGCCTAACGGTAGTGCAGAGTACCCGGCCTTCTTGGAGTCCTTGGGAGGGGTACTGGACAGCGCACCGCCCGGGGACTCCGTTATTCTCCTGGGGGACTTCAACGCCCATGTGGGAAATGCCAGTGACACTTGGAGAGGGGTGATCGGGAAGAGCGGCCCCCCTGATCTGAACCCGAGCGGTGTTCAGTTGTTGGACTTCTGTGCCAGTCACGGCCTGTCCATCACGAACACCATGTTCGAGCACAAGGGTGTCCATCAGTGCACGTGGCACCAGGACACCCTAGGCCGGAGGTCGATGATCGACTTTGTAGTCGTATCATCTGACCTTCGACCGCGTGTCTCGGACACTCGGGTGAAGAGAGGGGCGGAGCTGTCAACCGATCATCACCTGGTCGTGAGTTGGATCCGCTGGCAGGGCAGGAGGCCGGTCAGACCTGGCAGGCCCAAGCGTGTAGTGAGGGTTTGCTGGGAACGTCTCGCTGAGCCCCCTGTCAGACGGACTTTCAACTCACACCTCCGGGAGAGCTTCTCCCAGGTCCCGGCAGAGGAGGGGGACATCGAGTCCGAGTGGACCATGTTCTCTTCCTCTATCGCCAATGCGGCGGCTCGTAGCTGTGGTCGCAAGGTCTCTGGTGCTGGTCCCGGCGGCAATCCCCGAACCCGGTGGTGGACACCGGCAGTAAGGGATGCCGTCAGGCTGAAGAAGGAGTCCTATCGAGCAATGATGGTTCGTGGGACTCCTGAGGCAGCTGTCCAGTACCGGCAGGCCAAACGTGCCGCGGCCCGGGCTGTTGCAGAGGCAAAAACCCGGGACTGGGAGGAGTTCGGAGAGTCCATGGAGCATGACTATCGGTCGGCCTCGAAGAGGTTCTGGCAAACCGTCCGGCGCCTCAGGAGGGGGAAGCAGTTCTTTGCCAACACCGTGTATGGTGCGGGTGGAGGGCTGCTGACCTCGACTGGGGATATTGTCGGGCGGTGGAAGGAATACTTCGAGGTTCTCCTCAATCCCCCCGTCACGTCCCCCGTCCAGGAGGCAGAGGCTGAGGATGTTGGGGCGGATACTTCCATCTCCCTGGCCGAGGTCACCAAGGTGGTTGGCAGCCTCCATGGTGGCAAGGCGCCGGGAGTGGATGAGATCCGTCCTGACTATCTAAAGTCTCTGGATGTTGTAGGACTGTCTTGGCTGACACGTCTCTGCAACATCGCGTGGCGATCGGGGGCGGTGCCAATGGAGTGGCAGACCGGGGTGGTGGTCCCTCTCTACAAGAAGGGGGACCGGAGGGTGTGTTCCAATTATCGTGGGATCACACTCCTCAGCCTCCCCGGTAAGGTCTACTCCAAGGTACTGGAGAGGAGGCTTCGTCCGATGGTCGAATCTCGGATTCAGGAGGAGCAGTGTGGTTTTCGTCCCGGTCGCGGAACACTGGACCAGCTCTATACTCTCCATCGGATACTCGAGGGTTCATGGGAGTTCGCCCAACCTGTCCACATGTGCTTTGTGGATTTGGAGAAGGCGTTCGACCGCGTTCCCCGGGGTGTCCTTTGGGGGGTCCTCCGGGAGTACGGGGTCCGGGGTCCTCTGCTGAGGGCTGTTCGGTCCCTGTATGACCGGAGCCAGAGCTGTGTTCGCATTGCTGGCAGTAAGTCAGACCTGTTCCCGGTGCATGTTGGCCTCCGCCAAGGCTGCCCTTTGTCACCGGTTCTGTTCACTGTATTTATGGACAGAATCTCTAGGCGCAGCCAGGGGCCGGAGGGGGTCCGGTTCGGGAACCACAGGATTTCATCTCTACTTTTTGCGGATGATGTCGTCCTGCTGGCTCCAACGAACCAGGACCTGCAACATGCACTGGGACGGTTTGCAGCCGAGTGTGAAGCGGCTGGGATGAGAATCAGCACCTCCAAATCCGAGGCCATGGTGCTTGACCGGAAAAAGGTGCCTTTCCCTCTCCAGGTGGGTGGAGAGGTCCTTCCTCAAGTGGAGGAGTTCAAGTATCTCGGGGTCTTGTTCACGAGTGAGGGGAGGATGGAGCGTGAGATTGACAGGCGGATCGGTGCAGCGTGCGCAGTGATGCGGTCTCTGTATCGGACCGTTGTGGTAAAGAGGGAGCTGAGCCGAAAGGCAAAGCTCTCAATTTACCGGTCAATCTTCGTTCCCTCCCTCACCTATGGTCATGAGCTGTGGGTAATGACCGAAAGAACGAGATCGCGGATACAAGCGGTCGAAATGAGCTTCCTCCGCAGAGTGGCTGGGCGCTCCCTTAGAGATAGGGTGAGGAGCTCGGTCACACGGGAGGAGCTCGGAGTAGAGCCGCTGCTTCTCCACGTCGAGAGGAACCAGTTGAGGTGGCTCGGGCATCTGTTCAGGATGCCTCCTGGACGCCTTCCTGGGGAGGTGTTCCGGGCACGTCCCACCGGGAGGAGGCCCCGGGGAAGACCCAGGACACGCTGGAGAGACTATGTCTCTCAGCTGGCCTGGGAACGCCTAGGGGTCCCCCCGGACGAGCTTGAGGAGGTGTGTGTGGATAGGGAAGTCTGGGCGTCTCTGCTTAGACTGCTGCCCCCGCGACCCGGCAACGGATAAAGCGGAAGAAAATGGATGGATGGATGGACCCCAAAACTGCTCTTGACAAATGCCCTATAAAAACAGAGCTTAAGCTGTGATGTGTTGTACAATCAGAAGACTCTCATTGTGCAAAGCCTAACTCATGAGGGCTGAATTGTAAGTCGCACTTTTCAGTTTATTTATTTTTTATTATAAAAAGAAAAAAACATTATGACACCATGTTTTGATTGCACTTCACAAGTGTCCGCCAAATTGTGTTAGTCACAAAAAATCAAATCAAAAATCAAATTTGTGGATATCACAAAATAAAATAAAATTAAATAGGGAAAAGGGGATGTGGGGGACAAAAAGGGGACAACAAGTAAAGTGTGATGCATGGCAACCAGTCCAAAATGTATTTACAATGAAACACTTAAATAAAAAATGTATCACAAAAAAAGGAAACATAAAATAAACATGCAGGTATGAAGCCCTTTAAGTGTTGTTTTTGAAAAGCGCTATACAAAGAAATATCTATTATTATTATTACCTCAAGGCACTGTATCAGAGAGTTTGCAAAGATATTGGTATTGTTCTTTATTCAAAATGACCTGAGTGCTCATTGTCTCTTTCTTTTCCCATATTTGTTTTGTTCCAGATTCCAGTGCTGTGTAGGATGTCGAACAATATGGCCAAGATAGCAGATGCTCGAAAGACAGTGGAGCAGCTAAAGCTTGAGGTTAACATAGAGAGGATGCTGGTAAGAGATTCAATTATTATGTCAATGATTTTACAGACCAACTTTGATTAAAACATTATAACACACTCATCAAAGTAACTTGATGTGTTTTATTTGGGGTTTGAGATGTTTCTTGTGTGCAGATCTCTAAAGCTGCTGCTGAACTCATGGCCTACTGTGAATCTCATGCCAAAGAGGACCCTTTGGTGACTCAAGTCCCTTCGTCTGAAAACCCATTCAGAGAGAAGAAATTATTCTGTGTCCTTTTGTAAATGCACAATAGTCATTATGTAACAGCAAATCTAACATTCTATAGTTTATTATGTCATATTTCGGTTATATGTATTGTATAGCAGTTCACAATTCTATTTATTTACAGAACATTAAAAAGTCATAGCTTTACTAATTCCTAAGGTTGATAAGGTTTTCTTGCTCACCTCAGCAGTTTCCTGTCAAATCATGTGGTTTCGTCTCGCCTATAGGTTTTTAGGGCAACTTAAAAAGCACTGTGGTGGTTCATTTTGTGAAAAAGATTATGCTATTTGTTGTTTATAGTGAATAAAATAATACACACCAATTATTGTTCCATGTCAGACAGAGTCAATCTTTATTTTTTCTTAAATTCTGGAGAAAACAAACCCGTCAATTTCAAACTACATGAAGGCAATAAAGTTTTTTTTGTGGTTCGAAGGTCTGTTTTATGGTGTTTGACTGCGCCTCTCCCTTTGCACGTTAGTTTATTATTAACCTGCACAGATACCTGCATTTGCGACCCAATTTATGTGTTTCTGTCCTATTCTATGATATCACGAAATGAACATTATTATCATTTTTCCGATACAAATGATACACTGTTTGACGATGCAGTCCTTGTGGTTGCCTTTTCCTCTGTGGGCGTGGGGCCCCTGCCCTGGGCCTGAGGTGCAGTGGGTGGGGCCATCGCCCTGGAGCCGCTCAGAGCGACAGGTGCTCTCAGTTGAAACAGCGCACATCTCTGAATCTTGTCACGGATTACACTCATTTCTACCTTTTGAGATTGGAAGACAGAATAAGGTATGCCGGTGCCATCTCGTGTACTCTGTGCGGTTGCCAGATATGTAGGGGCTGTTAAAGTCCAAAGGTACAGATTTTATTTATAGCTCTCATGTTGCACACAAATGGGTGATAAGTGAACGACTAAGGTTTACTATTGTCGGACGAGTGGAGCAAGATCTATAGGCAAACATCATGTAACATGAAGTCAAACTGGACAGATCAAGAAAAACTTGTCTGACCGAGTCCGTGGAGCGCTCATTTGATGACGGAAAACTGAGACACGCTTCCCTTTAGAACACACACGTTAATATACAGTCTATGGAACACACACGTTCACGTGATAGATGGTATATCTCGACTTTACATTTACATCATTAAAACCCAAATGTTATTTTGTCTTCTTTATCTTATCTATTTTATCCACTTATCTGTATGAAAAATAATGAGAAAAATAAACTAAAAAACATTTCACATGCAATGTTTTAGACGTGAAAAATAATCTGAGTGAGTTTGCATACAATCCTGAGGCTCCAGTGTGATTGCATGGAAATGCAGTTTCTTTTGCTGGCTGATACTCTAACAATGTCCATGCCCAGAAAAAAAGATCTATTTAAATGTATAAATGTAGCCTGCTTATATCAATGTAAGCAGAAAAACACATTTCAAACACACATTAAGAACATAAACATTTTAATATTTATGTGTTTGCTTGTGTTATGTTTTGGTATGTTTGTAAAGCACTTTACCTTATCCCTTGATTCAGATTCAGATCCGGATTCAGATTCAGATCCAGATTCAGATTCAGTTTATTTGCCATTTGCAGTAAAAAAAACACATTGGAATACATTAGCAAAAAGTCTCCAGTGTGCACAGACAAATACAGACATAAAACAACATTAAAAGACAGAAATAAAACAAATAAAACTGTAAACAAAAGTCACTGTGAAATCGACCGACGAAAACAGTTTCAAAACAAGTGCAAATCATTAAAGTGCTCTGTTCACACTGATAACAGCTTGTGGATAAAAACTGTTAGCGTAACGAGATGTCCTGCATCTCAGAGAGCGATATCTTCTGCCAGAGGGAAGAAGCTGGAACATGGCTTTCCCAGGGTGGCCAGAAGAGTCATTAACAATCCTAAGAGCTTTGTTTAAAAGTCTGGATTTATAAAGAACCTCCAGAACAGGAAGCTCACAGCCCACGGTCCTCTTTGCAGAGCGGAGCACCTTGTTTAAAGATCTCTTTTCTTTATCTGTGATGTTTCCAAATCACACAGACACAGAACCAACAAGTAAACTCTCAATGGTGCAGCGATAAAAGTTAAGCAGAATCTTAGAGTTAGTGGTAAATTCTCTAAGTTTACGCAGAAGGTAGAGACGCTGACGAGCTTTCTTAACGACTCGGTCAGTGTTTTTAACCCATTTCAGGTTAGACAGAGTTAAACCCAGAAACTTGCACTCCTCTACGATCTGCACTCGGGAGTTGTCGATTACGACAGGCAAATGAGAACTGTTACGACTGAAGTCGTAGACCAGTTCACATGTTTTCGATGCGTTCAACTGGAGGTTGTTAGTTTTACTCAACTGAACCACATTTTGTATCTCTGCTCTATAAGAGGATTCATCAGTGTCACTGATGAGACCGATGATGGTGGTGTCATCAGCATATTTAATGATCAAGTTTGAGTCAGAGGAGGACACACAATCGTGAGTGTACAAAGTAAAGAGCAAAGGACTCAAAATACATCCCTGAGGAGAACCAGTGCTCACAGAAACAACATCAGAAAAACAGTCATTGATTTTCACTCTCTGAGATCTGTCAGTTAAAAAGCTAAAAATCCATTTACACATGGCAACACTTAAACCGAGAGACATGAGCTTTTCAATCAGTTTACCTGGGACAAGGCAGTTAAAAGCAGAGCTATAATCGATGAAAAGCATTCTCGCGACAGATTTACTAGTGTCCAAGTGAGTGTAGACAGAGTTCAGAGCAAAGGAGATGGCATCCTCCACACTCCTGTTCTGTCTGTAAGCAAACTGGAGCGGGTCAACACTCACAGGGATCTGGCTCTTAATGAAGTCCAACACAAGCCGCTCAAAAGTTTTCATAAGAACAGACGTGAGGGCCACAGGACGATAGTCATTCAGGCATGTCACAGGAGTTTTCTAAGGAACTGGAATTGATGGTCGACTCTTTAAAGCAGTTCGGCACAGTACAGTTCCTTAGCGACAGGTTGAAAATGTCATACTATCTTCCATAGTATGGCATTAACACTTTCTTATCTCTATCTTTATCAGTATATTTTAATTGCTATGAAATCATGCTGGTTATCTTCACCTTCACAAAGTTTATGAGAAATCCCAATGATCTGTCACTACACAACACACATAATGTAGACTTAAACAGGTCAGACCTTTAACTGAGCGCACATCATCGTCGTATATTCAAAAGTCTAGATTCAATGTTTTCTGTTTTCTAATTTATTAATTAATTTGTGTTATTGTGAGTAAAAGTATCCATAGATGATTTATCTGAAACAGTAAATGGTCTTTAGAAGCAGCAAATTACATTTCTTTCTGCCCTCAAGATTGTGCTGTTAATTAATTTTATTTTTTCCAGGCCTGGAAATGGCCAACTTTGGAGGACATGCGATCCCAGGGTCCTTCTTCTTTCTCTTGGGAGTGTGGCTGACAGTGAAGCATACCCTGCATTACTACTGGAGAATAAATCAATCTAAACGCAGACATGGGAGCCCTCCTTTTCTGAAGAAGATGCACTACATCGAGGGAGGAATGCTGATGTTTGCTGCTTTTGTTGGTCTGGTTATTTTTCTAGTTTTCTCTAAACTATTCCCACAGAGTCTGTTGTCTATTGTTTATAGTTCAAAGAGAAATGACTAGAATCAGTCTGTAATTCGTTATTTATAATCCCAACAAATATATTATGTAATGATGCACTAAATGTAATACATTTGGATTGTAATCAAATTATTCAGTACAATTTAGACACATTCTTATGTTTTCAGCTTAAGAATGAAAATCATAAGAATTATTAAGAGACTAAACTTTTTTTTATTACAGTAGAATAGACATGTCTGGCCAGCCCCTGAGACATCCCAACAGGACGACTGAAGTCTGTATTGTTGAACAGGGATAATGGTGGAGCAGTTTGTCCCAGACGGCCCTCACGCTTACCTGACCTCAGGCGGCTCCTGGGTGAAGCTCATGAACTGGCAGCACAGCACCATGTATCTGTTCTTCGGAATCGCAGGGTGCGCACTGGTCGCCTCCACTGCGGTCAGACTGGTGCCTGCGGGAGTGGACCGCCTTTCTCTGGCCATGGCTCTGTTTGTTGAGGGTAAGACAGTATGATTACAAGACAAATAATAGACTCCAGTGTAAATAAATGAGGGAATTAGTCACTGATACCTGATCTTTGAATTACTTTTTGTGAAATACGTAAAATCACATTTATATTAGAAAGTTCTGTGAATAATGTTCAAGTACTTTGTTATGTTCTATTTTGATGTAGAATTAGGTCATGTTTTGAAGACTGAGCAGTACAGTGGGTGTATAAATGTTTTCCTGTTTCCACAGGGTATTTGTTTTACTTCCACGTCCACATGCGTCCTCACCTGGATGCTCACATCCACACGCTGCTCCTCGTGGCTGTGTTCGGGGGAGCCGCCTGCTCCATGTTGGAGGTCTTCAATAGACACAACATTGTGGTGGAACTGTTGGGGGCCGGGCTCTTCATCCTGCAGGGGACGTGGTTCTACCAGGTCAGTCGGTAGCCACCATATGGTAACAACACTGTTCCTTTTTAGTAATCATTAATGGTTCTGCCCCGGAGGCAGCTCAAGGCAAACAGCGGCCGTAGCTGCATTTACTCTTTGAAAGAAATTTGTGCATGACTCATCCTCTCATTATTCAGACCGGTCAGTACAGTTCATGTTTCTTCTTAAACTGATGCAAAAAAGGAAAAAGAAAAAGTACACAGTTTACGCACACGTAGACCAACATGAAGACAACCAATTGGTCTTCCCTCTAATGGTGGGGTTTCTAGTTTTTTCTTTTATTAGCAGTATGCTGAACAAGGGTGGTTATCTTTGCTTCGCTTCTCTCAGCTTCAATCTACCACATTATTTCTGTTAATTGCCTTCCCTTTATAATGAAAATGAAAGAAATATTGTTTCTGGTTAAATGAGGATTGAAAAAGAATGTATGTTGCAGATTGGCTTTGTCCTGTATCCACTGAGTGGGCCCCAGTGGGAGTTGGAGCAGCATGACAACGTTATGTTCGTCACCATGTGCTTCTGCTGGCATTTAGCCGTGGCTGTGCTTCTAGTGACCACTACTTCCTGTGTGGTGTGGCTGTGAGTACTCTTGTATTCCTGTAAACATGGATGTGTTTATACTGCACACCATCTAACACTGACTGCCACTTTCAACAGAAATAATATTTGTGTTGTTAATTTTCAGCACATTGAGAAGATTCTCTGCAAATGGTCGAGACATTGAAATTGGAATGAGGAACACTTCATCTGAGTCCAGTTCCCAGAAGTCTTTGCTGCAGGAATCAGAGGAGGAATAAGCACATGCTCAAGGTTTCATTTTACAATCATTGTTCTGAGCAGAGACACTCCCTAATATATTTCACCATTAAGCCTCAAGTTCAACAGTCAACAGTTAAATCTATGCATTTACGAACATTTTGTATTTGTTATTTAACAATAAATGTTATTGAAAGTGTAAATAAAGAGCCCAAAGTATCCATTCAAAAAACAGTACTTCTGTATTTTTACACACAAAGTTTCTGCATGTTTTAAAACAAACCACTGGATAAAAAGTAGAAAAACCCACATTTTGTGAGTTATGACAAATATATCTCATCAAACTGAAAAATTCAACATAAACAGACAAATCACATTTATTTTTTCCATTTTGCTTCAGCTCATTGTGGTGGGGCGGAAGGAGGATCCGGGGGGCGGCTGGGTGAAGGCGTAGTGACGACAACAGTGGAGACAGCCTTAGGGGATCCTGCAGAGGACATGTGCTGAGCTGGGACAGTCTGGATTCGAACCTATGACAGAAACCAGGTTATCAATACAACCTGGGAAAACCTGAGAATCATGTTCACCAGGAAACAAGTGCTTGTGTAACATGCAAAGTGCCTGCACCTGCGTGGCCTGGCCTTGCTGCTGGAGCTGCTGAAACTGTTGAGCAGTGACAAAGCTGACCGGCTTGTTCCCTGCAATCAGTTTAGTACCAGCCGGCATCGTGGTCAGGATGATGTTTCTTCCCAAACTGCTGATACTGCACAAGACAGAGGCATGTTAGCAACGTTATAATGATATAATGAATTATATTTGTTCTAGCACCATGTGCACTGCAATACGACCTGAGTGGTCCTCATTTAATAAGTTTAAGATTAGTGCTTAACAAGGGCATAAGTGTAGTGGCCACAAGAGAAGCAAGCTATGCAAATGCAGGATTTATAATACATTTGAAAATAAAAGCTTTAATTACAATTTATGTCCATTTATTTATTGATTGATTTGATATGGACACGTGTACAAAATCAACATGTGAAACATTAAATTTATAGCCAAGGCTAATTTGCAATTATCGCCTACAGAACGTGGAAAAAAGCCATAACGCACGGTTCTTTTTCATATTTTATCTACAAGATCACGCAGGTAGAAAGGCCTCTGGGACCGTTATAAACAGCCTCATGCTCTCTGCTTCATGTCTCTATGGTGAAGTGCAGAGGACAGCAGCCCAGGCAGTTCTAGCTGTGCGTGATCACTGCGCGACTTGTGGTACTTGGAACATGTGCAAGGGTAGAAAAACATTCCTCATTCATATCTTTGAATGAGGAAAAAAGACAGCACTAAATGACTGCTTGTGGCCTATTGGTTTGGCTTGTGGGTGCACAGTAAAATCCTGCGAGTTGAGACCTGGGCCGGTCCCAGGTTTCAACTCCACTTCTGGGTGCTTGGCTCTGGAATACACGAGCAAGTTACACAAACTTTACTGTATTTATGTACAGCACAGACTGAAAGAATGTCTGGATCTAGCACTAGGTATTCTCCCTGTTGGCTCTGTGTACACTGTTTGCAAAGGGCTGTGCAGTGCTGAAGGCTTCTATGGAAGGGGCATGGCAGAATTGCCCTGGGTTCAACAAATCATATTATGAACAAAATAATCCTTTAAAAAGTCCAGCATGTAGATAGACTTCAAAATTGAATAACATCACTGTGTCATCCCAGTGGTTGCCGTTACATTTCGTCCAAATCCAGCGACCGCCAGATGCAGAGGTAATAACTTACTTTGTGTTGAGGTTTCCTTTCACGATAGGTGTTGTCACCATGCTTTTACTCTTTAGAGGTTGATTGAGGACAGACAGGGGCACGGTGATCCGGGCTGGTAACTTTCCCTATGTTGTAAACATGTTAGAAATGGGTATTTATTTGATTTTAGAACAAAATATTCCATATCATGTTTGTTCATACCGTTTGTGTAGAGACCACTGTAGCAGGGACCTGCCTCACAGTTGCAGTTGCTGTTCCTAAAGTAATTGGTGATCCAGAGGCCACAGTGAGTCCTTTAGGACCAGCCATCACATTTGCAGCCATTGTGACAACAGAAGCACATGTAGATGCAGCTGAAAGTTTACTGCCAGCAGAGGGCGCCATAGTGAAAGTTTGAGATGTTTTGGGTGGAATCACTCCGAGGCCTGGCATAATGCGAATAGTGGCACTGCTCTTGTCAGGCGAGGAGACTGTGGTAAATGTCCTTGTTCTCGTTTTCTGATCACCCACAGTGACCGCTAAAGTTGGCATCAGACGTATAGCCGTATCCGCGGTAGCATTTAACAACGCAGTACCAGGACTACCTTTACTTGTGAGTACCTCTCCAGAGATTGATGCAGAGGCTGTGGTAGACGAGGGGTGAGTTTGTGTCACATGGATAGTTGCTGAAACGCTTTTACTACCTGCAGCAGCAGCTTGTCCCAAAAACTCTGGTGTGAGTTTGACTGTGGCCACTGGAGACTTGGTCAGAGTGGCCATCATATCCGGTGTGATCCTCAGGACAGTTTGGCCTTTAGCGTCTGTGGTGATGGATGACGGAGGCAGGCGGAGCACGTCTTTACCTTGGATGCGCAAATTTGTAGCCGTTATAGGGATACCGGCTCCACCTGCCGTCTTCACACCAAGCTGACCAGTGATGGACACCTTCACAGAAATATAGAGTTAAATATTTTTTTACCCGGCAAGAAAACTATTAAGACCAATTCAAGGGACTTCTGTGGTTGAAACACAAGACTTGCTAATGCATAACTGTCTTGTCAAGTATAATAAATTCTTGTATTGGAAGAACCCACCTGTTTAATGTTTGGGCTGCTCACTCCCTGAAGCACAGCAGGTGAAGAAGGAGCATTTAAAGGACTACCCCGGCCTGTCTGTGGTTTAGTGACAGTTACAGTAGACAGAGATAAAGTGCTGGGCACCTGCACAGGACTATGACTGGACTGGCTCCTCAATGGCACGGACATCACAGCCTGTGCACAATGATAAACATTAAAGCGTTTTAACAACAAGACAAAATTTGGACTTGTCCAACAATGGAGAAATTTCAGCATATGAGAAGCATTAGTTACCTGTGAGATGGCCTTGGCGGCCACAGAAACAGGCATCCTGATCTGGTGGGTGGGCTGGTGTATTAAATTGGTCTGATGAACTCCAGGAGCGGCAGTGAGACCAGACTGAGCAGAAACCACGCGGACCTGAGGGAGAGTACCAGCTGCCAGTTGGCTCACCAAACGCGCCGCATGCTGAGACGAAACCGGTTGTGGGGTTGGTGGGGACGCCTGATTGGGGGGCAAGATGGTTCCCAGCTGAGGCAAAGGTGGTGGAGAGACAAGAAGCATGCTGTGAGGAAAAAATAAAAGTATTCGTAAAACATTTGGAAGCAAGATTGGAGAAGGTTAAGTTATTTAGACGTGTCGGTTTTTACACATTTACCCTGGGCTAGGTTTATTAGTATCAGGGACTAAAGATTTAGTTGGTGTTGTGACTGTGGAGGGCAGTGGTGACTTAGGGGTTCCGGGAGTGGTTGTAGGAATTGGTGACATTGGAGTAATAACGGTGTCTCCTTCTAAACATCCAGGCTTGTTGACTCCCTCTTTACCACCAGCCTTCTGCCATAAAACAAATTGACAGAAAACATACAAAATTGAAATCAATTGTATTTACTTTTTACACATATACATAAAATATATACATTTTATACATTTTAACCAGTATAGGAGTATACTTACAGCCTTTGGAATGGGTTTGGGCTTTGACTGCAAAGCTTTTCTTGCTTTGGCTGCTGCAGCTTGTGCCTGATGAATTCGTTCTGAAAAAATAAAAAAGGGAAAGATATTATGTACCAGTTGTTTTCATTTTTGAAGAATTATCAACATACCAAACTCCTCCTGGCTACGACTGCGATGTAGATAAATCCACAGTTTGCGACCAATATCATATTTCACACAAGGGTCTTTTTCATAGTGAAGTCTGTCCAGAGCTCCACTCACAACTGTATTCACCTAAAGTACACAATATTTTAAATAATGTTTTTTGAATTGTTAGAGAAATTAAATCATACTTGGGCACTTGTGACTTCTGGAGAAAGAAACTGGGAATCTTTCAGCAGCTCACAAATTTCTGCCCTGGTCCCCTCTCCATTGGGTAATCTAGCGGCAGCATCCCTCACTGTTGATAAAATATTGTAGCGTTATCATTAGAATAACTAAGAAGATTGTATATATCATATTGATGTAGATTCTAACCCAGGGATAGTATTGTCACATATGGTGGTCTGTCTGATCGTAGCAATGTGTGCTCTCTGGCTTTGTTAAGGGACATCTCTTTATCAAACACTCCTTTGACTGGTCCCACCACGGACTCAAATCCATGCATCCGGAAGGTGAAAGCTTTATGAGGCTGGTTGTATCGTTGCTGTTCCTACAATAAAAGGAAAAGAAAATCATTAAACACTAAATAGTGATTCTCCTTGTCATTGTTCAAAGACAAACCTGTATTTGAAACAGCTGTTTTTCGTCTCCAGTACTTGGTCGAACCACATAATCAGTCGATCTGTTGAAATGAATGATCCATTAACTAATAAATCGGTTTTATATAGCACTTTTCAAGAACTCAAAGACGCTTCACAGTTCAGAACGCACAAAACTAAACAAAAATAAGGCAAACACTGTAGCAAGGGATATATCAATCATCTTACACTCGTGGAGTAGGCGATGCCATTTCCAATATTTCTTCATTTTCTGTCTAAAACACAATAAAATAAGTTTAATGGTCAATATATAAAAAGTTAATTTAATGTGTTATAGGATACCTTTATGACCAAATCTTTAGAGTCCAGCCACAATTGGCATAATGCACTCAAGTCTTTCTCTGTTTCCTGAGTTGGACCTGAAAATACTGGGTTGAACTAATTTTCCTAATAGAACAAATAAATAAAATACATTCCTCACCAATCCATCTCCACTGTTGCGTTTCATCCAAAAACTCCACAAATGGCAAGAAACCACTGGGCAGTGCCATGCGACCATCTGAAGAAAAGAAAAAAAACATAATTATAGCTTCCCGTTACCAATTTGCCACAACTTACAAACCTTTAGTCTCTCCAGCAAGAAACTGAAGAGCTTGAAGAATCAGGTCGGACCAACAAGAGGCAGAAGAAAACCAAGCGTTCAGAGAGCTGGCTGGAGAGGACTGCCACAGCTGAATTTTCTCTTCAATCTGAGATATACAGGGACAATTACTGTATGCCTTTAGAACCACTGAAACCTGTTTTTGTACATACACCGGACGTTGTGAGGGCCTCTGCTCTCAAAATGCTCTCCAACAAACTAAAGAAACTTATGGCGATTTCTTCAACGACCACAGGGCTGGTCTGACACTCGTCCATAATTCTGAAATGCATTGAATAATGAATACAAATGTGATTATTGGCACATGTGTAACAGTAGATTTGGGATTACTCTTCTTTGATGTTGGCGATTGGAGAAGTGGGGGTATTTGGAAGAGAGTTGATCACATTTGCAGGAGGGGCAGAAGTTGAGTCTGGACCAAGAGTTTCACAAGGATCTTCACACTCCACTTTGATTGTTCTCATCTTCTTCTTTCGTCTTTCCTCTTTGATTTTCTTTTTGGGTAAAGATAGCTCTAATAATGCTGAAAGAAAAAGAAAAAAAAACATGATATTGGGTCATACAATTGTCAATGAGTCAGTAAAAAGCAGCGTTTGGTGGAGTAAATTATATGTTAGGATACTATAGCAATCCATCTATACAATGACGACACACATCAGTAAAATATACACACAATTCAGAAGAACGATTCTCGAATTACAGTATACACAATACATAATTTTTACTCACAAATTGGTCCTTTCCTTCCAATATTTGCTCTTGATAGGACATCTACGAGTTGAACATCAGAGGTCACAAGGTCTGGATGGTCCTACAAAATGATGTTATTAATTTGAGCTGTTTCTTCACCATTGTGCAGGTTGTAACTAGAGTTCAATTACTGGCTGTCGTTTCCTCTTCTCACGATGACTGTGCAACATTCTTTTAAGGTCCTTCTCTCCCAATTCTAACTTCCCTGCAAAAAAATAAAAGTACAGTGTTTTTCCCCAAATGTAGCACTAGAACTCTTGCAATAGTATTTGTAGATCTTGCAAATATTACTCACCCGTTGTCTTCATGTCTTGGGTAGAGAGGCTCGGTAGGACCCTCAAAGATACACTCGGTCCAGGAGACGAGGGCGACTCCGGACCTGATGTCCATATTGACAATTCTATACAACAACAACAAGTGACATTTAAACATAGGAAGTCAATCATTTCAGTTATGGCAACAAAGTAAATTGTTACCATCGTCAGAGGATGATGCATTGCTGTCCCCACACTCTGTTTTAACCTCTTTCAATATGCGGTTGAATCTTCTTCTAACCCTCGGCTCCCGCATTTCAGCATGACTTTTACTCAAAGCCTTTCTCCTGGGGGGGTAGTCTTGACCGTTGTGCACAGCATAGTCCAGAAGATCCTTTCAAAATCAACAATTGTGAGAGATCTGTACATAACTGTTGAGGTGAGGTTTTATGCAGAATAAAATACCTTTCTTGAGACGAGGATCTGTTTAAGGAGTTTGTGGTAATACTGCTGAAGAGAATATAACTGTCGCTTTTTCTGAGATCTGGCGCACAGTTGTCTGTACTTAACCACTTCAGGGTTGAAATAGCCATCTATGGACAGAAAAAACCATATTTGTAAAAAAAAAAAAAAAAAAAAGAAACTCCAGTTTACAGTGGAAAGTTTGTTTTCCTCCATACTGTTTGAACTTTGGAGTAAAAAAAGAAGATAGAGTTGAACATATTAGTACCATCATTTCCATTTGCTCAATGACATAGTAAATTATCACTGAAATATTTGTTAGCTTTGTGTTCCTCACATTACTGACGAAACAGGCCCATCTTTGGGACACCACAGCCTTCTTCTGGGCAGTTTGACAGTACCACATTCCCATGTTTTTGCTATTTGTGTAAATTTGTTAGAATGTGGAACGTTTAAGTTTGGTCATTCTGGTCAAATCCTCTTAATAGTTGTGCATGCAATTTACAAACATTTTGTTAGCTAAATAATCAAATCCTTCCACGATTTGGGCTTTCCGACATCACTTAAAGACATAGCCTTTTTAACTTCTGACTGCACAAAGTAATACAAACAATACTGAAACTATCTTGAACAAAATTACAATACCTCTGAAAAGCTTTTGTGCAAGATGAAGGGGATTTCCGAAGTGAAAGTTTCTGTCATTAAATAAATCACTAATAATACGGTCTTGTTCTGAAGCATTCTTGTCTGGAAACTGAGGCAAGAACTGGCGAAGGTGCTGCTTCTGAGCCTCTGTCAAAACCTCAGTCCAAGTGCTTTCGCTCAGCACAGAGAAGAAAATGTCAGGCTGTAAATGAACACTTTCAATTAAAATGTGATCAAATAGGATTGCAGAAAAAAACTTGTGCACTGAGCTGACATCTTCCAGTAGATCCTCTGGGAGGCTCACGGTGCTGTTTCCCAGCAGACACTCTTCTGTGATGTGTCCACTGATCCCATCTTTAGAGTCAAGAGGCTCAACTAGCATCTGAGCGAGAGGATTCATCCTTCAAACCTGTAACATAGTTTTCAGCTTTACCATATTAAATATTAAAGCCTGCGAGTTATTTCTGTTTTCAGATTTACAAGTATGATAAAACATGTGGCAGTAAATAAAGCTTAATTTAAAACACAAATGAGTCAATTAGTCCTATTTCACAGAGTTGCTTTAACATATAATGTAATAGCTACCTACTCCTGGCCCATAGACTCCTGATGAATAAACGTTTTCATACTCTGAAATACAAGATGCTATTTAAAGCTAACTTACCAGAGTTTCGGTTTTGAGTTTCACACAGTTATAGATCCATGGTTTTGTCTCAAATGTTTATGCCTTTGGTCTTTGGATAAAGGGGGGACCATTTTACTGTGACACAGCGCTCTGCTACGTACACGCATGCGCATCTCGAGTCGCGATCCATGGTCGCCACCTACCGCTGTAAAGTCTAAACTGCGCTTATGAATGACCCAATTTATAACCACTATTTAAAATGATTGTAGGAATGAAGCTAGTTGCATACACATTTCTTTAGAATACACACTAAACGAAAATGCACCGTATCATTAATCACACAGGACGATTAGAGATCTCATAAGTTGGCATCATGGATCTATTATAATTAATATTTACAGTATGATTATAATATTGGCATGGATCTATTGCAGGCCATTTTCTATGACATGTAGTGAGGGAATATTGAGAGAGGGAGGAGGGAGAGCTTATTTTGAATTGTAAGATTTTCAAAAACCTCATTTTGTAACATTTGAATCACCTAGAAATAGTTCTTATTCCTGTTTTTTTTTTTTACTCCAACATAATGCTCTTTTATAATTGTAAGATCTTTGCACACTTTGTTTACAATACAATACAAATGTTTGAACTGAAAGTACACATAAACAAAGGTATTTCTAAATTCACAAGCTGTGGAATGAAATTTTAGTTGCTTTTTCTCCCAATTGTTTAACTTCTGAGTTTGGGCTGTCATTCTTTAACATATACAATTTTACTCAGTTCTCTATTGTACATTGTACACATTTTACCATGTTTACAACTCACAAAGATTTTATGTTTGATGTTTTTTGAAATACTGCAACTAAGTCACAACTACGAAGTTAAAGCAAAATGCTACATGATTTTGTTTGACATTTATTACATTATATCAACAATTAAATAACAACACAATGTCAAGTATTTTGCTTTATTCATTTTTGAGATACTAAGGACAATTCCATTCTTCAATGTTCTGTCAGAAAAATAACAGACACATATGAACAAACAACACACAGTACATTAGTGACCTGTGCACGTGTGTACCTCCGCTGGGGTCACTTGTGGATCGTCCACAGAGATCTTCTCCAGGGCTTTAGTTACTTCTGATTGTTTCGCTTCTAGCATCATCTCCCTCCTGTTGTGTTGTGTGTTTAGATCCATAACTTTGCGCATGTGTTCTTTTTTGAACTGATCAAGCTCATTCTCAAGCTGAGGACACAATAAAGTCAAGGAAATACAAGTTACTGAAGCGAGAAAAAGAGACCCTGGCCTGGATAGTTACCTTTTCCACGGCAGTTCTCAGAAGAATATGCTCTGTGAATAGTTCCCTGTACTCAAACGTCGTTTTGTTAATGCAACATTTGTGTTTCTGTCAATAATGAAAAACAAGTTAAAGCATTGAAATGTATAAAAAAAAAAGAATACATTTTTTTTTTAGATTGCCATGTGTTTATAATCAGAACCAATGCCATAATTATCAACATTAAACAAAAAAATTCAAGTCCTGATGAAATGTTTTTGAGCGATTCATGCATGTTAGAATAGTTTATATTCCATTACACATGAGACACCATTGCTCCCCCTGGCTCCTCTGATGTTATGATCTGATCTATTAAGATACTCAAATAGATCAGATGTGTTTGATCAAAAGAGGGGAAATACGCAAACTCGTAGAGCCTCGATTTGACCATGTTTTGTCCCGTATCACAGAGGCATATGGTTTGACTGAATAATCATGAATGTTCATGATCAAATAATGGTGTCATATATTATGGCTTTATAGCAGACAGATGCACATTACGTCTTCTCTAATGTCCCAGTTATCTGAGCTTTATTCAGATAACTGTAGTGATGTGTTGCTTGCATGATGTCCTTATAACTCTGGGGACTTTGAGGGTTACCGAGTGCTCAGTTATGGCTTCGCTGTGGCCGCTGTCGTACTGCTCGCGGAGGTCTGATATCAAATATTCCGAGGCACTGAGGCTCTTCTTCAGGCTGTCATTCTCCTTCTTGGCTTGGATCAGATCTGTTTCCATTTTTTCCACTTTATCAACTAAAGATGTTCTTGCCTGAAAAATCATCAAAAAAAAAAAATATGGTAACCTTAATTCGTCGCACAAATTTGGGGAATTTTCAGGTGAACAAGCAGAACACAACATTAAATAAAGTATTATGATAATAGCATCATCATTAATAATAAATAGTATTATGAAATAAAGATGTATTATTGGATTAGCTTCACTATACACGATAGATTATATGTGTTTATACCATATGACTAGAAGGATATTTTTATAGATGTTTTAAAACGTGAAAGAATGTCTTAAATATAAGGATAAACAGAAAAAAATTAAAACGCTATCTAATCATATTGGATGTTTATCTAGTGGTAGAAGTGGAAATGGCAGGCAGAGATTGTCCAAGGAACTGGAAATTACTTTTTTTTTCAAAGGTAGAAAACTCGCTGTCATGAGACAGAGAACTCCTAGTGTGGTTTGGTGAGGATACAATGTGCGGGTTTTCCATAATACTGAAGTCTTGTTTATGCTACATACAGTATCGTTTAACTCTAAAGCCCCCACTGAAAGATCAAGGCTATGCTCACGCTCAGAGAGCAGCCGTCCTCCTGTGGACTCACCACCTGCAGAGGGTCAGTGAGGGGCTGGTGCTATGAGACTTGGGTGGCATCTCTGACTGCCACCCCCCTGACCCAAAAATGGATTAAAGGGCAGAAAATGGATGGATGGATCGTTTCATTCTGACAAATGCAACAGTAAGAATCTACTCTGACATGATGCGGACTCACGCTTTGCAGCTTCATCTCCATGTTGGCTGCTTCTTCTGCATTCTTGCAGATTGTGGCCAGTGTTTTCTTGCGTTTCTTTGTCATCAATGAAATTAATTTGGCGATGGCCTGGTTAACAGCTTGATTTCCATCTAGAAGCTTTACCTCAGTTATGAATTCTGTTGGAACAATGCAAAGAGAATCCTTTTAACTTATTTATTCATTATGATAATATCCATAAATAATAATAATATTTCAAACGGGGTGAAAAAAACATGATCTTACTTGTGAACTCCGGTTTGTCTTCTCCTTCAGCCTGAAACAAGGGAGAAACCAGACTCAGCATTAATATTAACATATTTCATATTCGTTTTATTGATTTATCTGCATTTTTCATGTGTGTGTGCACTTGGGAAAGGGAAGTCTGTAGTGAGACTATGAAAATTGTGAATTAAGTGCTTAGAGGAGTCACAATAGTTACTTTGTTTTGCACTGGGAAAACAGAAACACAAGTTCATAATGAGACACAAGTTGCACAAACTCCCCGTATTGCACATAGCGCTGTGGCGGCTTGATAAAGAACAATTCATGACACAATCGGCTTGTGAAGATGCTTCTAATGCATCCTCTAGTGAAGTCGCATGGTACTCTCAGAGCACTGCGATGAAAACTACCATGTTAAGTTGGATTTTAAAAGCCCATCGTTATTCTCTAGAACAAAGCTACTTCCCAGAAGTAACTTTGAGTGCTGTCTGTAAACCGCGGTAAAGTGGTCCGCATCTTTCACCTCCAAAGTAAAACGGCCCGCATCGACAAAAACAGTGCGCTTTTTGTTAACTAGAACAGAAAGCGCGCTGAGGAGACTCGTTTTTGTGAATAAAACCTTATTTGAAAAGCATGTAAAAACTTAAAATGTTCGACATTTAATTTGGTCAAAAGGCGCACTTTTCAGTAACTGTACATTTTTACAGTAAAGACTTGTGTGGCTTATTTCACAGGGTTCATGACCTCACTACTGCCTTCAACCACTGTGCCTACAACAGCAAACCTTTACTGTGGAAATGTTGAGTAAAATTCAAAGTACACCTTTTGGTCCGAAATACACAAAACTGTAAGAAAATTCCCACTTGTGATCCACTGTAACTTTTTACTGTAAAAATTGTGTGCGACTAATTTCACTGGATTCCGATTCATGAGCTCATTATTGCCCTCTACCACTGTGTCAAAGACCAGAAACTTTTACTGTGGAAATTTGGAGAAATATTGAGTCAAAATGTCTACTGTAAAAGTTACAGTAGATCAAATATAGCATATTTTGACCATTTTTGGGGTGCTTTTGACCAAAATGGGTACTTTGACTCCATATTTCTCAAATGTTCTAAAGTAAAAGTTTCTGGTCTTTAGCACAGTGGTAGAGGACAATAATGAGGTCATGAATCCAGTGGAATTAGTCGCACACCCCTACTGTACGCGCTGAAAGATGCGGGCCACTTTACCGCGGTGTCTGTAAGCATGGACAAAGCAAACAGCATCAAAGACATTCCTTAAAAGAATAGTAATTATTATTGGGGGGTTGGAGAAGAGGAAAAGGTTCCAAATACATCATTTCAATCAAATAAGAGTAGCTAATAGTAGTAATATGTTGCTCATGCTGCTGCTCTTCTCACTTCGGGGTTCAAAGGATCCAAAATCATCTGTTGCTTTGATTTTTAGTCTACGGCAGTTTTGCTTTTATGCTTGAATAAAACATTATAAATACAAACAGAAGTTGGAAGGCAACAACAGCATGAACTCGCTTTGACACTGTAAGAAAACATTATGCAAATGTTATGTTTAGCAGTTGGTTTGATTTAGCTAGCTAGCTAGGTGGTTAGCTTTGCCGGGTTAGCTTAATGCTACAACTCTCAAAACAAAGATCAGGACAGACACGTGTTGAGAGAAAGAGAAAGAGACAAACAAATGTTATCCTTTTTAAAAATTAAATCTGGTTGTTCTTATGTCATTACTTGACAGCTCATATAATGTGTGACCAAACAACGTACTACTCACCATTGTTCCTTTTCGGCTCTGACTCCCAGTGCCTCACAGGAACTATCTGGGCTCCTGAATAAAAGCTAATATTTAAAAGATGCGAATGTGAGTCCAACCAGGTAAAATTACTCAACTTTACCTTAACTTTAACTAAAACTAATGCAAACTACAAAGGAAATTCATAAAATCATATGTCTCGGGAATTTACTAGCTAATTTGCTGCAGTGTTTTTGTTTTAAGTAACAAAAGTAAGTAGTAAGTCATCTTTATTTGTAAAGCGCCTTTCACAGACCAGAGTCACAAATTGTGGGCATTTGTCTCCCACTCCATACAGAGAGCGGGGTCGCCAGTACAGGAGGCGATTTGGGTATATCTACATGTTTTTTTAGTGGTAAGGGAAACTGGAGCACTCGGAGGAAACCTACGTAGACATGGGGAGAACATGCAAACATGCGAGAGTGCTAACCACTCAGCCACCGTGCCACCGTTAAAGCAATTTTATGACAGCACAATTTCTTAATTGAAAGCACATTTCTTAATTTGACCTTATCAAACATTGTATCTATTGCAATAGCTTTGTATGAAGTGCATATAACACTGTAATTACAATTTACATTTACAATATAGGACCTTTATTATTTTTCATGTTGAAATCTATGCCCTCTATGTGTGTGTGTGTGTGTCTGTGTAACTATAAGACATTTTAAAATAAGTCATAAATTACTTGTAATGGGTGCAATAGGACACTGACTCCTCCCCTGTGATATTGTAATGCAGGGGATTGAAGTGGTCCAGGATCCTTGTGGCTCCCAGCAGTGACGGAGTGAGGGAGAGGTACCCGACCCCCAACCCACCCGAAAAGTGCTCTGTCCAGGAATAAGAGTCCATGAATTGTTTAAAATCGGAGGAGCTTTGACATAGAGTTTGTCTGGAGTCTCTGGGAGCATGGCTGAAGGTGCAGATGAAGAAGAGATCCAGTTCCTGCGAACGGTAAGAGATGCTGCTGCTGTTGTGGATAGGAGAGGCTCTTTCTCAAACACAAGGGTCCCTGTTTGTATAATCAAAGGTGATAATAGAGCATTTCTTTGCTCAACTGTGTTAAACAGGATTGAGAGGGACAGGTGGTTTTTGCCTGCATTGTTATCTATATTTAGCTCTGCGTTTGTTTTAATTTTTTAAAGGCACCCTTTTAATGCCAGGTGGCACAAATCCTCTGTAACTGCACAAAAGTCAGTAGGTGTTTGTACAAACTTTTAGATGTCATTTTTTATTTAATTTAATGGAGGCTTTTATGCAAAGACAAAGTAGCTGACTGTGTTAAAGCTGTAAGCGCAAAAGTGAACTTCCAAAGACCAAATTTATCTGCTGAGAGATGTCTGTTCTAAAAATAATGAATAGTAATTGGTAACATGAACTAGCTGGATACTGGTGGGGAAATCTACAATTGAAATAGTGATATGTACATGACCTTATGCAAATTCATGATTGTATGTTTGCTAAAAGTTATGTTATAGGATTAGATTTAAAAATCAAACAATAATGAGATATTATTGTCTGACTGTTTCATCAGGATATGTACATGAATCTATTTCACTGGTAAAAGTGGTTGCTGTACAGCTGATCAGATTTCCTCCTTCAGAAGTCTGTGCCAAAGGCAGTGGAAGGGCATTGTGGCCTTCCAGCCGTCTACCATATGCAACACCTCTGAGTTTAAATAGTTTCTTATGATGTGTGGCTATTGTTAATATTCAAGTGCAACTTGACCATGCGTCAGGACTGTGATCCAAAACACTCTCCATCCCATTTTGTTTGTTGTTTTAGTGTATTGTATGATTCTAGATTGGTCATAGCCTCATTTATATAAAATATCATATGCGTTTATAACACAGCAGCATCTGTTTGTTGTCCTAAATGTAACTGGGCCACTTGAATCCATTCCTTCTTGATAGAGGTATCTCTGTTGTAGAACTTAAAACATCTTTGAGATATCTTTTTGTCGTGCAGCCTCAACATTCACTTCTAAATTTACTATGTGAGGATTAGCAAGCTCTGAATCGGACCAACACACCTGCTTAGTTCCAGACTCTCAAAGACTCCTCCTGAAAATTTAATTACAGTCTTTATTGAACAGTTTTATTTCTAAAAGTTACTTTTTTTTCCTTTTCATTTCAGCCTATATTTATTAATTAATTTCATATCAGAATTACCTAACAATACAAATAGAGCATCTTGCTATTATCAAACAATTTATCAAATTTATGGGACAGAGTAAGACAAAGTATAAGAGTAAGCAAAGTCAAAAATAAAGAGTTTAAAGTAGCGCTTGCCAGTCAGTGGAATATGTTTTGTTAGTATAGGTTGGCAGTGCATTGTGAGGCGTTGATTCTGGCCGTTAAATTGTAAATATGTGGGTCTCCAGAAGGGGATGTGTGAACAGCAGGTGCAGGGGCCCGAAATAGAGGCTGAAGGAGTGGGCCATGTCCCGGAGCCAGAGAGGAGGCGGATTAGCACTGGGCCTCTGACACGGGCCACAGAAATACAGTAACACTTGCAGCAGGGCATATTGTTTTGCTTTAGAACAACAGCTGCCTTGATGACTTCAGTATTATTGCAGTTGACATAGCAAGTAAATCTTTATTTTAGGTGAATGACAAATAAGAAAGAGTTATTGTGACATTAGGAGCTGGACTAAAATTGGATTCTGATAAAAAAAAAAAATGCTTGTCTACATTGAAATTTGTAACATGTCCTGAAATGTCCCTTTTATGCAGTGTTGAACTACCTGTGTCCACTGTCACTTTACATAGTTAATCTTATTATTATCACACACTCATTATTATAGTCACTTTGGCCCAAAGTATACAGTATTCAATATATTTAGGATCTATCTTGGACTGGAATTATTGAATTATCCAAGGGACTTATATCCATTTTACTGCTGAAAATGGCAACATTTATGTGTAAACTTCTAGTGTGTGCTGGTAATATGTTCACGAATGTCTTCTTCAGGACGACCATGTGGTGCTTCAGTGCACTGCGTCCATCCTCAAAGAGCAGATCAAGCTGTGTTTGTCTTGTGAAGGTTTTGGAAACCGGCTCTGTTTTCTTGAGACAACCTCTAATGCACAGGTACAAATCTATTGAGGTTGTTAGACACAATATCTGCCCTGGCTGTTGCTATTACTACAGAAACAGTATGTGGTTCAAATTAATAGAAATTGCCTTTTATATTCCAGAATGTGCCTCCAGACTTGGCAATTTGCACTTTCATTTTGGAGCAGTCCCTGTCGGTGCGAGCTTTACAGGAGATGCTGTCCAATACATCTGTTGATGAAGTAAATACAAGTTGTTCTTAAACAGAATGAAACATCAACACCATTTTGATGTGGTCTAAATGTAACACTCTTTATTTGCAGGCTGTTGATCTTGACAAATGGGTAGGTTTACCAGTATGTTATAAAAAGTGTGTTTGACCTCCTTTGGTAAACTATTCTGTGTTCTTTCTAGTCTTCACAAGGGGGAGGACACAGGACCTTGCTCTATGGACATGCAATCCTTCTCAAACATGCCCATTCTAGCATGGTGAGCACTTTACATGTCGTCTTTCAAGCTATTAACATTGTATTATGTTTTTTACATAATTTATGATATATTCTGTAGTACCTGAGTTGTTTGACCACGTCACGATCACTGACAGACAAACTAGCCTTTGATGTAGGCTTACAGGAAGACTCCACAGGTACTTTATAATTATGTGATATTATTATATTTGTGCATATTTAATTTGAATGATTATTTGGTATGCATACTCTCTCAGGGGAGGCCTGCTGGTGGACAATACACCCTGCGTCTAAGCAGAGATCAGAGGGTGAGAAGGTCCGAGTTGGAGACGATCTTATTCTCGTCAGTGTTTCCTCAGAGAGATATTTGGTAATTTCAAATACAATGCATAACATCTAAAATATAGATTAATAGAACAACAACTTGAAGTAAGGAGTAATTTGTAATGCATTGGGAATCTTAACATGTATATCTTGAATACATACATATAGATAATAAAAAAGACAAGTAATGTCTCAATAAAAATCGAAGATGAAAACAAAAAAAGTTAAATAGCACATTCAATACCAGAGCGCAACTCAATGTGTTAGAAAATGACAAGGAAAGTGCCACTACACTTAAAAAGCACTGTTCTAATTACAAACCTTTTACCTTTACTCGAATGTACTTATATTTCTACTTAATTCAAACAATAGGACATTTTCAGTTTGATATTAAAATGCTGTCACTGCTCTTCAAAGCATCTTTCATATGCAAGTGGTGACCTGATGGTGGATGCCTCATTTATGCAAACTTTGTGGACTATGACCCCTGTGATGTCGGGATGTGAGCTTGCAGAAGGTAGTTCTTTTGGTCTAAACATTTTTTTGAATAATACTTTTGTTTGAGAAAAAATAGTCTTCATACATTCATGCTTTGTTCATCAGGATTTTTGACTGGAGGTTATGTGCTCAGACTGTTTCATGGTCACATGGATGAGTGTCTGGCCATTCCTGGAGCAGATCAAGGGGACGATCAAAGAAGGTAACTGTCCATTGACACCATTGTAAACATGAATTGTATTTATTTATATTTCTCATTATTAAAACTTAACAATCTGTTTTATGGTGGGTACTTATCCTATGCCTGTAAGACTTATTTAGTAGTGAATTCACCAGCACCTGAATCACAATTGCTCAATTTTGTACAATATTTATTTTCAGAGTTGCTCACTATGAAGGTGGCGCTGTCTGCAGCCACGCCCGTTCCTTATGGAGACTAGAGCCGCTGCGCATAGCGTGAGAAGTTTTTCTCTTATATCTAGATTTTAGGAGACTTTAGGAGACCCTTTATCTCGGCCCATTTTTTAGGTGGAGTGGCAGTCACATTAAATGGGGCATGTCCTTTCGCATTCGTCACATAACCACTGGCCGATACCTCTGTCTGGATGAGGAGAAGGGGCTATTATTGGTTGACCCTGAGAAGGCAAATTCCAAGATGTCTGCTTTCTGCTTCAGAATATCAAAGGTCAAATAAGTATCTAAATAATGCTAGTATAAGTATTGCTTTGCTACACACTTAACCATTGTGTTCCAATCACAGGAAAAAATTGAAGTGACCCAAAAGCGAGATGTGGAAGGAATGGGTATACCTGAAATAAAGTATGGGGAGTCAATGTGTTTTGTGCAACATGTGTCCACTGGACTTTGGCTTACATACGCTGCTGTTGATGCCAAATCTGCTCGACTGGGGCCTTTGAAGAGAAAAGTAACATAGAAAAGATATAAATGGCCTCTTTTGCAAAGTTAACACTTTTTTTGTTTGTCCTTTCGAAGGCTATTCTTCACAAAGAGGGCCACATGGATGATGCACTCACAGTAGCCCGATCTCAAACTGAGGAGTCACAAGCAGCTAGAATGATACACAGCACAACTGGACTCTTCAGCCAGTTCATCAAGTAACTATTTTTCAGATTTCTTTATTTAGTTTCATGTTATATAAATACCAAACCAAATCATCTGCAATATCTAAACCAACAGAGGACTGGATGCTCTTAGTGGAAAAAACAAATCATCCAATCCACCGTCACTGCCAATGGACATGGTCGTGCTCTCACTGCAAGATCTCATCTTCTATTTCCGACCGCCTGAAGAGGAGTTGGAGCATGAGGAGAAGCAATTTAAGCTTCGCTCCCTGAAAAACAGACAGAACCTCTTCCAAGAGGAAGTGAGTATATCTGCCGTAATATGAGCCGTAATTATATCAATATAATTGATCAGTTATGTCTATTTTCTTCAAATAGGGAATGATAACACTTGTTCTCGACTGTGTTGATCGACTCAATGTCTACAACACTGCGGCTCACTTCTCTGAGTATGCTGGAGAAGAAGCGGCTGAATCATGGAAGGAAATTGTTAATTTGTTGTATGAATTATTAGGTACCTTTACCACTGTTTGTTTCTTTATGGGTGGTCCGCTACTTGTCTTAACCTTGTTTCCTTTCTCTCGCAGCCTCTCTCATCAGAGGTAATCGTGCCAATTGTGCTCTCTTCTGTGATAACCTGGACTGGCTGGTCAGTAAACTGGATCGGCTTGAAGCGTCATCAGGTTAATGACATGTTATACCACGGTCAAAAGGAGATTTTTATGTAAAAATACTAAAATATGTAATAGCTGGTTTACAATAAATGTTACAGGAATCCTCGAAGTATTATACTGTGTCCTCATTGAGAGTCCAGAGGTGCTGAATATCATCCAAGAAAACCACATAAAATCCATCATCTCCCTTTTAGATAAACATGGACGCAATCACAAGGTACTATAGTACCATATCATGACATTATTAATCAGTGGCACTCGTTATATATGTATTAAAATGAATATCTGTTTGGATAATAGGTTTTAGATGTGCTTTGTTCACTTTGTGTGTGCAATGGTGTTGCTGTGAGATCAAATCAAAATCTCATCACAGAGAATTTACTTCCTGGGCGTGACCTACTACTGCAAACCAACATAATCAATTATGTAACAAGGTTAGTTATTTGAAATTGTTGTTAATTTAAATGTATATATCTGTATTTTGAGTAGTAAGCTTCCAATATTGTTTAAACTATGCTTTTGCTTGTGTCCTAGTATGAGACCCAACATTTTCCTTGGGACGTGTGAAGGCTCGACTCAATATAAGAAGTGGTATTTTGAAATGATGGTTGACCATGTGGAGCCGTTCCTGACAGCTCAGCCCTATCATCTGCGCGTGGGCTGGGCTCTGACAGAGGGCTACAGTCCGTACCCGGGAGGAGGGGAGGGCTGGGGGGCCAATGGGGTCGGAGATGATCTATACTCTTATTCCTTTGATGGACTTCATCTGTGGTCTGGTAAGGGAAATGTAAAATGTACTTTAGTAATTTTATGGCCATAGGTAATTCATGTCATACACAGGACATAAAACACATTCATGCACATAATGCATGAGATATGATTAGAATGGTTTCATAGAGGAGGGGATAAAATGTACAGACTTAGAATTTGATCGGAATTTGCTTAGCCATGCTTTCATCATACACATTCCTTCACAAATCCATTCCTAATATTCCCTAATTTCTCTCATACATTGTCCAATTTTAGAAACTGATCAGTAACATTCAGCATGTGCTACATTTTGTCCTCTCTGCAGGCCGTGTAGCTCGTCATGTGGCGACGCCCAATCAGCATGTTCTCACCGCGGAGGATGTGGTCAGCTGTTGTCTGGACCTAAGTGTTCCCAGTATCTCCTTCCGTATCAATGGATATCCAGTTCAGGGAATGTTTGAAAACTTCAATCTGGATGGCCTGTTCTTCCCTGTCGTCAGTTTTTCTGCAGGAGTCAAGTGAGATAACATGAATATGTGTTTACAGAACATTTAAAACTGAACACAAACTAATTAGCCTTTCCTCATCCTAAGGATTCGATTTCTCCTTGGAGGTCGCCATGGAGATTTCAAGTTCCTTCCTCCTCCGGGTTATGCTCCGTGCTACGAGGCGGTGCTCCCAAGGGACCGGTTGCGGATTGAGCCCATTAAAGAATATAAACATGATTTTGAGGGTGTTCGCAACCTGCTGGGACCCACAGTCTCTCTGTCACACACAGCCTTTACTCCCTGCCCTGTGGACACCATTCAGGTAAAAACTCACCTTGACAGCAATCAATTAGCTTTCAAATCCTCAATTACTTTTTAATTATTGTTTCAGATTGTACTTCCTCCACATTTGGAACGTATTCGAGAAAAACTAGCTGAAAATAGTCATGAACTATGGGCCATAACACGAATTGAGCAAGGGTGGACCTTTGGATCAGTGAGTGTTTCTATTTATGTTATTGAAAAAAATGTTTTTAGAGGTAAACATGTATATCCAATATATACATTTGTATGCTGATACATCAGTGCAATAATTGAAATGTTTAGCATAATTGTCTACTGACCTAAAGTCAAGTTGCTTTTAAATACATTATTGTTCAAACAACATGACTGCTCTTCCATGGAACATTTCATATCTCTATGTATTGAATAGAATCCATCCATCCATCCATCCATCCATTTTCTACCCTTTAATCCATTTCTGGGTCAGGGGGGTGGCAATCAGAGATGCCACCCAAGTCTCATAGCACCAGCCCCTCACTGACCCTCTGCAGGTGGTGAGTCCACAGGAGGACGGCTGCTCTCTGAGTGTGAGCATAGCCTTGATCTTTCAGTGGGGGCTTTGGGCAAAGTGGGGTTAAGTGTCTTGCCCAAGGACACAACGACAGCAGTCATCAGTGGGAGTCGGTGGAGAAGGTGCAGAGGTGGGGATTGAACCCACGACCTTCTAGCCTTAAGGCCAATGCTCTACCAACTGAGCTACTGTCGCCCCCATTGAATAGAATATAAAGTATTATTATTTCAGTCATTCTTAAGATCGATTTCAGTTCTCTCTTGTCCAGTTAGTACTAGTACATTTGCATTGTATTATTTGTGGAAAATTTAAATAAATTAGGGTCCAATATAGTGGCACAACATTATCGTCATATCAGATCTCTCTGGATTCTAAACACAAAGTCAGTTTTCCACTTAAATTGAATGTATTAAAACATTATTATTCATTTTAAGTTCCGTGACGACAACAAGAAAATTCACCCTTGCCTTGTGGATTTCCAAAGCCTGCCTGAACCAGAGAAAAACTATAATTTGGCCATGTCCGGGGAGACACTCAAGTCAGTAATAAATGTTGTTTGTTTTCATTCCTTTAAATTAATTATGTTTTATTCTGTAGGACCCTTCTGGCTCTGGGCTGTCATGTTGGAATGGGAGATGAAAAAGCAGAAGAGAATCTGAAAAAACTTAAGCTTCCAAAAACGTAGTTGTAATGTTTACTATGATATTTTTACATGCCTGATTTGTTAACCTTATCTTTGTTTTTTTACACCATAAGATACACTCAATGCAATGGATATAAGCCCGCCCCACTCGACCTAAACCATGTGAAGTTAACTCCTAACCAGAACACACTGGTGGAGAGACTGGCAGAAAACGGGCACAATGTCTGGGCCAGAGACCGCGTCCGACAGGGCTGGACTTACAGTATCGTGCAGGTGTGTCTATTCGTTTGAACACAAGTGCTTTTTGTGCCACACTGTTGTTTATTTATTATTATTCTTAGGACATTTTGAACAAGCGTAATCCACGTTTGGTCCCTTACAATTTGTTGGATGAGAAAACAAAAAAGACAAATCGTGAAACAGTTTGCGCAGCTGTCCGAACACTCATCGGTTATGGATACAACATCGAGCCCCCTGATCAAGAGAGCAGTAAGTCCATACCATTTTAATTTTCAATAGCAGCTTGAACGAATTTGACGATTTTATTCATTTGACAGGTGGTGATGGACCGGGAACATCTCGTGGGGATAAAATTAGAGTTTTTAGAGCAGAAAAATCCTATGCTGTCACACAGGGAAAGTGGTACTTTGAGTTTGAAGCAGTAACTGTTGGGGAGATGCGTGTTGGCTGGGCGAGACCTTGTGTCCGCGCAGACACAGAACTTGGTGCGGATGACTTGGCATATGTCTTCAACGGATTCAAGGTGCAAGAAAAGACAAAGCTTCATTTTTGAAGTTGTGATATTGGCCAAAACCAATGCTGTGTTTTGTTTGTAGGCCCAGCGATGGCATGTGGGGAACGAGCCATTTGGTCGACAGTGGCTATCAGGTGATGTAGTGGGCTGCATGATTGACCTCACGGAAATGAATATCATGTTTACTCTCAATGGCGAAATGCTGATTAGTGATTCAGGCTCAGAGATGGCCTTCAAGGACATAGAGATAGGAGAAGGTAGGACTAAACTTGGAATGTTCCTTATATGCTTTTGTGTTGAACTGATTGACATGGATGGTTTATAATTTCTTCCAGGCTTTATACCAGTGTGCAGTTTGGGAATGTCCCAGGTTGGCAGAATAAACCTGGGCCAGAATGTCAGCAGTCTCAAATACTTCACCATCTGTGGCCTTCAGGAGGGATTTGAACCTTTTGCCATTAACATGAAAAGAGACATAACTATGTGGTTTAGCAAGAGCCTTCCCCAGTTCATCTCTGTACCAACTGACCACCCCCATATAGAGGTCTGTTTACATCTTGGACATTCAGTTTTTGGTCAAAACAGTTTAAATGATCCTTTTGTGCTACAGGTCTCTCGAGTGGATGGGACCGTGGAAACTGCCCCTTGTCTCAAGGTGACGCACAAGACCTACGGATCTCAAAATGCCAATACAGACCTGCTGTTCTTCAGACTGAGCATGCCCATTGAATTTCACGAAACATTCAAAGTCCCAGCTGGTACCACGCTCCTCACACGCACTTTAACAATCCCAGAGGATGAGGTGTTGGAGGTGGACCCAGATTCAGATTTCGAAATCCTCAAGAAGTCAGCTTCACGTAAAGAGCAAGAGGAAGACAAAAAAGAGGCGTCTGTCCCAAAGGAGTCTCCCACTGCCAAAAATGGGGAAAACGAAAAGGATGCTTCCACAGAGAAAAGCAAGAAGAAAGGGTAACACCTTCTGATTTGTCAAATAAGTTAAAATAATTCTATATGATCAGAGGGCATTGATGTAACCTTAAAAACTGCTGAAAGGGTAAATTACATTGACCACAAGAAAAACAATCCAATGCATCATGGCTTTTGAAACATCTTGATTTATTTGAAATGAATCAGCTCAAATTCCATCCATTTTCTTCCGCTTTATCCGTTGCCGGGTCGCGGGGGCAGCAGTCTAAGCAGAGACGCCCAGACTTCCCTATCCACACACACCTCCTCCAGCTCGTCCGGGGGGACCCCAAGGCGTTCCCAGGCCAGTTGAGAGACATAGTCTCTCCAGCGTGTCCTGGGTCTTCCCCGGGGCCTCCTCCCGGTGGGACGTGCCCGGAACACCTCCCCAGGAAGGCGTCCAGGAGGCATCCTGAACAGATGCCCGAGCCACCTCAACTGGTTCCTCTCGACGTGGAGAAGCAGCGGCTCTACTCCGAGCTCCTCCCGTGTGACTGAGCTCCTCACCCTATCTCTAAGGGAGCGCCCAGCCACTCTGCGGAGGAAGCTCATTTCGACCGCTTGTATCCGCGATCTCGTTCTTTCGGTCATTACCCACAGCTCATGACCATAGGTGAGGGAGGGAACGAAGATTGACCGGTAAATTGAGAGCTTTGCCTTTCGGCTCAGCTCCCTCTTTACCACAACGGTCCGATACAGAGACCGCATCACTGCGCACGCTGCACCGATCCGCCTGTCAATCTCACGCTCCATCCTCCCCTCACTCGTGAACAAGACCCCGAGATACTTGAACTCCTCCACTTGAGGAAGGACCTCTCCACCCACCTGAAGAGGGCAAGGCGCCTTTTTCCGGTCGAGCACCATGGCCTCGGATTTGGAGGTGCTGATTCTCATCCCAGCGGCTTCACACTCGGTTGCAAACCGTCCCAGTGCATGTTGCAGGTCCTGGTTCGTTGGAGCCAGCAGGACGACATCATCCGCAAAAAGTAGAGATGAAATCCTGTGGTTCCCGAACCGGACCCCCTCCGGCCCCTGGCTGCGCCTAGAGATTCTGTCCATAAATACAGTGAACAGAACCGGTGACAAAGGGCAGCCTTGGCGGAGGCCAACATGCACCGGGAACAGGTCTGACTTACTGCCGGCAATGGGGACACAGCTCTGGCTCCAGTCATACAGTTACCGAACAGCCCTCAGCAGAGGACCCCGGACCCCGTACTCCCGGAGGACCCCCCAAAGGACACCCCGGGGAACACGGTCGAACGCCTTCTCCAAATCCACAAAGCACATGTGGACAGGTTGGGCGAACTCCCATGAACCCTCGAGTATCCGATGGAGAGTATAGAGCTGGTCCAGTGTTCCGCGACCGGGACGAAAACCACACTGCTCCTCCTGAATCCGAGATTCGACCATCGGACGTAGCCTCCTCTCCAGTACCTTGGAGTAGACCTTACCGGGGAGGCTGAGGAGTGTGATCCCACGATAATTGGAACACACCCTCCGGTCCCCCTTCTTGTAGAGAGGGACCACCACCCCGGTCTGCCACTCCATTGGCACCGCCCCCGATCGCCACGCGATGTTGCAGAGACGTGTCAGCCAAGACAGTCCTACAACATCCAGACTCCAAGAAGGCCGGGTACTCTGCACTACCGTTAGGCCCGTAGGCCGTCACAACAGTGAGAGACTTGTCCCCCACCCGGAGGCGGAGGGACGCGACCCTCTCATTCACCGGGGAGAACTCCAACATGTGGCGGCTGAGATGGGGGGCAATGAGTATGGCCACCCCAGCTCGCCGCCTCTCCCCGTGGGAAACACCAGAAAAGTGGAGCGTCCAACCCCTCTCAAGGAGTTGGGCTCCTTCCCCCCCAGTGAGGTGACGTTCCACGTCCCAAGAGCCAGATGTTGGGTGTGTGGACTGGGTCGTCGAGGTCTCCGCCTTCGACTGCTGCCCAGTCCTCTCTGCACCTCGCCACCACGGACCCCTCTGCAGGTGGTGGGCCCACAGGAGGGACTGCCCACGTCATCCCTTCGGGCTGAGCCCGGCCGGGCCCCGTGGGCTAAGGCCCGGCCACCAGGCGCTCGCTTGCGAGCCCCGACCCCAGGCCTGGCTCCAGGGTGGGGCCCCGGCTGCGCCATGCCGGGCGACGTCACGGTTCTCATTGTCGTGCTGTCCATGGTTGGCTTCGGACTGCGCTTCGTCTGACTCGTCACTTGAGACCTGTCTGCCATGGGAGACCCTACCAGGGGCATGAAGCCCCAGACAGCATAGCTCCCAGGATCATCCGAGTGCTCAAACTCCCCCACCACGTTAAGGTGGCAGTCCAAGCTCAAATTACTCTTCCTTATTATCAGGGTTAAAGCTATGCAGATAATGAAATTAACATTCTCTGTGGACTTGTTGTGTTGACAGATTTCTCTTCAAAGCAAAGAAAGCCGCACTGATCAGTCCTCCACCTGTTGTTCCGACTATGCCTCGACTCATGGAGGACGTGGTGCCTGATGACCGTGATGACGTGGACATCATCCTCAACACTACCACAGTAAGGTCAAAGTAACTGCTTCAATTTGAACACCCTTTACTACCATGTTTGAATGAATCGCACCTGTCTTTTTCAGTATTACTATTCAGTTCGAGTGGTTGCGGGGCAGGAGCTCAATGGCGTGTGGGTGGGCTGGATCACGCCTGACTACCATCAGTATGACGCTCATTTTGATCTGAACAAAGTGAGAAATGTGACCGTCACTGTAGGAGACGACAAAGGCAACATACACGACAGGTGCATAAACGGGCATTTAACGTCTGATTATTTCAGTACTGATGTCTTACTTTCTGTCTCAGCATCAAACGCAGTAACTGCTACATGGTGTGCGGAGGGGAGTTCAGCAGCTCCCAACAGACGCGAGTCAGTCAAGAGGACTTCATCATTGGATGTCTGGTCGATTTAGACACAGGGCTCATGACGTTCACTGCCAATGGAAAAGAGATCAACACATTTTATCAGGTCAGATATTACAACACAGGGTTAAATATGAAAAACTTGGCCACAAGGTTCACTAAAAAACTCAATTATTACCTGCCAAAGGGGTCACTAGGGCTTGTCTGTGTCTGTATGTGAGATAACTCTAAAAATATTCCTGGATCTAGACGGTGAAGACATTTTTTCCACATTTTTTAACAATGGTGGACGTCGATGCTTTCCTTTACTAAACTGATTTTATACTATTTGCATTTTTATTTACTTAGCAATCAAGGTGTACTTTGGGCCCATTGACTGTATTGGGCTGAATCAATATTTGACAAATAGCAATATAGTTTTATTGGTTGGATATATTTGGATCTCCCTTCACTAACGTGGGCTTTATTGGTGTGAACTTCATTGTGTATATTTAAAACAGGTATTATTCTACCAAATAAAGTCAATCCTTAAGTGCACAAATTTTATTTTTTCACAAAATCAAAACATGCCATTGATGTACTACTATGTTTTTGTTTTGTCTATGTAGGTGGAGCCAAACACAAAACTATTCCCTGCATGCTTTGTCCTTCCTTCAAGTCAAAGCATGATTCAGTTTGAACTTGGAAAGCTCAAGGTAAGATTTTGTTCCAAAATGATTTAGTCCACTATTTCACATCAATAATCTTAACAGTGTTCTATTTCATCATAGAACATCATGCCTATCTCAGCGGCCATGTTTCGGAGCGAGCGTAAGAATCCAGTTCCCCAGTGTCCGCCTCGGTTGGACATCCAGATGTTGACACCTGTCATTTGGAGCCGCATGCCCAACAACTTCCTGGCTCCAGAGACAAAGAGGGTCAGTGAGAGGTTGGGCTGGATGGTGCAGTGTCAGGAGCCCCTCACAATGATGGCACTTCATATCCCAGAAGAAAACAGGTCGGATTTGTCAAATGTTTTATAAAACATTTCATTATGGTTGGTTAAAAGTTATTGCATAAACTGGCAGCATATTTAGAGATTTAATTCAAAGCAACAAAGGGACATTAGGTTTAACTATTTTAGGCATACGCTGCTCATCTTGCCATAGTAATTATAAGTAATGCCATTAATTAATAACTTTTTATGGCTTTATCTACCTTTTATAACTCAAAAAATACATGTATGTGAAAACAAAACTATATAACCAAGGAGCTTTGAGAACAAACATAGTTAGGTACCTCAGCTTTGAATACAATATATGATCAGAATCAGAATTCTTTTGTTGCCATTGCAAAGGCATACATATTATTTTTCTGTATAGACGGCGTTTGGACACCCCAGAGCCACTGTATATGGCTGTAATACTGGTGGAATGTGTTTTGTGTGTTGTTGTGTAGGTGCATTGACATCCTGGAGTTATCTGAGCGTATGGATTTGCTGAAGTTTCATTACCACACTCTGAAATTGTATGGCTCCGTTTGTGCTCTGGGGAACAACCGGGTGGCCCATGCACTCTGCAGCCATGTGGATGAATCACAGCTTTTCTATGCCATTGAGAAAACCTACCTCCCAGGACCAATTAGAAGTGGCTTTTACGACCTGTTAATCAGCATGCACCTGGAGTCGGCAAAAAGAAACCGACTGGGAACTAACAAGGAGTTTATAGTTCCCATGACGGATGAAACCCGCAGCATCATCCTGTACCTCGACAAGGCCAATGCTCTCCCTGGAGTCGGGCTCACCACCTGTCTGCGTCCCAAACTGCATTTTTCCTCCATAGCTTTTGTGGGGACAAACCAGGAAATATACACATTGAGCCCAGTAATACCTCTCGAGGTGAGGTGGAGTCTTTTCAATGATTAATTTTTTAGACATAAATTGCATATTAACTATTTCAGAAGCAAAGAAAAATAGTACTAAGAATACCAAAACTTTAGTGTTCTGATGTTTATCTGTTTGTAAAAGTGATAAAAGTTATATGGATTTTATTATGGTTTGAAATCTCAATACCCAATGAAAATATGGATTTACATTGTTGCTTTGAATACAAAAAAATTAGGACAATCTTTAGTAGTAACAAACTGTATTCTTCTTTCCTATAGCCGTTGAAAAATAAGGCTTTGACCATGCTGACTGAGGCTGTGCAAGACGGAGGTCAGGCCATGAGGGATCCTGTAGGGGGCAGCGTAGAGTTTCATTTTGTGCCAATCCTCAAGCTCATCAGCACTCTCTTGATTATGGGCGTGTTCGACGATGAGGATGTCACACATATTTTGAAGATGTTGGAACCTGTCGTATTCAGTATCCAGAAAGTAGAGGAGCCTGTGGAGGACAAGATAAAAGAGGAGGAGGAACCTGCTTCAAAACCAGCAAATGAGCTTACTGAAGAAGTGTATGACGAAGAAGAGGAGGAGTATGAAGATGATGGACTGGGGGAAGAGGAGGAGTATGAGGAAGAGGAGGAGATAGAGGAGGTTGTGCCTGCAGTGGTGGAGGAGACAGGACCTGTGAACGGGGAGAAGGGGGCAGAAGAAACAGAGAAAGAGCAAAAACCCGGAGAGACTGAAGCCAAACTAGAACACCTCGAGCAGGGGCTTTTCCAGATGAAGCTTCCAGAGTCTGTCAAATTACAGGTAGGACTCAAACCGTGTCCAAAATATCCAAATAAAGGTACACAGACATACCGGTGATTGTTATCCTCCCAAAAGCAACTTTTAATTAACTTGAGAGAGTATGTTGACAATCGGTAAACTTCTTTTTAGACATGGTTAAGTTTTTTTTTTTTCAATATCGGGACTGTTTAGTTGACACATGATTGCAAAGGAACATTAGTGATTCTAGCACAGTGTTTCACTACCCGTAGAGGGTATTGCAAGTACTCCCTGCAAGAAGATTACCTCGGTTTGATCCTGTGTCTGGATGGGGTTTCCCACACGCACCCCGGTTTCCCTCATTACCCAAAAAATGGGTAATGCACTTGGCCAAGCCGGGCATCAACATTTGTAGAATGAATGCAGATATATAACAAGTTAAGCAATTAATCACAACTAAATGAATAAAAAATTGTTGTTTAAAAGAATTTCCAATCAAATCTAGTCTCTATGAAAGTGAAACCAAGCCTTTGTTTTACACCTGAATGAATAATCACACAGTATGCTTTCAGTGATGTGCTTTTTGTTGCAGATGTGTACCCTTCTGCAGTATTTCTGCGACTGTGAGCTGCGTCACAGAGTGGAAGCCATCATTGCTTTCTCAGACCAGTTTGTGAATCAGATCCAGTCGAACCAGAGACAGCGCTACAATGACCTCATGCAGGCATTTACAATGAGTGCTGCGGAGACTGCTCGCAAGACCCGGGAATTTCGCTCCCCACCACAAGAGCAGGTAGAACATGCAACATCCAACAGTTGTGCTGTTGTTATACAAGGGAAAAAATTACTGTGTTATCATTGCACTTAGGTTAACATGCTGATGAATTTCAAAAACTGTGCCGAAGACGAGGAGTGCCCTGTACCTGATGAGGTCCGAGAGGCAATGGGCCTTTTTCACCGCGCCGTCCTATCTCACTGTGGTCAGTTTCAGATAATCTCTTGTGTTATATAAATTTAAGCAGATGTTTGTATAGTCTTGATTCACCAGAGCAACTACATAAAAAGTATTTTTCATACTTCTTAAACTATTCCTATAATTTCTTTATCGCTTTAACTTTATTAGGTGTTCACATTGAGGAGGAAGAAGAGGAGGAAGCAGTGGATACTTCACTTCGAGGTCGGCTGTTTCGTTTGGTGGAAAAGGTGAAAAAACTTCGAGAAAAGAAAGTGGAGAAAGAACCTGAGCCGCAGGAGGAAAAAAAGCCAAGTGAGTTACATATCTGTAATATTTTTGCCATTGTTTTGTACACATTTTCATGATTACATTCTCAGGCACGCTGCAGGAGCTGATCTCACACACTATGATCCATTGGGCCCAGGAGTCGTTCATCCAGAACCCAGAACTTGTGCGGATGATGTTCAGCCTCCTCCACAGACAGTACGACGGTCTGGGTGAACTCATGCGAGCGCTGCCCAAGGCCTACACCATAAATGCAGTGTCGATCCAGGACACGATGGACCTCCTGGAGTGTTTGGGCCAGATACGATCACTGTTGATCGTCCAGATGGGTCCAGAGGAGGAGAGGCTAATGATTCAGAGCATCGGGTTTGTAAAGACGTTTTTACTGTAGGCAAACAATAACGTCTCAGGATGAGATTATTAGGTAAAATAATCATTTTGTTTATTGAGGTCACATCAATAGAAGTCAATGGATAAAAAAACATTGATTTGGATTTGGAGAAGGCGTTCGACCGTGTTCCCCGGGGTGTCCTTTGGGGGGTTCTCTGGGAGTACGGGGTCCGGGGTCCTCTGCTGAGGGCCGTTCGGTCCCTGTATGACCGGAGCCAGAGCTGCGTTTGCATTGCAGGCAGTAAGTCAGACCTGTTCCCGGTGCATGTTGGTCTCCGCCAAGGCTGCCCTTTGTCACCGGTTCTGTTCACTGTGTTTATGGACAGAATTTCTAGGCGCAGCCAGGGGCCGGAGGGGGTCCGGTTCGGGGACCACAGGATTTCATCTCTACTGTTTGCAGACGATGTTGTCCTGTTGGTTCCAACGAACCAGGACCTGCAGCATGCACTGGGATGGTTTGCAGCCGAGTGTGAAGCCGCTGGGATGAGAATCAGCACCTCCAAATCCGAGGCCATGGTGCTCGACTGGAAAAAGGTGCCTTGCCCTCTACAGGTGGGTGGAGAGGTCCTTCCTCAAGTGGAGGAGTTCAAGTATCTCGGGGTCTTGTTCACGAGTGAGGGAAGAATGGAGCGTGAGATTGACAGGCGGATTGGTGCAGCGTGCGCAGTGATGCGGTCGCTGTATCGGACCGTCGCTGTAAAGAGGGAGCTGAGCCGAAAGGCAAAGCTCTCGATTTACCGGTCAATCTTCGTTCCCTCCCTCACCTATGGTCATGAGCTGTGGGTAATGACCGAAAGAACGAGATTGCGGATACAAGCGGTCGAAATGAGCTTCCTCCGCAGAGTGGCTGGGCGCTCCCTTAGAGATAGGGTGAGGAGCTCAGTCACACGGGAGGAGCTCGGAGTAAAGCCGCTTCTTCTCCACATCAAGAGGACCAGTTGAGGTGGCTCGGTCATCTGTTCCGGATGCCTCCTGGACGCCTCCCTGGGGAGGTGTTCCGGGCACGTCCCACCGGGAGGAGGCCCTGGGGAAGACCCAGGACACGCTGAAGGGACTATGTCTCTCAGCTGGCCTGGGAATGCCTTGGGGTCCCCCCGGACGAGCAGGAGGAAGTGTGTGTCGATAGGGAAGTCTGGGCGTCTCTGCTTAGACTGCTGCCCCCGTGACACGGCAATGGATGAAGCGGAAGAAAATGGATGGGTGGATGGATTGATAAAAAACACATCTGACATATCTCTTAATAGAAAATATCTGAATGATTAAGATGAATTACCTCTTTCAATATTCTTGAGCCGAATTTATTTCTGTAATAACATAAATATTGTCTGATTGGTCACATCATATTTTATCATAATTCTTTCACATCAACCATGTATGTTTCTTTAATATTATCACCAGAGAGTTCATAAAATATGATTTATTGTATTATTTTTTACACATAGGAACATCATGAGTAACAAAGTCTTCTATCAACATCCAAACCTGATGCGAGCTTTAGGCATGCATGAAACCGTAATGGAGGTCATGGTGAATGTGCTTGGAGGCGGGGACTCAAAGGTGAAGTATTGATTTAATCATTAGGCCACTGAGTATATTAAAACATTTAAATATGTGTTTTTATCTACAGGAGATCAGATTTCCTCGAGTTGTGACAAACTGCTGTCGCTTTCTTTGTTATTTTTGTCGCATCAGTCGTCAGAACCAAAGATCCATGTTTGACCACCTCAGCTATCTTTTACAAAACAGTGGTATAGGTCTGGGTAGGTGTTTTTTCAACTATAGCTAAACTGCATTTACCTTGTTGTTGCAAAAGGTTCACTTATCGTTTGAATTAGGAATGCGAGGATCCACCCCCTTGGATGTTGCTGCTGCTTCCTGCATTGACAATAATGAGCTAGCTTTGGCTCTGCAAGAACAAGATTTAGAAATGGTAAGAATATATTATTGGTTTGTTCTAAAACATTTGCCCTACTTGTTATTTGTATTCTTATACTAGGTGGTAAAGTACTTAGCCGGATGTGGACTTCAGAGCTGCCCAATGCTACTGGCGAAAGGCTATCCAGATATTGGCTGGAATCCTTGTGGTGGAGAGAAGTACCTGGACTTCCTGCGATTTGCTGTCTTTGTCAATGGTTTGTTTTATTTGTAGAAGTAGATATTGTTGCATTATTCACACAAATATCCTTTATTGTATTGCATTTTAGGTGAAAGTGTGGAGGAAAATGCAAATGTTGTTGTGCGCCTACTAATTCGAAGACCTGAATGCTTTGGCCCTGCCCTGAGAGGCGAAGGTGGCAACGGTTTACTGGCTGCAATTGAAGAAGCAATAAAAATATCAGAGGATCCTGCAAGAGACGGACCGTCTGTTAAAAAGGACAGACGTTTTCCTATGTAAACGTTTTTGTTTCACTTATCAGTTAAAGCTGGGGTACCGAAATTTCACACCACAAAAATTAATTTGCAAATAAATGTAATAAAAAGTATTTTGCTTCTATCACTAGCTTTCACATGATTGATTGATTTTTCAAAGAAAAAGGAGGACCAACCTCAAGTAACTGATCAACTCTCATCCCAAAACGTCAAATAGAGACTCAAATAGGCAAAAGATAAAATGTTTTCTAGAGAGTGCATGCTTTAGTTTGTTGTGAATTCTGTCTCTGTTGGGACAAACAAATTATATAATGTATGACCAAATTATTGCCAGATACCCCAGATTTAATAATATATTTTTTCAGCATGCATACAGTTGAATTCACAATTTCTTGATGTCAGGTTTGGAGGAGAGGAGCAGCATGAGGAAAACAGAGTACACCTTGGAAATGCCATCATGTCTTTCTACTCTGCTCTCATTGACCTGTTGGGGCGTTGTGCTCCTGAGATGCACGTAGGTTAAAGATGATCCCAAAATGTTGAATATTTGAATGAAGAATAAACTCAACAAAAATCTATTCTTTTGAACAGTTGATTCAGGCTGGAAAAGGTGAGGCTCTCCGAATCAGGGCCATCCTCAGGTCTTTGGTGCCCATCGAAGATCTGGTTGGTGTCATCAGCCTTCCTGTTCAGATTCCTACTTTTGGAAAAGGTGACCACTTCAATTTGACCACAATATTTTATCTTTAAAATTACAATGGTTGTATCTGTATTCACGCTTTGTTTTGGTTCAGATAACAGCATCATCGAGCCAAAGATGTCAGCCAGTTTTGTCCCGGATCACAAGGCTCCAATGGTGCTCTTCCTGGACCGTGTGTATGGCATTGACAACCAAGATTTCCTGCTTCATGTTCTTGAAGTGGGTTTTCTGCCTGACATGAGAGCTGCTGCTTCACTGGACACGGCAAGTCTTCAGCTCACTCATAAACCTTTACTGGTATTGTTATCAGAGTCTTGAGACAGTACCTTCTTACAACAGCTGCATAACCAGACTTCATTGGATAACACAAACGCAATCTTCTTCTGCGTTAATGTAACTTCAACATTCATTTTCAAGATGTAGGATGTATTATTATCATGGGTGAGCGATAACTAATTAAAATTACTCATGGTGCTAATATTAGTACTATGTAATTATTTCTTGAGAAGTTATAGATGATAATATTGCTTTGTACCCTCATCTAAAAATGGCCTTTTGAAATATCCAGTATATTTATTTTCATGGTAAACTATTTCTATTCTTAACAGATTGCTTTTAGCACCACTGAGATGGCCTTGGCATTGAACCGATACCTCTGTTCAGCCGTGTTGCCCCTCATCACCAAATGTGCCCCGCTCTTTGCCGGCAGTGACCACAGGGCCATCATGATTGACTCCATGTTACACACTATCTACCGTCTGTCTCGGGGTCGAGCTTTCACAAAGGCTCAAAGAGACATTATTGAAGAGTGTCTTATGGCACTGTGCAAGTCTGTATCAAATATTTTATACAAGCACAGGTTTTAAATAGACTTGAACATGACTGAACATGGTGATTTTCAGGCATCTACGTCCATCAATGCTTCAGCACCTGCTCAGACGACTTGTTTTTGATGTTCCCATTCTGAATGAATATGCAAAAATGCCACTTAAGGTAAGAAAAGAGTCTCTTCAGAGGGGTGTGTTTATTATTAATAGAGTAAAAAATACTTTGTTTATACAGCTTTTGACCAATCACTATGAGCGCTGTTGGAAATACTACTGCCTCCCAAATGGATGGGCAAACTTCGGATTGGCTTCAGAGGAGGAGCTTCATTTAACACGCAAACTCTTTTGGGGCATTTTTGAGTCCTTGGAGCATAAGGTAATCATTTGGATCTTTTGGATCATCATTATTGACTATTTTAACCATTTTAACCTTTTGCTTATTCAGAAATTTGATGCTGAGATTTTCAAGATTTCCATGCCCTGCATCTGTGCCATCGCTGGAGCCATTCCTCCAGACTATGTTGACGCGAGCTACTCTTCTAAAACAGAGAAAAAAGCCTCGGTGGACGCAGAGGGCAACTTTGATCCAAAACCAGTAGAAACCACAAAGTGAGAACGCATTTCACCCTTCTATTTCTTTGATTTCTATAATATATTGTATGGAGTGAATAAGGGCATGTAAAGCATCTTTGAGTGTCCAAAAAAGCCCTATAAAAGATCAATGCATTATTATTATTATTATTATGATATTGTCACACGTTCTTGAATACAGCACAATTATCCCTGAGCGTCTGGATGGTTTTATCAACAAGTATGCAGAGTACACTCATGACAAATGGGCTTTTGAAAAGGTATGGTTAAAAATACAGCCATTATAGATTTCTTGAGGTTTACTTTATATTTCTTAATTTTCAGATTCAGAATAATTGGTCATATGGAGAGGTTCTGGATGAAAATGCAAAGACTCACCCTATGCTTAGACCATATAAAACATTTTCAGAGAAGGTAAAACAATCTACAGCATACTGTCTCCAGCTGCACAATACATTACTTAAAACAATCCTAAATATTTGTCATTTCCTAGGACAAAGAGATTTATCGCTGGCCAATAAAGGAATCTGTAAAAGCCATGATTGCGTGGGAGTGGACCCTTGACAAAGCACGAGAAGAAGAGGAGTCAGAGAAAAAGAAGGTGGCGTCTCGAAAGATCTCCCAAACTGCTCAGGTTCTGCTCACTAGTTCTGCTTCAATAAATTGCCATACAGATAATAAATCAATATCTAAAATGAATGTATAAATGATCTCTTGCAGGCTACATATGACCCTAGCCACGGCTATAGTCCCCAGCCGATTGACATCACACATATGGCCCTCTCAAGAGATCTACAGGTACAAATAACATACAATACTTTGCAATAAAAAAATTTAAATGTACATATATATATAATTACAGTAAACTAATACATTTTCTGTTCAGTCTATGGCAGAGCAGTTGGCCGAAAACTATCATAACACATGGGGCCGGAAAAAGAAACTGGAACTACAGTCCAAAGGTTTGGGGGAATGTGAAGAAAATTGAAAATTCATTGATTTTCACTTTAATGGTGCCTCTTGTGTAGGAGGAGGTACACATCCTCTGCTTGTGCCTTATGACACCTTGACTGCAAAGGAAAAAGCTCGAGACAGAGAAAAGGCCTATGAGCTCCTGAAGTTTTTACAGCTCAATGGATATTCCGTCACAAGGTCTCACCTTTTACTTACTTACTTACTTACTTTTTATTTACTGTTATTTATCATTTGTTGAAAACTTTTTTTAATGCGGCTTTGTTTTTCAGGGGGTTGAAAGACATGGAATCTGATATTTCCTCTATTGAGAAAAGATTTGCTTATGGTTTCTTGCAAAAGCTTTTAAAATGGATGGAAATAGCCCAAGAATTCATTGCTCACCTCGGTAATTAAACAGTCTGCAGTAGCATTTGCATAACAAGTTTTAAGTTCAAATTTGATTTGGTCTCAATCTATTATTCAGAGGCTGTTGTGAGTAGCGGACGTGTAGAGAAGTCTCCTCATGAACAAGAAATTAAGTTTTTTGCCAAGGTAAAGCTAACTAAAGATTCTTTTAAAGTGGGAAATGAGATGACAGGATTTATAAATGCCTCAACATCCTCTGCTACAGATCTTGATGCCATTGATCAACCAATATTTCAAAAACCACTGTCTGTACTTCTTGTCTACACCGGCAAAGGTGCTCGGCAGTGGTGGACACTCATCTAATAAAGAAAAGGAAATGATTGCAAGGTAATAATAAAATAAGCTGCAAACTCTCACTATTACCTCGATTATGTTTTATTCATTTTCATCGTCCACTTTTATTAACAGTATTTTCTGTAAAATGGCTGCTCTTGTGAGACACAGAGTCTCTCTCTTTGGTAAGATATACAGTATTTATTATTGTGTAAAGGGTGACTGTCTGTAACCAATGAGATTTTAACACTACTTCTTTTGAATAAACAGGCACTGACGCCTCGGCTATTGTCAACTGCCTTCACATTCTGGCACGCTCACTTGATGCAAGGTATTAATGATATTTTGACATAACTGTGGTATTTTATAACTTTCACAATTTTATGTTGTTTTTCAGGACTGTTATGAAATCAGGGCCCGAGATTGTGAAAGCAGGACTCCGATCATTCTTTGAGAGTGCAGCGGATGACATTGAGAAAATGGTAGAGAATTTAAAACTGGGAAAAGTATCCAAAGGAAATCAGGTAAGTCCAAGTATATCCCATGTTCAAAACCATATTAAACATAAATGTTTTAAATATAAACATGTTTTACTCTGAAGCAAGTGAAAGGTGTGTCTCAAAACATCAACTACACCACCATCGCCCTCCTGCCAGTTCTGACATCTTTGTTTGATCACATTGCTCAGCACGGATTTGGGGATGATGTCATGTGTAAGATCTCTAAACATTCAGGAAGGAAAGGGCTCTAGAGTGAGTGTAACATGTTTTATGTTCTTCAGTGGATGATCTGCAGATGTCATGTTACCGCATTATGTGCAGCATTTACTCTTTGGGGACGGTGAAGAATCCTCATGTTGAAAGGTAATGTTAGTAAGTAACATTTGTGTTGACGCAAGGTAGATGTTTGTGTAATATGAGAGGAGGAATGTTAAATACAATAGACCATGAGTCAAACAGATGGCATTTGGATATAAAATATGGAGAATCAATAATTGGGTGAAGTGATCGTTAAAGGAGTGTGTATGTAGAGCGTCTAAGCCTGATGCAAGAGAGCTGAGTCTAAATGGATTTGTGGATCTGTGGACTAAAGCTCATGACCAGAACTAAGTTTCTGATGTTCTTGCATATATCTTAGATCAAATCATTTTTTAAAGTCTTTAAAAATCTACTAGTATTTGTCCTGAAGCAAGTCCATACATCTTGATTATCTTATCATTTCAAGAGAGTTACTTTTCTGGTCATGAAATTTCAACTTTATCTTACATTTGTGTCAATGCTGTAGAGGCGCTCTCTAAAAAGTGTATTATAATTTATTTTTAGATTGATTGTGTATTTTGTGTGTTGATGTCATATCTGCCATCTGAATGTGTACTGCATGTTTAGACAGCGGCCTGCTCTTGGGGAGTGCCTGGCTCATCTTGCAGCTGCTATGCCCGTCGCCTACTTAGAGCCACATCTCAATGAGTTCAATGCATTTTCAGTTTACACCACAAAAACTCCCAGGGAGAGAGCTAGTAAGTAACATTTACTCATTCAAACATATTGTAATATCCATTATATATGATACAATAACTAACTGTCTGTTTGATAAAGTTCTGGGATTGCCAAATGAAGTGCAAGAATTGTGCCCAGACATCCCTGAACTGGACATCTTGTTGAAGGAGATTGGAGACTTGGCAGAGTCAGGGGCGCGATACACGGAGATGCCTCACGTTATTGAAATCACTTTACCCATGTTGTGTAACTACCTCCCACGCTGGTGGGAACGGGGCTCTGAAAGCCTCCCTGAGATGGAAGGTCAAGTCTGCACTGACGTCACATCCGAACACCTGAACCAACTGCTGGGAAGCATCATGAAAATTGTTGTTAATAATTTGGGTATTGATGAAGCCTCGTGGATGAAGAGATTGGCGGGTAAGCACAAATTATCAACTTTATTGTTACTTACGTGGCAATAAAAATGATTCTGATTCTGAAATTAAGATAACGTTTCATGAAGTGTGCCCCAGGGCAGCAGTGGCTACAGTAGTAGTTTATCACCAGTGTGTATGGAGTAAAGAATCATGACATGTCTTTTAGTGTGCAGCAAAGCGCTATATAAAACCAATGTATAATTATAGGGTTGGGTGATATGGCAAAAAATTAATTAGTGAATCTCGATTTTATTTCCTGCTTTGGATTTTGAATCGATTTTCATTAAAGTCATCAAAGACAGACTTTGCCCTTAATTTTTTTTTTTGATCTTTCCGCTCAATATTCAAGTTTCAAAACTATTTTTAATTTGTTTCTCCCAATACGCATTATAAAAGTCTAGTATAATTTATGTGCTCTCACAATATCCTTCATTAGATTTCCCGATTTGCCCTACATTATTATTATCATTATTATTATGAAACAGTTGTGTCCTTGGGCAAGACACTTAACCCCACTTTGCCCAAAAAGCCCCCACTGAAAGATCAAGGCTATGCTCACACTCAGAGAGCAGCCGTCCTCCTGTGGACTCACCACCTGCAGAGGGTCAGTGAGGGGCTGGTGCTATGAGACTTGGGTGGCATCTCTGATTGCCACCCCCCTGACCCAGAAATGGATTAAAGGGTAGAAAATGGATGGATGGATGGATTATGAAACAGTTACACATTTATTTGTTCCCCACAGTATTTTCACAGCCAATTGTGAGCAGAGCAAAGCCAGAAATGCTTAAATCCCACTTTATTCCAACAATGGAGAAACTTAAGAAACGCACCGCAAAAGTAGTGGCCGAGGAAGACCACCTGAGAATGGAGGGAAAGTCGGAGGGAGACGAGGAAGATGGAACCATACGTGACGAGTTTGCCGTGCTCTGTAGAGATCTGTATGCGTTGTACCCTCTGCTGATCCGATACGTTGACAACAACAGGTGAACATCATTATATATGACCACTATAGATCTCACAGTGACATAAACCATTGTCCAATTTCTGATCCAGAGCGCGGTGGCTGACCTGTCCAGACCCAGATGCAGAGGAGCTTTTCCGAATGGTCGGTGAGGTCTTCATATTTTGGTCTAAATCTCATGTAAGTTTTTCATGAGGCACAACTATTGCTTGTACATTTAAGCTGCATGCTTAGCGTCTTTTAATGCACACGCAGAACTTCAAGAGAGAAGAACAGAACTTTGTGGTGATGAATGAGATTAACAACATGTCCTTTCTGACGGCTGACAGCAAGAGCAAAATGAGCAAGGTGAGGGGTTAAAGATGGCGGTTTTACAAATTAAGTATGCAATGTCTAAACATAATCAGTTTGAAAATGTGTTATTTCAATTATGACATCTTTTGGATAATGTTCCTCTTGATATAATGGGCCTTAACCTGTTGAAGACAAGGGTGTTAACATTATGTTTTGTCCGTCTCTGTTGGGTTTCTAGGGCGGGGACTCAGAGGTTAGACTTTGTTTCTGCACGTCCGCTGTGCTGATCGCATGGCACCTCACTTTGGGGGAGCTTTTCATCAACCTCTCCAGCACACTGTCACATCTGAATTATATATATGTACACATATAAACACAAACAGAAAACATAAAGATAAAAGCCATCTGGTTTTAGTGCTCTTCCTAACTACAGTTTTGTATTTGCAGCTGTATCTACTTAATCATGAACACATTTCAATCGATGAGCCGCTCAAAGCCTTGTTAAGAATGTGTCATTGCTATAGATACAGTGTTATTCTTAGATATAAATAGAAGATAAAATCCTTTCCGGCTTTACTTCAGAGACGCAGCAGAGACAGTGTGTATCCACTTACACTGATATCAGAGCCAGACTATCATGTACAGATCACTGGTACACCCAACATGCCCCATCACACTGCATGCAGACACAAATAGGTGCCACAGTAGTTCAGGGACAGTTGGACAGGACGCTGCCCCCTGCGGCTGCTCCTCTGTCCTGCCAGTGTGCGAGGGGGGGAGTCTGGAGACGTTTGATGAAAGTACTCAGCTGAAGTTGGGCTCATGGCACTGGGCTCCCGGTAGAATCAAACCTAGTGTGAGAGCGCGGTGCCATTGCCCAGAGATGAGTTTGCTCTTTTTTGAATATAGCTGAGTCTTTCAGAATGTCTTGTATATTTTTTTCAAGGATGGATGACGTATAGCTTTTGTTATGCAGCTTATCGCCTTTAGGGGTGATGTTAGTCTTCTCTGTGCTCTTTCTTCTTTCCTCCCTGGAAATGCCATGGCACAACATGGTTTAGTTTCCTTTAAAGTTCTTGATAAACACACCCACTAACCGTCAAGAATAAAGTAACATTTTCTAACTTACCTCTTTTGCACAAATGATGACCCAATTCTAACAATGATATTAATATGTCGTTAGACACAAAGTGATACACTATGGGGTATATTTATCAAGGGTTTGTGTGTGCAAACAATATTAGTACCCCTTAACATTGGAGCAAACTCCTTTATGATTCAGATAGAACTAAACCAAGTTACACACACTATTTTACTTTACGCATGCAGTTTAGAACTTGCATTGATAAATATTCCCCGAAATGTAGCCTTTTTTTCTCTTGCAAATGCACTAGCGGATTTTAAGCCATTTGTCTCTCACATTTTAATCTTTTAGTTATCAATACATATTTGAGAAATTAGACATTGTAAATCTAACATACCTAACATAACATTTGTTATCAGATTATTTTAATTTCTTCTTTTATATTATTGATTTATTTGCATTCAATTTTTGAATCTAAATTTACCGCTTGCTTTAACTAAACTAAAATACACTGTATGCCGTGTATGGTCTATGCTAATTTTGGAGGACTTTAGAAAGAGCAGACTGTAAGAGGACTGAAAGTGCAAGCATATATACTCATTTGTGTGATATTAAGACCCTCAATAAGAAATAATACTGCTAATGCTTAAGTTGTATTCACTACTACCAAACTAATGATCTAACCCAAATGTATTGATCATATACAGCTTCAGTGTACGGTATTTGCAACGTGTCGGTCTTGATTGTCTTGCATGAATGTCTCTAAATTTGATCCCACTCCGTTCCCTTGTGCAATAAGCTGTATCCTATTGCTTCCTTATAACATGGACCTTACCTCTTCCTGTAACAACCTCCAACCCTGGCACTGAGGTAACTAGACAAAGCAATGTTTGTATCAAGAACCCTAGAGTCTCTCAGTGGATCCATCGCAAAATTTGTTTTTCAAGTCAATGGTTCAATATGGTTTTGCTATATGGTATGGTGTCATTTCTGCACACATTTGCCCAAGCCTGTTCGCACACATCTGGCCTTATTGGCACATTATGAGTTAGTTTTAATGCTCTTTAGATCATCTCTATGCATTTCAGGGTGGAGGTTCAGATGCAGAAAGAACCAAGAAGAAAAAACGAGGCGATCGCTACTCTGTACAGACTTCTCTCATTGTGGCCGCTCTAAAAAAGATGCTTCCCATTGGACTCAACATGTGCTCCCCGGCCGACCAGGAGCTCATTAACCTGGCCAAGATACGATACTCACTGGTACCGCTGAAAAATATCTAATTTTTGCATCTAAATTGTATAGCTATCTCTTAATGTTAATGTGGTTTGTAGAGGGACACAGACGAGGAAGTGAGGGAGTTTCTGCAGAACAATCTTCATCTTCAGGGAAAGGTGAAATCAACAAATCGGCTGTTCCAGTTTTTACTATGTTCAGCCTTATGTTAAATCTCAGGTGCTCTTTTGAACAGGTGGACAATCCATCCATGCGCTGGCAGATGGCTCTGTATAAGGAGATGGCAGGAAAAGCAGAGGATGCAGATGCCCCTATTAAAGTCGTGAAAAGAGTTCAGGAGGTTTCGGCTGTTCTGTACCATCTCGAAGTGGTAAGTCTCTTTTGTGGTTATTCTAATATTCATACTTATCATGCCGATCTTTGGGTAATGTTGTGTTTACAGACAGAGCACCCCTTTAAGTCCAAGAAAATGGTTTGGCACAAGCTGCTGTCCAAGCAGAGGCGTCGGGCTGTAGTCGCTTGTTTTAGGATGACACCGTTGTACAACATCCCAAGGTAGATCCTTTACAGCTGTGTACAACATGTAAAGAGCACATTGTCAGGTTTCCATATATGGACTTACATGTGACTTTTGGAGCTACATTCTCAGACAGCAGGGTCCACTCATTCATCTCTGTAGGAAATCATATTGCTTGAATGACTCATTACGAACTCTTTACTGGCAACTATTTTGGATGAGTGCTGATGTCATCTTTATTGTTTGCCTAATGTGGAAGACGCCGACTAGCGTTAACTTGAAGAGAATTGAGCGGGAATCAAATGACATCCAGCCGAGGAACTGAAGAGCCATTCAGGAGTGGCGATGGTCCATTTCCGCTCGCTAGCTAAAGCCAAATTTGCAAACCCGATTGGTTAGTTGATAGGGCTCATAACTGGATACACATCCATCCATCCATCCATCTTCTTCCCCTTAATCCATTTCTGGGTCGGGGTGGTGGCAACCAGAGCTGCACCCAGTACACAGAGCACCAGCCCCTACCAAAGACATCAAAATAATAACTGTATGCACTCTGTATGATAGCGCTAGACCAACTGCCTCGCCAAACCAATGTACCAGGGAGTGTATCACTCAGTTCATCAACCACCTGCCCCATAACAGGGGCTGTTTGCAAATAGACAGACAGACATATGTTTATATTGTACATAATTTCCTTTTATACAGTTTATAGTTAAATCAGGCTCAACAGGAGCCAGCGCATCTTGTCACAAATGTCCTGTGAGGACTTAACGTGCAAATATGTCAGCTCCACGTCAATATTTACTAGTACAGACTTTAATGCATTATATCAACAGGGGCAGAGAATATCTGTTTGTTCATGTGCTATTTGTAAGGATTAGAGATACATGTTCAGGCCACATCTGACAGTTGGAAAAAAATCAATCCTATGTGAGGTTTGTTTAAAACATTAGGTTTTGAGCTACCTAAATATCTGCATCTGTCTGGGCCTAACAGAGAACAAACAAAACAATTGTGGTTCAATTTGTGTGTTAATCAGAAAGAAACATCTTTATATCCACCACAGGAGAGTAAACCAAAAAGTATCAGTTACTCTTCCTTAGCTACTTAAGAAAGAGTTAAGTTAGTTATGCAGAATGTCATTTATAAGAAATTTGTGCTTTTACCTTTAGATTGCTTCCTGTATACAGATCCTTGATACTTTCCTTTTTGCTTTATTTTTACACAGCCCCTCCACATACTACTGTTTGTCAGGGATATGTCAACTCTGCACTGTATGTGTGTATTTTCAGACACAGAGCTTCAAACATGTTCCTTGAAGGCTACAAACGCAATTGGCTTTTCTGTGAAGGTTATTCTTTTGAGGATTGGATGATTGACGACTTGTCTGTGAGTGACATCATCTCAGGTCAATATGAAGCTTGTTGTTGTCAAATATGTTAAAATTCACTTTCGCTCACAGAAAGCTTTGGAACAGGAAGAAGTAGAGGAAGAAGAGGAAAGGGAAACCAAGCCAGACCCTCTTCATCAACTTATATTGCATTTCAGCCGCACTGCGTTAACAGAAAAAAGGTTTTCAAACACAATAATCTTGTCTCCATTGGTACAAGTAATTATTTTTTCTAAACACCTTATATCCTTGGAATGCAGCAAACTGGACACTGATTACCTGTACATGGCATATGCTGATATTATGGCAAAGGTAAGTCAAACTAAAGCATTACACAGTGACAGTGACAGTGAAAACAGTACTCATTATTATCATTCTTTATTTTTTCAGAGTTGTCATATTGATGAAGAGGAAGAAGGGGGAGATGAATTGGTGGAAAGTACAGAGGATGAGATGCCCTTTGAGGTGCGACAGTCAGAACTGGTAATGGGCGGCGAGGGGCTGGGACCAGGACACAGCGGTAGCTTTCGACGCACGAGTGATCCATCATCAGACATCACATCACTGTCACATCTGTCTCTCCTTCCTCTGTCTGTCTGGGTGTCGTTTATTTGAACCAATCCAGTTTACATTTTATGGACCACAGGAGGCATCTGTAGATTAAAGTATCTAGATTATATGGTCATTATTATTAACCATAGAAAATTGGATTGGATTAAATGAATTAACAAGGTTTTCTAAACATATTAACATTATTAACAAATTTATAAATGTCCCTGCACAGCAAAGTGAGCAGTTTGTTTCATTATGTAGAAAGATACTGTTAAATGCTGCTTGTTATGTAGGTTATTTGGATTTGTCAAAGAAGCAGTTTTTAGGATCTTGATCACACCCTTTTCTCTGCAGCAAACCTGGCTTGGGACTCCGCCAGAGGGTTATTTTTTCATCGGATATAGTTCTTAGTTAGTACTAAGATTTTTCAATAAGTCTGAAGTAATTGTCCCAAGGTCCTTATCCTAAGAAATGGGACAAGGAACAAATGACTAAATTATGACAGAATGGAACTGTGCCTCTTGGCGGAGGTTCCAGGCGTGTGTTTTATAGTTAATATTGACATCAAGTATAGATATTTCTGGAGAGAAAAAAACACGTTTCAAAGGATTGTCTCCTGTAAAACCCCTCCTCTGTCTGGGGCGTATATGAAACTGGGAGGTAGTACGATTCAAATTTCTGAAATTATGAACCTAAAAATAATGATGACAAATTGCCATTCGCCTCCCAGTTTTTATAGCTGTCCAGTCTGCCTCTCCATCTCCTCATGTCTAACACTGTCATAACAGCTTTCACTAACGGCATGATCAGTGTCCCTCCTCACTCACATAGTTAACTGACAGACTACAGAGAAGAAAGCCAGAAACTGAATTAGGGCTGACGAATAAGACAGTAAGATGTGATAAATACATGATACGTACATTTATAAATGATAAATACATGAAAGACATTTAAGGCGCTCCACAGACACGCGCCACACTCGCAAGAGAGACCTGAGGTCCTTGCACACAGTGGTAAACACAGCCAGGCAAATGTGGGTGGGGGGAGGAGGGGTGGTGTGGGAGGGTGTCTGAATGGGCAAGTGAATGAGTGAATCCATTTGATGATATTGATTATTATTACATTATAGTTATGCTTTTTACATAGCAATGGAAAGAAAATGTCTAGTTATACAAATTATAAATACGATTGATTATATTTAGCTTTCTGTAGTCCAACGTTTGCTAATGTTGCAAACGTGGAAAAGTAGTCTAAACACTCCATATTAACAAATTAAGTGAGTTGAATGTGTGAAAGAGTATATTGTAATGCTATTGTGTAACCCTGAAGTTTTATAATTAATAAATGCTGAATAAATATAATGCTGCTTGGCCAGTGGAGGTAAGTGACCAAAGACTGTATACAGACCATGCCATGTAAAAGTATAGTTATATTGTTTTCTCACCGTCTGTAGTAAAAATAAGAAAACTGACCGAATTCTTCCAGTTCTGTTATTTTTACCTAGCCTGACTCTCGCCAGACCCATGTAGTTCGCTGCACTTCACAACCAGACGCCTCTGGTGGAGCATGGCGGAACTACAAGGGTCTGGCGAGAGCCAGGCTAATTTTTACCACCATCTGCCCGCAAATATTTTTACTGGTGTAAATGACACCACACGTTTTCTGGGATTGAGAACAGTGCTTTGTGATGGCCACTTTGTCCTTAAGCCACACTGTACCTTCTTGTGTGCTTGGGGTCATTGGCTATTTGGAAACAGTGTCCAGTTTATTCAATTCATTATGTCTTTTTACATGGTGTAGGTATACTTCTGGTTTCTATTATAACTCAGCTGTGTGTATAGACCAAGAAACAAGAATACTTTTTTACATCATAATAAATATATTGTATATTAACATATTTGTATTGTTCTTAGGAAAAAGAGATGATAAAACAGAGGCTGCTTTATCAGCAGTCCAGACTCCATAACCGTGGAGCTGCAGAGATGGTCCTTCAAATGATCAGTGCCTGCAAAGGTTTAAATCAATCTAATCATAATTACTCCTACTCTATTCTATAGTTCATATTTATTTATTAATATATTTAGGTGAAACCGGCCCAATGGTCTCAACGACTCTTAAGTTAGGAATCTCTATTCTGAATGGAGGAAACACCGAGGTGCAACGTGTAAGTGTCTCCTAAAATTAAATACCTAATGACTTTTAATTATTCTAAAGATTCTAAAATATGTGTACTTCACAGAAAATGTTGGAATACTTGAGGGACAAGAAGGATGTGGGCTTCTTTTTGAGCGTGCAGTCTCTGATGCAAACTTGCTGGTGAGTTTGTTTTTGAATATTGACTGATTTTTACACATGAATAAATGATACAATCCCTTTTGTCACACAGTGTGTTGGATCTGAATGCCTTTGAAAGACAGAATAAGGCTGAGGGGCTGGGCATGGTTTCAGAGGAAGGCACAAGTAAGTCTTAGTGTACTCAATCACTTTCAAGTGAAGTTTTTAAACTCAAAATATGAAATAATGCAGAGGTTTTATATAGTGCTTTGTTTGGACACTTCACATATCATTTTTCTTTCACATCATACACAGTGGTGATAATCAACTGTTGTCACAGCCGTCCTGGGGCATACTGGGGCATACTGACAGAAGCTAGCTAGGCAACCAGTATTTGCCATTGTCCCCTCTGACCATCACCAACCATTCACACACAAATCAGGCTCATTCTAGCCAATGTGGGTGAAGTGTGTTGTCTAATGAGCCAACAACAGTTTAGCATTTATTTACAGCCGCCCCACATATTGTATATCTGTCTATAGCCATATGTCCCAAGGAACAAGTCTATAAATAACATGTGCCACAATATATGCTAAAGCATAAGGATAGCACTACATAGAGCTATATAAAGGCACATTTAAAAACCCTATACCATAAACATGCTCGTTTGATATCATTGTAGTTCTCTTATGATCCACTCAGAGCAATTGTGATCAATAGGTGTATTTTTTTGGATCTGGATTGTCTTAATTGAATGTCAATGTCCAGTTTGCTAACCTTAAATTAACACTGGAGTTAAGCCTTGTAATAGCTTGCTTTGTTGTACAGTGTAGCCACATTGGACTTTTTTGGATTGAAATTTACCAACCTTTTTGTGATCTAATTGTGAGGGCCCATTGATAATTCTATAATTTCCCATGGAGTGAAGTTAATCCTCGCCCTCATCTCGAAGCTCTTTTCTGTTGTCAACAAACTGATCCTCTCTCCCTTCCCCATGATCACTGCCACCTACCCCTTGTGCCTCGTTTCATGGTCCTCAGACATGAGCCTAGATCGGGGTAAATCACATTCCTTTCGAGCTGTCTCTACGCTTCTCTCCCCTCTTTCTCTCCTGCTCTGTCCCTGTCTCGCCATTCCCTCTACCACTAACACTGTTTCTGCCAAAAGGGGACTGGCTCTTCATGTCCATCTTTCATCATGTGTTCCAATCCGTGTCATTCATTTACACAAAATAGAGCGAATGAAATGTGGTGTAATTTCACTGAGGGTGCGTTCACACTCTGGATTTAGTGAACTCTGGTGCGCTTTTGAGATGTCAAAGCATAAAACAAGTGCACCTGGGGCCACTAATCACCTCCGTTAACCCTTAAGGCACAATAAACCTATATAAAACATATGTGACTTCAGACAATGTACAGAAAATGTAAGAAAACGCTTGTGCAAAGTTGCTGTATTTGAAGTGTCCTGGAGGCAGAATCTATTCATCCAAATATTTTCTTCCCCTTTGTCCATTTCTGGGTCAGGGGATGGCAATCAGCTGCCACCCAATTCACGGGGCACCAGCCCCTCACTGATCCTGCTGCAGAAGGATCAGATTCAGAATCTAATGTAGTAATTCAGCTACCCCTGGCATCTAACGGGTTAACTCACATGCTTTGAAACAGTTCAGTGATGTTGTGCTTCTGAAGTGAGCCAAGTCCTCTTGATCAATAAGTGTGAACGTGTCCTTAAAAGCACTAAACCCATGAGTGGTTTTGTACTGATTATTTTATTAATAATTTCAACTAGAGAGAGGTCAAACTCTGTAACCATCGATGTTATGGTCACTTGATCGGCATTAGTCATGTCTCATGGCGAGATGGACGCTGACCCAGTCTCTTTTCATTCTTGGATGTGCATGTATTTTCGCTCATTCTGCCAATGGCTAAAGGTCAAAAATCAAAATACACAACAATGTGTGTCGCTTATGCACATGAAATGGTTAGACTAGTTGTGCAGGTTCATTCTGTCTTTTTGAATGTTTGTGAAATGTACAATGACAGCTGTTTTGTATATGTGCGACGATGCTGTATTATATCTGTTGGTTTGTCATATCCATGTTGTAAAATGCTTTTTAAAAGTCTTCCTTATAGTCATGAGAATGATTATTTGAAAAATGTGTCTAAGTGTAACTGAGCTTTGCAATAAATTTTTAACAAATCCACTTTTTTCATTTGGATGAAAAATACCTCAATACTGTCAAAGCTCATCACTTCCTGACATTTTAAAATATCATTCTGTATTTATTACCAAATTAATGCATACTAACAATTGTAACTACATTTTTTATTCAAAACTTTGCTCTGATGTGTGGTTTTGCAGTGTGATATACTAAACTTCAATTTCCCAGATTACATGGTAAGTTTTACAATTGATATTACATTTCTTACATCTGATCATTGTTCACAAATTAACAGACAGGAAACTATTCGTTCTCATGTTTAAACTTGAATGCAACATATTCTTTCTCTTTTTTTTTCCAGATGAAAAAGTCATGGCTGACGATGAATTCACTTGTGACCTCTTTCGGTTTTTGCAGTTGCTTTGTGAGGGTCATAACAATGGTGGGTTTGATCAGATCAAAAGAGCTGTCAATGAAATTGTCATTATAAATAATGAAGCACCTTCTTCTCTGCTTTCTTTCTTCTCAGATTTTCAAAATTACTTGCGTACGCAGACAGGCAGCACAACCACCATCAACATTATCATCTGCACTGTGGATTACCTGCTTCGACTACAGGTCATTTATTGTGTTTCCTCGTCCAAACACAGACATTTTATGATATTATCTTCTAATATTTTCACAGGAGTCTATTAGTGATTTCTACTGGTATTATTCTGGAAAGGATGTTATTGATGAACCAGGAAAAAAGAACTTCTCCAAAGCCATGACAGTGGCAAAACAGATTTTCAACAGTCTTACTGAATACATTCAGGTGCTTGAGAGTGGAACCTTTTGCTGTTCTCTGTTGTCAAGTGTCTAATGCTCTTTTCCTTCAGGGCCCATGCACAGGGAACCAGCAGTCCCTCGCCCACAGCAGACTGTGGGATGCAATTGTTGGTTTCCTTCACGTATTTGCTCACATGATGATGAAACTTGCTCAGGTAAGAATAATAAACATAAAGAGCACTAAGATAACCAAATATTTTAACACATAAAATAGATCCACTGATGCACATGACAGAACTTCTCATTGTAGTTGAGGGAAAGGCTGCAGCAGGATTATTGTGATGTAGTCCTTTGCACCGAGACGTGTGTGGTTTCAAAATCGAAATACAAACCTCTTTAATTACTTATGTCGCTGCTCAAGTATTATGTAAGCTTCTTGATAATATATAGTATTGACAGAATAAATCTCTTACATAATGAGGTTGACCTATTTGCAATGACAGGAACATAAGTCCCATGGCTTGATATTGTCTTAGAAACAATTAATGAATGAACAAATGTGAATGATACAGTTATGACTTGCCAGAGAACGTTCAGAGCATATTATAATGCACATACATATTATTGCATATTTGCGTATTGGGATCCAAAATATTTTATTTACCAAGAAGTATTCACACAGTTTATTTGTACCACCAGTATGGACTGGATTGAAGTGCTTCCACACTTTAATTTAGTTATAAAAGGTAGCCATAAAACACCAATGTGAACCTTTGTATTCGGTTTTCCTCTCATTTTGTTTTATTGGATAATGTGTCAAGAGAAAGTGTGGAACCGCTGCAGACCATATGGTGAACACCTCACAAATAAAAAGTTAAAAATACTTTGAGGGAGTCTCATAACTGAAGTCATTCTTCCTGGATGACTGAGGCGTACAGCCTGGTTCAGTGTACTGCATGTGTAACAGTGTAGCACTTAGCATTACTGCATCATGAAGTCCCCAGCTCAGCAAACGCTAACTCATAATTCACCTAACACAGCTCCACTCATGCTGTCAGCTTCACGCATTCACATACACATACACAGGCTCAGGCCCACGGTTATATCGTTATTTTAAATGTGCTGACATGTACATGTACGTATGTTCAAAGCTGAATAATAATTATTGAAACTGTCTTCCACATGGTCATTGCAGGGTAAAGTATGTATCTATTTCATTATCTATTGATGTGATCATGTGTTTACTAGTTCAGTGTTGGTTTCTCTTATCAGGCTGTTTTAGCTCACCTGCTTCAACAAAAAATCCATGTCAGATGTAAATATGTTGCCAGCGTCATCTTTGACTCAGAACAAAACACTAATTTAACAGGTAGAGGAGTACACTGTGTGATGCAGTTTTTCTATGATTTACAAGTTCCAGGGGATAATACAGTGGATACTAAGATATGGTTTGATTTTGATTCAACACAAATTAGTTGAGTAAATAGATGTATTTGTTTTGTATACATGTATAATATTTATATTTAATTGAAGCAGGTGAATGTGAAACTCCCTGAGGAAGAGTTTGATGTTTAACCTCCACTGTCGGTTGAAGTAAACACTTTAATACAAGATGATTTGACCTTATCGTGACATCCACCCTGTCAGACTCCACTAAGCTTCAACTAACGTCTAATACTAATGAATGTGCTTTTGTTTGGGGTGATTTGGCTTCTGTGTTGCATGAGCAATGAAAGTTAATAGTTAATATGCATTGTACAACATTAAAAGCTTACTTAATAATGGAAAGAGAGATAAAGATGTTGCAATAGTCTCAAGGATCTCTCTGCGTTTTGATGCAGTTAAATAGACACCTCCAGAGTTAGTTTTAGACAAATAGATTGACTTGAATTAGCCTTATTGGATTTTTCACAGCATGAATTTGATTCCCCTCTTGTCCCAAATGATGAGCAAAAAAAAATCTTAGATTTACTTTAAAATACTGTAATGTTCTTTTGAAATGACTGTGTGATAACCACAACTTCCCAACTGTTCCCATGTGACAAATGATCACTGCATCTTCATGAACGTTTTTCATTATGGTGTTTGATATGACGTATTCCACGTACTGTAAGGCGTTTTCTCTCACCAGGATTCAAGTCAGATTGGTTTGCTTAAGGAACTCCTTGATCTTCAAAAAGACATGGTTGTCATGTTGCTCTCTCTCTTAGAAGGTATGTATATTTTACTATAGCTCTTTCTCTCATTTTTTAACTAAAATGTTTCCGTTTTCAGGAAATGTGGTAAATGGCACTATTGCCCGTCAGATGGTGGACATGTTAGTAGAGTCATCGAGCAACGTAGAGATGATCCTCAAGTTTTTCGACATGTTCCTTAAACTCAAAGACATAGTGGCTTCAGATGCATTCCGAGATTATGTGACTGACCCTCGGGGGCTTATATCCAAAAAGGATTTCCAAAAGGCCATGGACAGTCAGAAGCAGTACAACCCCTCTGAGATCCAGTTCCTCCTCTCCTGCTCTGAGGCGGATGAGAACGACATGATAAACTATGAAGAATTTGCCAGTCGCTTCCAGGAGCCCGCGAAAGACATTGGCTTCAATATCGCAGTGCTGTTGACCAACCTGTCGGAGCACGTGCCTCACGATACTAGGCTACAGAACTTCCTCGCACAAGCCGAAAGCGTGCTCAACTACTTCAGGCCATTCTTGGGCCGTATCGAGATCATGGGAGCGAGCAGAAAGATCGAGCGCATCTATTTCGAGATTAGCGAGATGAACCGCAAACAGTGGGAGATGCCGCAGGTGCGAGAGTCCAAGCGTCAGTTCATCTTCGACGTAGTGAACGAGGGCGGCGAGTCGGAGAAGATGGAGATGTTTGTGAACTTCTGCGAGGACACCATTTTTGAAATGAACATTGCGTCACAGATCTCTGAGCAGGAGGAAGAGGAGAAGGGAGAGGAGGACGATGAGATAGAGGAAGTTGGAGGCGAGGCAGGACAAGCCGCGGTAGCTGGAGGAGGCGAGGAGGAGACCAACGGAGAAGAGCTGCCCCCAGAATCTAGCTCCGCTTTTGCCGACTTCATCAACAGCACTTTAAGCTTCCTGAGTATTTTCACCTTCCGTAACCTTCGGCGTCAGTATCGCAGGATCCGAAAAATGACCCTTAAGGAAATCATTGTCGCGCTTTCCGTGTTTTTCTGGACCATCCTCATGAGCATACTTCACTTTATCTACAGCGTGTGTAAAGGTATCTTCATGATCATTTGGCAAACTCTCTTCGGAGGTGGACTAGTGGAAGGAGCCAAGAATATTACAGTGACCGAAATCCTCGCGAGTATGCCGGACCCAACTCAAGACGACGTGCACAGCGATGGTCCAGGCGAGCAGCGTACGGGAGAGGAGCAGGACACAGGTGGGGTCACAGACACTGGGGAGACGGGCAGTGGAGAGGAAGAGGAGGAGGATACGCAGGAGAACGAAGGAGGAAGGGTGCCGGGTATGGATGCTCCTGGTGGGCTTGGAGACATGGGCATTGAAGCCACTGTAGAGCCCCCTACACCGGAGGGCACGCCCATAACCAAGAGGAAAATGGCAAGTTTTTCAAATTGTTGTATGGTTTATGGTAGTAATATCTGATAGCAATCCTGATGCAACTTAATACAATATTATCCTGCAAGTAACTACGGAACAATTTGTATGAGTAAAAAAAGTTAAAACTATATAGTAAAAAAACTATAAACTACAGTATATATTATTTATAGTATTTTCCACACTGAGCTCCATGGGCAGGTGTGTCAAAACAATAAATGACCGCTGAACATCCTGCACTGTTGTTTATGGACACATCATTCAAATATCAATCACCAAACTCTTTTATGGCTTGTTTTAAAAAGAATACACCATGCCAAGTAATTAATTGTATTTATATAAGAAGAGACAAGGTCACACAAAGATACCTTACTTTCACCAATGATATACACTATATTAATAAATGTTGTATTTATAGAAAATATGTTTTATCATTTGCAGCAACCAGAAGAGGCTGATGGAGGCCAGAAACCTCCTGAGCCTGTTCTCATTGAGGAGCCCCCTCCGGAGCCTGAGAAGGCAGAGTAAGGATGCTTTTTGTTTATTTACCTACAGTATAAAAGATTACTGTTAGTTGTTTTGTTTGTATATTTATATTAGTAGCTAAGGGAGTTATGTATTGTTTGTGTTGAAGTGCTGAAAGTGGTGAAAAGACAGAAAAAGAGCCTCAGGCCAAAGAAGTAAAACAACCTGAAGAGCCAAAGAAATGTGCAGCCAAAAAAGAGAAGAAAACTAAAAGAGGAGGTTTCCAGATCTGGTCTGAGCTGGAAACTCAGAGGAACAAATTCATGGTTTGATATTTGATCTCATAATCATTAGAACAACTAAAAACAATAACGTATATATATATATATATTATGTGTTTCTGTTTCCTCTGCAGAACTACCTGTCGAGGAATTTCTACAATCTACGGTTCTTGGCTCTCTTTATCGCCTTTGCGTTGAACTTCATCCTCCTCTTTTACAAGGTGGGTACTCAGTAAACAAATAAACACACTTACCACTTGCTGATGTACTTTCATCGCAGGTGTCTCCCCTTGAAGAAGAAGAGATGGAGGGTTCTGGCTTCTCCGAGGGCAGTGGTCTTTTTGAAGGGTCCGGCTTGTTTGAAGGATCTGGCGACTCGGAGGGATCGGGGCTGGGTGAAGATGAGGAAGAGGAGGAAGTTCCAGTTTTTTATTATATAGAGGAGAGCACTGGATACATGCAGCCCACCCTGTCCTTCCTGTCTATTTTACACACTGTCATCTCATTCATCTGCATTATCGGATACAACTGTCTCAAGGCAAGTCTCTAAAAAAGCATCAAACAATAAATAAATGGCAAGTTTCAACGTTAATGTTTTGGATGATATACAATGTACATGTATTAGTTATTTACATTCAAGTACTACTTTGGCCAACAAAAATCACGCTGACTAAAAAGAGGGCCTAGAAAGGGATTGTCAAGAATGTCTAAAATCTTTCTCTGATCTGTGTGTGTCTGACTGCAGTCACAAAACTACAACTACTCTGTTGAAAACAACTATATTCTTGGACATGCTGCCATCAGCATGATGCCAGATACATTTGATTTGATTCGATTCTAAATCCTGTGCTAATTTATTCTGACCTTCTAATATCTCTTCTTTTCTGCATTGAAATTAAATGAAAAAAGTCTACTCAGGTCTTACTCTCTTGACCACTGCATCTTGCACTCTCTGCCCAGAGTTTAAATACGATCCTATGCAACGCTTGTCTTTGTCTTGTGAGACGACACCGCCACAATCAACAACCAGCAGTGTCAGCCGATCTCTCTGCACAGACAACAATCCACAATTGTCAGACATTACTTCCCCTTTTCAATAACTACTCCTGTTTTGCTTGGAAACAGGAGCAGGGAATTCCCCACATCAGACTGATAAGATGAATATTAAAGAAACATGGAATATTTTGGTTCATAACATGGGTTTCAATTTCTCGTTCAGATTCCACTGGTGATTTTTAAAAGAGAGAAAGAACTTGCCCGAAAGCTGGAGTTTGATGGCCTTTACATTACAGAGCAGCCAGAGGACGATGACATCAAGGGCCAGTGGGACAGACTGGTCCTAAACACACCGTATGTTTTCACCTCAGCGCAAATCGCCTTTTTGTATTTTGTAAAATATTTATAATTGTTGATTTTGGTCTTACAGCTCTTTCCCAAACAACTACTGGGACAAGTTTGTAAAACGAAAGGTATGTTCATTAACACTTTACAGGTCTGTTGAATTAAAGCTGAGGGACCTAACCTTTCCCCTTCATAATTATCACGTGGTTCCAATAGAAAGTATCGTGAAGATAAAATGCCTGTGAACCAATCAGACCACAACATGTTGTCTTCATCTTAATAGAGGGAAATAATAGAACATTATCTTTTTAATACTCTAAGAAAGAGCCCTATGTGAGTCAGTATTTGACTCTTTGGGCTCAGAGCTGATTGGGTGAGGGTGATCCTTTCTTTTTCACAAAAGCTGATCTAAAGATGTGACAGAGGCCAAATGGGAAAACTAGTGATAGAAGAAAACTAGTTAGATACATTTTATTTCATAGTTACTTTTTGTTGTAGTTTGAATATTAAGTACCCCAACTTCAGATGAAGTCTATTCAATGTTTTTTTTCATATACAGGTCCTGGACAAATACGGGGATATTTACGGCAGGGAGAGGATTGCTGAGCTCCTGGGTGTGGATCTTGCTTCGCTGGATGTGAGCCAGCAACATGGGAAAAAACAAGAAGAACCAGACAACTCAGTCTTTGCATGGTACAGCACTTTGAACCTCCGCACAGACAAAACATTCTTTATCAAGTATCACCTTTTTTTCCTTTCAGGATGACCGCAGTTGACCTCAAATACCAGATATGGAAATTTGGTGTAGTGTTCACAGACGGGGTAACGCACGGTTTACAATACATACACCAATGATGTGATTGTTTCCAAAACACTTTCTTGTTTTCCTTATTTCAGACCTTTCTTTATCTGTGTTGGTACACAATCATGTCTTTGCTTGGACATTACAACAACTTCTTTTTTGCCTGTCACTTGTTGGATATTGCGATGGGAGTCAAAACCTTGCGCACAATTCTGTCATCAGTCACACACAACGGCAAACAGGTAAAACAAACTAAAATCCTGTTAAAAAGTACTTTACTGGATGAGGTTTGTTTTGTCTCGGCAGCTCATGATGACCGTGGGCTTGTTGGCCGTCGTGGTCTACCTGTACACCGTTGTAGCTTTCAACTTCTTCAGAAAGTTTTACAACAAAAGTGAAGATGAAGATGAGCCCGATATGAAATGTGACGACATGATGACTGTGAGTGAGCATAGTTGAGAAAGTCCTTCATAAATAAATGCATTATTAAGGACAGAGTGAAAGCGTGTATCAAGCAAGAGCAGACGTAGGATCTGTGTTGAGTAAGGGATAATGTATAGTACGCAAGTCATTATCGGAAAATAAGGACCAACAGGGCGAAGCGGAGGGGTCTGCGTACTGTACTGCGAACTATACATTATCCCGCTTATTATACGGCTTTGTACCAACAGAACACACCAAATAAACTTAGGTCCACTTTTAGGAATGCCGAAAGGTTTATTTAATGACAGAAAATAAAATAGTTCCCAAAGGTTTTCCCGTGGCTATGCGAGTAACAGCTAGGCTAGCAACTTCCAAACTAGAACTCTCAATGTACTCTAACATTGAGAAGTACTCTCGAAGTACTCTAACTGCATGAAAACTGAACAAAGAATTCTGAACATCAGGGGTGAGTGACCCATACATAAACTTAACCTAATGCGGAGAACCCGTAGGTTTCCTCCGAGCACTCCAGTTTCCCCTACCACTAAAAGCATGCACACTAGGTTAAATCCTCCAGCTCCGGTAGTCCTGACCAAGCCGAGCATCAACATCTGGAGATTGGGAACCAATCGGGTCAAATGCAGTGGATTGAATTGCCCTACGGGGATCAATAAAGTGCACCTTTACCTCTACCTTAAATCCATAATTTGATCCTCTGCAAATGTGTCCTAAAATGTCCTGGAATCTACTTTGCGATCGCTTTTTTGTCATGAAAACCTTAACAGATACTTTTGAAAACCTCCGTGCATAATTAAGATAATAATAGATAAATAATAAAATGTGCGTTTATTGAGCGTGGCTAACAGCTAAGTGGCCAGACTACTTGCGGAGTAATCTACACATCTGAATTACAAGCAGAGGCTGCGTTGCCATGGGCCGCGGTTATTATTGTTTTGAAAGGTCCGTTATCAAGAAATGACCGGTAGAACGTTTTGAAATTACATTCAAATCAATGGAGCATTTTACTGCTGCTGTGAGGAGCCGTGTAATAAGTCTGTATAAATACAATCCACATCATCTAAAACATATTGCCTGAACAATTATTTTCTATAAATCAAAGGAATAGAAGATGTATTTCTGTAATAGTTTAAAAGCAAGGTAATTATTCTAATGCACAATTCTGATGTGTTTTTAAAAGGTAGATTTTTCTCCAAGTCAGTAAATTATAGGTAATTATAGGAGGACTCTTTCAAACTATGTGCACATCGTGCTGTTGCAGTGTTACCTGTTCCACATGTATGTGGGTGTGCGAGCTGGAGGCGGCATTGGGGACGAGATCGAAGATCCTGCTGGAGACGAATACGAGTTATATCGAGTGGTCTTTGATATCACCTTCTTCTTCTTTGTGATTGTCATTCTGTTGGCTATTATTCAAGGCAAGAAAACAAAATTCATCTGAGGAGAAAGGGCAAAAAAAAAAAAAAGACATTTTAAAATGTGTTTACATTTACTTTAGGTTTGATCATTGACGCTTTTGGAGAGCTGAGAGACCAACAGGAGCAAGTCAAAGAGGATATGGAGGTACCATATACAAAATGTTTCATGGGAATATGGGTCTGCACAAACAATGATGCATGTCTTTCTTCTGACAGACGAAATGCTTCATATGTGGCATTGGGAGCGACTACTTTGACACTACACCACATGGGTTTGAAACCCACACTTTTGACGAACACAATTTGGCAAATTACATGTACGTTATTATCTCTTGTTAATGTTCCTATGTATGTGTGTCTACTTAATATTAATTTGTTGTATATTCAGGTTTTTCTTAATGTACCTTATCAACAAAGATGAGACGGAGCACACAGGCCAGGTCAGATGGAATGTGTTTTTATTTATTTTTGTCTGTTTTCATTTAAAGTAGCTAAATATGTGTATTTCATGTTTTGTTTAGGAGTCGTATGTTTGGAAAATGTACCAGGAGAGATGCTGGGACTTTTTTCCAGCTGGAGACTGCTTTAGAAAGCAATATGAAGACCAGCTTTCTTAGTCCAACTTCACTTTTTAAAATAGAGATCAATTTATTCTTTTGGTTAACCATTCCCGGATATTTTGTACACAAAAATCAAATGCCCAAGTTTAACATCAGTTATTATGGGATATAAGATAAGCGACATTTGTTTGTCCCACAGTGGGCATATGTTATCATATTCTGTGATCAACAAAAGATCTCGATATATTGTTTTTACATTCAGCAAAAAAGGTTTCAACAGTTAGACTTGAGAAATTGTGTTTTTTCATTATTTATTCAAAAGGACTTGTTTGTGACTGAGAGTGAAGGAAGCAAATCGATTGTTTTATGTATTTGTCTGTCTGTAAGTAAATAAATGTGACTCTGAGTACTGTATTGGTCGTCAGGCTCAATGGTGTAGTCGAGTGGCACATTGGAATTTATAATTTTTATTTTATTTATTTATCTATTTCTGGCAACACAGTTGTTATTAGCTTAAAAACATATGTTTTACAAAAAAGGTGGATTTATTATGCAATTTTTTTTCATTTAAATGTATTATAATCTCAACACATGAGAAACAAATTGCCTATTTTTTTCTAAAGCCAATGATTTATAAAGTCTATATTGAATAAATATATTAATCAATTACAAAAATTTGAAGACATTTTATACATTTGTATGATGTGTATCTATTCACATGTTTTATATTTGACCCAGGGCTTTAGTGTTCTCCTCAAACCTGTTAAACTACAGCTGTTGTGTTGTTGGGCAAGACAGCTCGCTCACCTGTAGGATGATCATAGTGAAAATCTGTTTTATGTCTTATTTAGCGCTGAAAAATAGTTCCCTTTCCCAAACTGCTCTGAATCTTTAGTTGTGAGAGGGAAAAACCGATGAACTGTGGTTCTATAGAAGAACATCCATCTGAATGAGGATTAGTGAGCATTAAACTCACATTGCGGCTCATGTGCTTTTGCTCAGTTGTCATCAGGCACTGTCCCATTTCTCCATCACTGCCAACATGAACGCCACAGGAATACATCAGGGGGCACTCCGAATGTACGGTGAGTTTTCTGCAACATCTACTACCAGCATTTAACAAACATGTTCAAATATAGACATTATTCTTAGACAGATAGAATACTGCTCAAATACCCATATTTTTTTATGAAAATCCAGTCATTTTAGAGATACTTTGTTTAGCCTATATATTTTCTTCAGAAAGTAGACAACATTTCATCGGTATATGGTATCATTGTAGACTATGATTCATTGTATTTTAGCCATGTCTTAGCATTGCTTGACAACATATAAACACTAAAAACACCTGTGAACAATACAATAATAAGTTTAGCATCTTTATAGTATATTGCAGAATGTCACTGTTGATTATGTACTTGTTACAGTGTGTTTGGCTGACATTCTGATGTAGCGTGTGAATGGGACGATGTAGTAGGTTGAAAAACCTAATCTTCCAACCATCTGACCGCCTTTAATCTTTGGGGATGATAGAATTGCTCTAATCTGTTTGCTGCTATGATGTTCGTGAGACTGAGAACACTTACAATCTGTAAGTGTCACCATCAGAAGGCCCAAAAATGTTATTACATTCTTTCTATTTTAACGTTTTTTTCATAAGGTGGCTTTCTCTTCAAGCAGTGGAAGAAAAGGTTTCTGCTGCTGACCCCTGATGGTGGCCTGCTGGTCTGCCCCAATGCCACGTCTTCCCCTGATCAGCTGCTGTCCCTACAGAGCGACTGTGAGGCCATCGCTGAGGGCAAAGACATTCTCGATCTGCCCAAGTTACCTCCAGGCGGAAGCCGAAGCTGCTGCTTTGCTCTCATACTTAACCAGAGCAAGTACCTGCTACTCCTGGCAGACACGGCTGCAGACTGCAGGTTGCACTCAAGATGAAATGTTCATGAACCATCTATTGCACTAATATGCCTTTCTTTTTTTCAGTCAGTGGCTGAATATTTTGAAAAAGGTGAAACAGGTGTGTTTTGGTCTAAGTAATCTGTAATGTTTTTAAATTATGTGCATTAAAAACATGAACAACTATTCCCTATAGAGTGTGTCATCAACAGTTAGTTCTTGTAAGAGGCATCAGGTGCCACCACACATAACACTGAAGGATGTAATGCCGGAGCAGATCCCAGAGAGAGATCCACCGACGCATCCTGTTGGTAACACAGAGGCCTCCTCCACAACAGCAGGCACCTGTGGGTCACCAAGAGAAGGAGGTGAGTGCAATGGATTTGCAGCATTTTATACTGTTTCTACAACATATGTGTCTGTATTACAGGCAGGACGACCCTCCGCACTCAGCAGTCAAGAGGAGGGGCACATTCAGGGGCATGCCTGCGCCACGGCACTATCAGCAATGCACAGGCCATGAAGGCTGTGTATTTGCTTATGGGAGGGGCTGCTGCCTCCTCAGCTTTAGGTTACCTTGGCACATGTTCCCCCGCTAATATGGAAGCTAAAGCTCCTGATTTACCACCTAACTCAGATTTCTCTGGCATTGGCCCTACTGGGACATGCCACACCAGCAGCCCCGGGCTGGACTCTCCTCACTATAACACCTTTGACTTTGAGATGGCAGACTCAGATTTTGATTCCTTTGATTGTGGAGGGTTTACTTTCTGATTATAGACTGGTTTGATTTGTTTGCATGTCACTTTAGATTTAAGGGCTCTGGCATACATTTTTAATGGCATCTATTGGATTATGAAAAATACAAATATCAGGTGAGCTGTTACTTTAGCAGTATTAGTGTGTTTCTTTATTTTGTTTGTTGACTCAATTTTAAACCTAAACGGCACCTAGTTAATAACTCAACTTGTTTTAGAGCTCATACCCAGTTTTGTTGTAGTTTTTAGACACTGTATGGCTCAATAAAACAAGGCTTATGACAAAAAGACTGTTTGTTATTTGAAAGTCAAAATGTAGCTTGGAAACTCATGTATAATAGATGGATGTGCAGACCAGCTTAAAGTGAAGGTAAACATTGCTTATGTGTGAGAATACACAAACCTGTCGACAACAGGTCCAAAATTTGAAGTAACGAAGGTCATTATCATCTTCCAGTTCACACACATCATGTTTACTCATCCTATTCCAGTCCTGCTTTATATAACAAGTATCTATGCTCAATAGATATATCAGATAATCTTCAAAGATGTGTTTCAGTGAGCGGTTGTTGAAGCAATCCATCCTACTCAGATGCTGGTGAGATAGCATGACTACCACAAAATAAGGCCACTGTAAAATGTTCAGTTTTCTGATACTGACTTCTCTCTCATTGCAACACTTTGCCTAAAGTTGAAGAAGTTGATGTGGCCTGCATAAGGTTGGTCCACTCCTTTGACCATGTTTGAGATGCTCTGGATCGCTGAATACAACTGTGTGTTCCAGTTCCAGACAATATCCAGCAACATGAGAGTCACTGAAGAGGAGTGGACCAACATTCCACAGACCACATCAACAAACTGATAATCTCTATATGAAGTTTGGTATTGTGAAATGCAACTTGTGGTTTTACCTTCTCCCAAAAAATGCAAAACCTTGACCTTTTATTGTTGAGTCTACTTGACGTGCAGTATTTACACATATGTTTAATCAGCCAATTAATATGCCACATCTGTGGTGTGGGATGGGGAAATGCTCACTGAAACAAACATCGTGGACACATTGGCATCAGAGAGATCAGCTCAATGAACTCATGGACAATGAGAGCAAAAACAAAAGCACAGCGTGTATATATTTGCTCAGTGAAATCGAATGATGTGATGAGCATGGACCCAAGCAGTGCACCCCGGTCTGTTCTTGAGTATTCAGGCTCTTGTGGATAGGCTCAGATGCCGTATCCAGACCAGATAGGCCGTAGACGAAGACCGTACAGTGGGTGGGATAGGCTGATGCTGCTGCTGCTGCTGCTGCTGCTGCTGCTCCAGTTTCTCAGGCTTTGTCACCGCCCCCTGCCCCGCCCCCTGCCCCGCCCCCTGTACTGCCCCTGTCCTGCCCATGGTCCTGCCGCAGTTGCCTGTGGCTGTCTCGTTCATTCAGAAACAGGCTAAACTCGCCTCAGGACGGCTCCTGTGCTTTCCCCAGCCCGTGTGTCCCAGGCATGGATGAGGGCTGCACAACGACATGGCTCTGCGACATTACACACTCGACGTCAGCCTCTCCTCGCCAGGTACGGGCTTGGAGGACGGGCACCATCCGCAGCATGCTAGCGGCTAACTAGCCTGCTAGTAACCTGCTAGTGTGACACTGTCCTTCAAAACAAAATGCTTTCATTGATCTGGATTATGTCGGCTATAAGTGTTTGCATGTTTATGGGACCAAAGATACGTGTACATGAACATAATAAAATAAATTTATATAAACTCTTGGTATAAGCACTTTGGTCATAAACATCCCAGCATCATGTGTGTTTCTGAAGCTGCACACCACAGATTTGTTTCAGTGAAGTTACCAGCTGCTCACATTCTTACATTATATCGTTGTCCATGTCGGGATGTTATCGATGGCCTGTTCTAGATTAGTTATCTAGTTATCAAGTCCATTTACTGTCTTTTCCAGTTGACTGTGCTTCTACGGTCCATGGCCTCCTATCCATATTTCATGAGCAGGAAATGACAGAGACTATTCACGACACAGATGGTCATGGGAGCATCGCCACTTTTGTGGGCAAGAATGGCCGGTGAGTCCTATCTATATATGATTTTTAATAATGGCCATCATTTTTGTTACATCTGTGTAAATTATAGAGTAAAGCATTGAATTCCAATGAAGACACTTATGGATTAAAATACTATAAATTTTGGTATGTTAAGAAATTATTTTAAGTGGGTATAAGTGTCTAGCCGAAAGGACACAATAGCTATTGTCCATTAAATTACTAAATTAGCTCTGTCATTGATATCTTTTGAGAGCATGTTGTTTAATCATTATAAAATCAAATTATGCATTTTTGAGTGGCCAAGGAAGATAAAAATGAATGATGAACAATAGATCACATGGAGAGAGAAAAAATCTACAGCAGGGATATCAAAGTCAAATACATCATAGGGCAAAAAAAAAATGTTTCGAGTCAAGGGCCGGACTGATTAAATGTTTATTGAAACATTAAAAGGATTGCATATAACCTACTGAACCAACACCTAACACAGTGTACCCTATTTTATTGAATGATTAAATTAATAATCCAATATTTGTTACTGCACTGTCAGTAAATTCAAGTGACATTTGTCAATAGGCTCACAGACAAAAACAAACTTCCTTCAAAGAGACAACACATGTCATGATTATTAAATAATAATCATAATAATCATGTCATGATTATTAAATAAAAATAATAATCCAATGGTTCTTATGGCTCTGTGGTAGGGATGTACCGATCCAGATTTTTTGTAATCCGATCCGATTCCGATATTCTTATTGTTTTGCCGATACCGATCCGATACAATTTTTTCTAATATTTTCAAAGCATTAAAGATTTTGCATTTTTACCTGAATAAATATGTTTATCGTGTCGACTAACACACTTTAGCAGCTTTGTTTACAGTCACAGGGAATGAGGCTCGAGGAATATGTTCACAAGCAGTCTCCCCCATGGTTAGTCCTGTTTTGTGTCTCCATGACGGCTCTGTGCGGCCGCTCTTTGATAGCCGCACGGAGGAAAAAGTTCATCACTTGCTTTCGCCGCATGCACCGGGTCCTTGTGTCCACTGCCTCTGCTAAGCCTCCCACGGACATGCATAACCATTGACACGGCATTGAAAAACAATCTTTAGATCCATATACGCTACGCATTGTGCGGTTGTTGTTTTGCATTTCCCAGAAAGTTTTGCGGTTCACGCTTGGCTGTGATAGGTCGAGAAGCCTATGCCTACATCCCTCAGAATGCTGTGGGTCTCTGACTCTGCTTTACTTCCTGTGTTTTCGTCTGGTTTTTTCCAACGGATTAATGTTAAACTAACATTCTATCGACCCCGTTTTCTATTGATATCGAACACGTGTCTATCGCAATATATCTCGTTGTCTTTTTAATCGCCCAGCCCTAGTTTAACATTGTATTTAGTTTACGGCAGCCGTAAAGCGTGAGCATGCTGAAAAGTGACGTAAATCGGCTTAATATTTTACAAATCCGATTTTATCCGATCCTTACAAAATACCCATATCGGCCCCCGATACCGATACTGAATGTCGGATCGGTACATCCCTACTCTGTGGGGGCTGGTTCTAATACTAGTCAAAAATGATTCTGGGGCCAAGACAATTAATTTGCGGGCCGGATCTTGACACCCAAGATTTAAAGCGATCAGGCCTTGACAAACTGGTAATTGCTGGACAAAACTCCAATAGGACTACTAATTTTTCATGTTTTTTCATGCCCTCTGCAGAGTTGTGCTGCTTCGTGTGCACACCCAAGGCTTAGTCACCATTGATCTTCAATGTTATGATGATGATAACCTTGTGCAACTAGACAATGTAAGCAAGACTTAATTCGGGTAACTTGCAACTGTAATTACATAGTACTTGTATCTTGTTTTTTCCACAGCTTTTAAATGCACTGGAAAAGAAACTCAAAGTTCTATTACATGGCAATATTACAAGAATAAAGAGGTAAAATGGAACCAAATGTAAGGAGTAAAAAGCAAGCAATTATTATGTTAAAACAACTGTACTTTTGTCTCTAGGCTCCCTCCCCTCAGACGTGGTGCTGAGGTGGACCGGTACTGGCCCACAGCTGATGGCAGGCTCATTGAGTACGACATTGATCGTGTGGTGTATGAGGAGGATTCTCAATACCAAAACATAAAGATTCTCCACTCGCAACAGTTTGGGAATATCTTGGTCCTCAATGGTGATGTTAGTAAGTACAGTTAAATAAACATTTTAAATAAAGTGATTGGTATTTAGAAAGGCTTGATGTTTTTGCACTTCTTACAAATGTAAAATTGGATCATTGTTTTTGATGCAGACTTGGCCGAGAGTGATTTTGCGTATACCCAAGCCATCATGGGCAGCGGAAAAGAGAATTATGCTGGAAAAGAGGTGCTGATTTTAGGGGGTGGTGATGGAGGAATCCTTGCTGAAGTCGTGAAACAAAAGCCAAAGATGGTCACAATGGTTGAGATATCCTTTTACACGAACTGCTATTTGGATATGACCTCTTGTGTCTGTATCCCAATATGAGATAGATAATAAAACTAATTATATATGTTTGTGAATGTCATATGTCCTTAATCAAATTTAAACATTGACCAGAAAGTAATAGACGGGTGCAAAATGCACATGAGAAAGACTTGTGGCAATATTCTGGACAACTTGAAGGGAGACTGTTACCAAGTAAGTGTCTTCTTTTCTAGGGTTTGTCACATTAGTTTTGTCTCACATTAGTTGTCTTACTTGCCTTTCCTAGATATTAGTGGAGGACTGTGTTCCTGTGCTTAAAAAATATGTCCAAGATGGGAAGACATTTGATTATGTTATCAATGATCTTACTGCTGTCCCAATATCGACAGAACCAGAAGAAGGTTTGCAATACTCTCATTTTTACATTTGTATTTGTACACACTCTAACTTTTTCCTTTTGCTGCAGATTCAACATGGGAGTTTCTGCGTCTCATTTTAGATCTGTCAATTAAAGTCCTTTGTTCCACTGGCAAATATTTCACACAAGTGAGCTTAATTTTTTTCAAACCTTTTACGGATCCCCACGGAATATGTTTGATGTGATTAACTGTGTCAAACAGGGGAACAGCGTTAATCTGACAGAGGCACTGAGTCTGTATGAGGAGCAGCTGGGGAAGCTCTCGTGTCCTGTGGGCTTTTCCAAAGAGGTGGTGTGTGTGCCCTCCTACCTGGAGTTGTATCCTTAAACACTGACCATATTTGGTCGTATAAATATACAGTATGAACCTTCCTATTTGGTTTTCCTAAACATGAACTCTCAGATGGGTTTTCTACACCGTGTGGAAGAAGTAATATTTTATCTGCGTGAATCCCTGCTTCTGAAATGTGAATGCTTCCATTTCTGCTGTCCTAAAGGTCTGTTCAGACTGTACAGAATGTTGTATTACCAGTTTAAATCATTCACAACCAGGTTTTGTCCAAATTAATGGTGACAGGCCTTAAGGGGCAAGAAGGAGTTCCTGCGTTTATGAAAGTCAGTTTTGACAGTCTGAACACTCCTTAAATTGAAGATGGCTGCTTTACTCATCCCCTTGTCATCCTCTTTATGCAGTATGGATTATGCTTCTAAGTTTTACTGCTTTTAGTTGTTTTTATTTGGATATGGATCATTGGCTTGTTTTGTTACTTGATTACGAATGTCCATTTGCATGTACTTGTACACTTGCTTATAAACACTGATAAGACTAAGATGTAGCTCATCTATAAGAGTTTACCTTTTTTTACTTTTTACTGATTTTTGAAAATTTTGAATTACTTGAGTTTTCCGGTTACTAATTGCAACCCCAAATAGACAGAATTTTATGGTATGGTATTGTTATCGGCACTCAAATGTGATTGTTTGGGGTTACAAAATGTGACGATGGGTAAAAGACTGTCGTCTGAATGTGTTTTAAAAGGGAAATAGTTCCACACTTTAATGCCACCATTGTGTCTGTGTTTCTGTTTGATTTATTTTTACACTTTTAAAGACTGTATTAGGTGCATGTAAAGGACGGTGAATGTAGCTGATTATACAGTACATGACACATTAGGGATGGGTGAGTCTTGTGGGACGTAATTTTATTTATTCAATATGATTTCACCAAAAGCTGCGTTGTCCCACTTTAGTGGCCATTACATATTAAAATGTATTTTGATGGAGAAACTGTTGTCACTGTTTTCAATCTGACGTAACAGAACATGTCTTAATCAAACTTAATCCAAAAGAGAAAAGACCACAAAGAAATGTAAAATGTCAGATACAATTGATGTTTTTAATACAAATAATAAATATAAAGTATAACTATTGAATGAATCAATGTTACAGTTATGTACAAAACGCTCAGTGCAAACATATATAACATATATATTATATATTATATATAATCCAATAAACCCAGTTAAGTTTCAAATTGGGGCCAGTTACATTTTGTTCATTAAAGTTAATTGTTATTGTTGCTGGTTACAAAAGAAATACATAAACCTCATTGAATATTGTGACCATTTTTTAAATCATTTATAAATTAAAATAATTTGACACAATTTGCACAAAGATAAAGTGCATTTTTTTTAAAGTGATTTTAGTGATAAACATTTGTTAAAGACATTTAGGCATTCAAGGTCGACAGAGGGGTTTTCTGTGGCTGCTGATTTTAAATGTGAATTAGGAGGTTATTCTATCATCCATCAGAGATGGATGTTTATGAAAATGGCTCATTTGAGGAAGAAAACAAGTGTCTTGTATTTTAAGCAAAATGTTATTGAATATGTTTTTAATATCACTAGTTTTTACAAGGACAGTTATGATTGGAAAGAAACAGAGCTAGACCAAAGTTTTTTTGTTTTTGTTTTTTCTTTTACAATAAAAATTACAAATTAATTTCTTTGCCTTAAAATGCAGGGGTAACATGCAATAGTAGCACATTCAGTAGTACTCCCATTATTTTAAATATGCAAAATAAAAGTCGCTGAGTGGTTAAGACTGATAATTGATATACTATTATTATTACTCAGTATCCTCAATATGTTATATTGTATATAGAGGTCGACCTTACACAGTGCAGTTATAGGCGTCTGTATTGACTGTTGATCTCGTTAAGTACCACATCCATCCTAGGGTCTTCATCTGCCGTACTTATTCGATCTGGAAATGGACCCCCTGAAACACAGCAGTATTCAGGATTATCTAGGACAGCAGTCAGAAATCTGAAGCTGAAACACCAAATACATTTGGACACAACTCACCATAACTGTTCATCTGGTCGGAGCTATCACTGACGAGGTATGAAGAAGAACTGGATGAGTTGTTGGATTTTGAGGATTGAAGAGACGTTATCATGGACGACTTCTTTGCTGTTTTCTGTGTTGCGGTACGGCTCCACTCTGAACACATAACATTACATTACATAAAAATCACAATGAAATAGGGAAGCGACAATTGACAATGCTCAAAACAAGACGATAGTTTAACCAAGTCAGTTCAACCTCACCTGAATTTTCTGCCAGTCTCATTCTTCCACAGCAGAGGTATGTCCTCCACTGTCTTCGCACATTTTCTTTTATAGCGCAGTGAAACACAAATATAAAGAAACCTATAGGACAACAACAATAGTTACCCCCTTTACCAAACTTGGAGGTCTTTGCCAAAATGTATCCAACATGATAAAAAGTAAAAACAAATGAATTCTGTGATCCCTGCATTTAAATTGGTGTCTCTCAAAAAACCACTTACCATGTAAAGAGTTAAAAATGGCAAAAAGATACATAAACGGAAGGTTGAGAGGTCCCCATGCAAAAAATGCAAATCCCCAGGAGAGGCCAAGGAGTATAGTTATCCCCACCACGCTCCGGACGTCCTGAAAGGTGGTCCGATGCTGCAAGTTCTGTGGGTTCTGCCGCTTCAGTCGACACAGCTGAACCAGGACAACGATGAACATGATGACGTTGAAGAGAAATATGACGCAGAAATAGGCCACCACAGCCACGTAGAAGGCCACGTCATTTTTTATCCAGCAACTGTGAAGCAACGGCAGAGGAGAAACCATACAGTTCACTTGCAGTAGTAGTTGGGGCATTGCAATGTGATATTGAAATATTATGCATTATTATTGTTCATTAAAATGACAGTGAGACATTTTACTTTGTCATTTCATGTTTTAAAAAGTATTAAATGGAAATTTGCATATGAATTTCTCCTGTTCGGGAAAGGCTTACTGCAATTCACCACCAAATATACGTATCATATTTACTTGATGAAGGCTTTATGCAGAAACGTTGCATATGCATTTCTGAAGGTGATATCAAATTTTAAGTAGAAAATATATGAAAGTATGAAAGATTATTATTTTTTTTTATTTTTTTGAAAATTACCAGTTGCAAACACAACAATTGTAAAGAATATTGTTTACCTATAAAATGTACAAATCTAATTTATGGGCAGTACTTTTGATTTAAAAGGCAGAAATCTTCACTGAGTTTAAGGTCACAGTGTAGCTATGACCCAAACAAAGACACGAGAGTTACATGTTTGTGCCAGAACAATACTCGTATTAGTGTGGATGGTCTAAAATCAACTGGAGGGAACAATGTTGTAGCAGCATGGTTATAAAAGCTCAATAACATAATACCTCTTCTTTAACTATCTATCACATTTACCCAAAATAATGAAAGACTCACAAATCATCGGATGTGCCATCAGAAAACTTCCCATAGGACACAAGCCCATAGTTGTCTTTGTCGATGGCAATGACTATGATGACCACAATCATGGGTATTCCCCATCCGGCCAGAGAAAACTTGACCATATAACGGGATATGTAGCTGTTGAATACTTTAACAAGAGCGATGTACATATGGACGGCCTCCAGCCCCATCCACGTAAACGTAACCAGCAAGAAATAGTGTAGGAACCAAGCCGTGGAGATGCAGAGGCCCACAGCGTCGGGGAAAAGAGCCAGCCAAGCGTCCACGAGGAACACCAGGTTTAGAAGAAGTAAGGCCAAGCACAGCTGAATGAGGATTTTAGAGGGGATGTCTTTGCGCAGTTTTCTGTGGAGAACAACATAAGAAATCCATTGAAAACAAAAACAATACTCACTAAATATGAATATCTGTAGTAATAAAAACATGTATGTTATTGGTATGTGTAGTGCTGGAGTAACTAGATGTAAGAAGATGTAATAAAAAACATTTAAAAAACCTTAGGGACTCCAACTTTAAGGTTAAACAAAGCCTCTCTGTCACATACATTTGGTTGAATTATACAATAATGACATTTGAATCACCAATAATAGAACAATAGTACTATGGTCCGTGTACTTTTGTTTGTACGTTGTTTGCTGTGTGCCTAAAAATGCAATATAGCCTTTTTTCGATTTTCGATTTCCCTTCAAAAATAGAAAATGTATTGAAGCAAAAGTACACGGACCTACTATCTGGCTATCTCTGGTATCACTCACCCAAAAGCTAAGTATGTGAGGAGGGTGACAGCTAAGAATATTGCTGAGACGCCACAGCCGATGTATGTTATAAAAGTCAGGATAGTGGCATGGACTCGGCTTGTTATGGTGTCCCTGGAGGGATCCTGAGACAAATGTGGAAAAATAATATTGTCGTAATAATTGTCTTTACATATTTTTTATAGATAGAGTTTAAGGACTGAACTTACGAGAAGTATTCCAAAACTTGTTAAATGGTTGCAGCCACAAATGGTTTCAGTGTCTGTGCTGCTTTGCACCGAGCATCCTCTTGAATTCCAACCGCCTGATCCATCTGGAAAATAACATTATGTAAATCCACTCACGACTTCCACTATACTGTATGTATCAAACTTACCATTAGATGTAAAATCCCAAAACACGCATGTGGCCGTGTAATTTACCTGGAAACCAAATTTTGCAATGTAATTTCTATCACACACATCGAAGTTTACCAAAGGCTTACTCTATATACTCTTTGAGCAGCCAATTAAATGCATATCTATGGACCACAGAGATTAAAATAAATTGACAAGAATATAACTTACAGGAGTAGGTTGCGTGTGTCGGAGGGTAATTACAACAGAATCTGGCAGGTTAGAAAGTGATAGATTGCCAACACTTGATCCAATTATTCCACTGTTGAGAATTCTATCCCTCAAATCCCGATCCTGAAATAACAAAAGACAATGTAAAAGACAATACAAGTGATGCTTAGGTTTGGCGTTCTCCTGCTTTAGTTATGGGTCTGTAAAATGTTTAAGACTTGAAGCAAGAAATGTTCTTCAGGACAGAATAGACTTAGAATTAACCTATTTGTGTGCATTATGTCCTATGTTCATGGTAGGCCTACGATTTCGGTTCGATTAAGATCATACTCATAAACACGTTTTTGTACTTAAAAAAACGTGCATCCAAAGTAGTCGTAATTGTATATTTTCTGAAGTAGCAGTAGTAGTAGTTGAGAGAGCTAAACACAGGTACACACATAACCCGCATTGAGAGAGAGAACCTGAAAAAGCGTGCTCTTTTGGTAAAAGTTGAACTGGACCCTGGAGACCATCTGTCGTGTTTCGGTGGGGAGGTTTTCAGTGAGAGTGCGTGGGAGGCGGACGGATCCTTGCGGAACAGTGGAGTCCTCTTTCAGCGCGCGTGTGGCTCTGGGGCCCCGGATCTGTGAGACAGGTGCATTCACATTCAGAGGATTTTATCATCACATTAACTTGTACTGTACTGAAAAACTTTGAAATACGGAAAATCCAGTTATAATCTTAGTGAAAATGAAATGAGAAAATAATATAACAACATATTTATTTTTTATTTTTTTGTATCGCTTTTTTGAGGGTCACGTGACGGTGTTTACGGAAGTACACGAAGGATGTCACAGACTGGTAAGTTCAATGGTAAGTTTATTTCTTTTAAATTTATATTCTTGATCGAAAACAGTCAGCTTGGGCACTTCAGCTGTCCTAAAAACTGTTTTAAAGCTGAGTTTTTGTTAAAGACAAACGCTGCAAAAGGGCTAACAATAAATGCATCGCATCGAGGCAACTTTGTTTTAATGTTATTCGATTTTACAAGAACTTTTTCAATTAAAATCCCTCAAAAGTTATTATAAACATAATGTCAATGAGATTTGTTTCAATAATGATAGATTTAGCCATTTTAAAGCTGGGGTACCAAACTTACAAGCCACTATATATGTTCTAGCTCTAAAAACATGCATGCATTTCTTATTTGACCCCTATCACATCTTGAGATCAGCTTTTTCAGACAGAAGAGTTAAAAAAGAGTGACCACTCACTCAGCTTTCATCAGCTTTCATCCAATCAGCTTTCATCCCAAAACTTATATAGTGACTCCCAGAGCTTTTTTACAAACATGTTTCCTAGTATGATGAAGACTGAAATGTATTCTATGAAGAAATTAGGGTTAGGTACCCCTGCTTTTATTGTTTGCGTGCTAACCTGCTGCCCCTTTGCCCTTGCCCAGGGAATGTAGCTGTAAATAGGCTTTGAGCCAGTTCTTATCAATACAGTACATGTATTCTGCTATATTCCTGTTTAAAATATATATTAAAATAAAAATGAAGGCCAACCTGTATATTGCTTGGATTCGTGATGGAGAAATTGACTTCCTCAAACTTTGTCCCATCTGCCTTTTTCACAGAAAGAGCTACAGCATCGCTCAAGATGGACTCTGGTTTCTCACCAACTATCAACTTCTCACCAACAGTGTCCACTATTCCGATGATCCTAAAAGAGAGAAATCGCCCACATAAGGTACCGTGGGAGAGGCAACAGCAACTGCTTGCAAATGTTCAATGATCAGCGTCCGACCTGTTTTTGGAGGGTTCCACTGCTTCCAGAGATGCATTTTGAAGATTGCTCACAATGTTTACACTAGTGTCTCCTAGTGCCACACTGATGTTGGGGCCTGACAGAAGTCTTTCCAGGTCTGACACCAGTTTATCGATCTGACTGGAATTCAGCTTAGAGGCGTCTTTGGTCATGTCCAGCAGTGCATTTGCTGCTGCCAAGTTATCTGTAAGAGATGAGGATTAATTGACAAGATTATAATATAGATTTACTCTGAACAGCGAGGAAACTAACAAAAATGCAAATGATATTACAAATGATATCAATATATACAGTTGGTTGTAGTTATTATTCTATTTAGGCCTCTACTTAGATTATTTAATTCTGTTTCATACTGATTATGACCCAATACATTTAAGTTTGAGTACCTTACTTTTAAACCACAAAAATAATTACATTTTTGTTACTAGTTCCTTGCTGTAATGTTGGCCTATGTCACGTCTTTGGATTAAATTTATCACTGAAACAGAGAGGACCAGCCCTTTTAGACACCAAGAGCCAATCAGCTCTTTGTGTCTAAAGTATAACCTGTTTTCTAATACAAGAAAACATGTTGTATCTGATTTGGTCACAAAATGTTACTTAAACAAGACTTTATGTTCTCCAGATTTAACTGCAAAATATAACATGTGTCTTTTTGACTTAAGTTTACTACATTTGTTTGTATTTTGTGTGTATGTTCAGTGCTAACCGTCTGTGGGAGGGTTAGCTGTTGAGGTGGCATTAGTTGCAGCTGTAGCTGTTGTGTTCATTGTTTCATTTACGGATACAGTGGTGTTGGGCAGTGCAAATGTTGTATTTGGAGTCACTGTTGTCGTGGTCAGAAAACACTTTTCATTCAGTATCGCAATCACTCTCTCTTCTGGTTGACTAAAGAGGACATAAAGGTAATTGAAGACAATTGGCTGTTTACATTTACAATTTGGTAATTGCTGCAATACAAACCAAGTGTGAATTTGTGACCCCTCAGTGGCCGTGCAGAACTCTTCTGCTGTGAAATTTACATCCACAAGTTTATATGAGGACTGCAGGAGTAGAGCAGCACTTTCCTCTGTCACAGGTTTTCCACAAATTGCTGAAAACACACAGACTAAATCATGTCGTGTTCACTAATTAAAACTGTCGTCCACTGATTTAGCTTTTGGTTAAGTGCTACATTACAACATGAAAACCTGCAGCTTATATTGCAGCGTGGCCTATGTGGGGACAACATTTACTTTTTCTTCAAATATAGCTTCTGTGGTTGATATACAGGTGTGCTTAACAGTCTTAATTAACTGTACTTGTTAATCTGTAACGTACCAACACGAGTCAACAATCCATTCATGCTCATGTTTCGCGATTCAAGCAGAGTTTGAATCAATGTTGATAAGGAGCAGATGGAAACCTCCTTGGTGAAAACTGCAACAACGGTGCAAGTGGCTCTGAAACGGAACATGAACTGATGTAATCCAGGTTCTAGATCACTTCACGGGATTTGGATTTTATTTAACTCACCTGTCACAGGCGACACTAGCATCCTGAAACAAAACTTTGCATTAAAAACGTGGATGAGCCATTGTCACATCGATGTTTAAACAATGACTACCTTATAATTAGAAGTAATCCCAGGCGGACAGCTACAAAATAACAGCCAAAAGGATTTGATTATTACACAATCTTTACGGAGGATAGTTCAGTTCATAGACTGTATATTGTATGCAGAATGCGGAAGAAGCTGATTTGAACATAAGCAAGCAACTTCCTTATATGGGCATTTGTTACAATGGCGTTTGCTTTGCCCGTAATAGTATTAGAGCTGTTACTCTAATACTATTACGGATTGTTGCTAAGGCAAGCTGGAGTTTCCACCATGAAGGAAGGCATCTGATTGGTCAATCTATACCAGGATCAGCGATAAAGAGAGAGCAATAAACCACACATTTTTGAAGCCCAAAATTGTGAGCGGTTACTGATTTGGGTTTGACTGAGCTAGGGGTAAGCATTGTCCATCTATATACAGTCTATGGTTCATTTAGGGAACGTAGGTTAGACTTACGAAGGGCATTCTGTTGAAAGCTGAAATAACAGAGGGAAACTTAAATATCACAAAAAGGTACAAAACAAAACCAAAACACAGCATTCATACACACTAGAGCGGGAAGACTGGATTCAATAATGAGGGGAGTTTCTGTTGTTATATTGAAGGTGTAATATGCATCTGAAAATACAGAACCAGATGAAATTATTAGAGACAATAAGGCTCCGTGCCATTCAGTTGAGGAAACTCCCTCACCTGCTTTGCTGCAGTAAGTCGAGCAATTGCATTTGTTTTCTGGAAAGTGTTAAAAAAATAGGTGTAAGGAAATTTGCCCCAAATTATTATAGAAAATATTATGACTGTTGATAGTTGACAAGGCAAGTTCATTCATTACTATATGAACATTTGTATTTTTAAAAAAGGAAACAAAATATATATATTTTTTAATCAAACAACCAAATCTTTCAACCCTTCGATACGGTATATATGAAATCCTTTACCTGCAGGACACGTCAAATTCCTTGGTTGAATCTCATATGCTGTCGGTGAATCATCACTGATAAAAACAGAAAAGATCATCAAAAATTGCTCTGATCTTACTGTAAAATATTGTAAAATCTTACCATTTTGGACTTGTTGGTCCAGTATAATTGCAGACCACTCCAGCATCCTGGTTACCACATTGAGGAGAACCTTACATGGACAAAAAAAGACACAAATATGACTGACTAGTTTGTATTATGTTAAGAGAAAAACATATTCATTGGATAAACGTTTTTACCGGTTCTCATTGCGTTTTTCCCCACCACTTGGATGATAGTGGTTGTGCTGGAACAGATAGCCTGCAAGATGCAACAAGGGGATACGCTCTCCTTCAGCTCCAGACTCACATAACAAACAGTGTCTCTGAAAAAATGGTGATTGTGGTCAATGTTTAACACGCTGAGACTTGTGTAGCTTAATATCCTTTCGTGAAACCTTACTTTATAGACGTTTTGTTTACACAATTAACTTCAAAGTGCTGCAAAATACAAAAATACATTACATATATCGTTTAATTTGTTTTTTATTATTATTATAATATATTTTTTCTTACACTGAAAAGCCCTGTGGCATTCTCACTGTAAAAGACAGAAGCACATACACACATCATTAAATACAATATGAAAAAAAAAAACAGAAGATAATAAAAACGGAAGAATACCTGGTTGCTCGAGCTGCTCGTTTAATTTTCCCAGAATTGGGGTTGGGGTTTTTGGTTGGTTTTACATTTATTTCGGTTGCGACCACTGAGGGGTCTGCTGTTGTCAGTATGTCCGTTGGTGAGTTGGTTGTCGTTTTGTGAGTTGGTGTAAGTTGCTCAGTCGTGGTTGACAGAATAGTTTTAGCACCAGCAGTCATACTTGTAGTAGTTTCACCAGTTTTGGAAGCAGCAGACGTACTTGCGTTAATTGCACTAGCTGATGTGTCTGTTGCAATTGCACTAGTAGCAACCTTAGTACTACTTGTAGATGTTCTTGGTGAAGTGGGAAGCACACTAGTAACGGTATTTGTGCTTGTAGTAGTTGCACTAGGAGTGGTGCTAGCCGATTTGCCTGTTGTTTTAGCTGCACTAGTTGTTACATTAGTAATACTTGTAGTTGTTCTTGGTGAAGTGGAAAGCGGACTAGTAGCAGCAGTAGTAGTAGTTGTTGTAGTTGCAGTCATGGTGGTATTAGCAGGTGTAGCTACTGTCGTACTAGTCATAGCAGTAGTTGTATTAACAATTTGAGTTATTTCATTTGTTATGGTTGTACTAGTGTTGACAGTAGTACTAGTAATGGCAGTAGTAGCAGGAGGCGCACATGTTGTTTGTAGATCCTTTTGGAACACAGGTTCAAGCTAAAAGAAACAATACAGTTGTACACAGATCATAATGTGACAATTGAATATGGACATTTGTTGTATTTACCAAGTCATGTATGCTTTGTTCATTTTGTGCTCGTCCTGTTACAGTCACTGCGACTTCAATGAAATAAATGACATCTGCAATGATACGTTCAAAACAGACTTAGTGCACACTGGAGCTGGTATCCACACCACCCCAAAGACACTCATGAACTAAAGGAGTACCACAAATACATTAGGAAAAATAAAATAAATATTAGCCTCTCACTTCATTATATGTACAGTACAGACCAAAAGTTTAGACACACTTTCTCATTCAGTGAGTTAAGTTTGCTTTCTTTTCATGACTATTGACTGTAGATTCACACCCAGGCTGTGTAAGGGCTATTTGACCAATAAGGAGAGTGGTGGGTGCTGGGCCAGATAACCTGGCCTCCACAGTCACCGGACCTGAACCCAATCCAGATGGTTTTGAGGTGAGCTGGACTTAGGAGTGAAGGCGAAAGGGCCAACAAGTGCTCAGCATCTCTGGGAACTCCTTCAAGACTGTTGGAAGACCATTTCAGGTCCTCTTGAAGCTCATCAAGAGAATGCCAAGAGTGTGCGAAGCAGTAATGAGAGCAAAAGGTGAATACATTTTCAGAGAATACAAGACATTTTCAATTGTTTCATACTTTTATACGTACGTACATAATTCCACATGAGTTAATACAGAGTTTAGATTCATTCAGTGTGAATCTACAATTTTCATAGTCATGAAAACAAAACAAAACTCTTTGAATGCGCAGGTACTGTATGTCCAAACATTTGGTCTGTACTGTATTTAGTCCTTATTTAGCGTTTTTCATAACTCCCAAAGATGCTTCATTCATTATTCATTCAAACGATCAAGAGAATTGTGCCATCTGCCCCTCTGACCCCCACCAACCATTCACACACACACCAGTGTTGCACTCGGCAATCAGGGTGAAGTGTCTTGCCTAACACCACAAAGGCAGTATGGCACTTTACTGCCACCTCACTATGGCTCCTGGTGTTTTGATAATTTGTTGCTATGTGTCTTCAGGCTCTTTTACCTTCACTTGACTGGGCTGTGGCCCCTGATGCCGTGACTGCAACTGCAAATTAAGAAAAGTTATTATTAAAAACACAAACAAAGGGTTGTCAAATGGTAGTATTCAGCCTTAATAATACATTTAATTTAGTCATTATTATAGTGATAGACTGATGGAGAAGTAAAGCTGCCATGCATGAGAGACACTACTTCCCCTCCATTGTCACATGAGGGAGCATATTAACGCGATCAGATATGGTACAAGGAGAATATGAAAGTCTGTCATTTCCACCTTGATTGAAGTAATATTCCCCCAATTACATAAATCGCAGTCGCCCTTTAGTAATATCTGACCTGACTTCCACTTGTAAACTGCATAATGTCTATGCTTTAACCACAGAGACTCAAAGAACAGGTTATGTTGACGTAAAGTATGAGCGTACGGATCACTGGTATGTCAGAGATGTAAGGTTTAAAAATAGAACTTGTTTGAGCAGAGTGCACCTAGACAACAAAACATGTACACCGTACCTGCACAAAGGACCAGAAGCAGGCGCATCGGCAAATAATGTGGCAAAGGGAATCTAAAAAACATGAAAAAAGTTACATTTTGTTTGTACTCTAAGGGAAAACAAGTGCACATGTACTTGAATGGCCTCTGGTTTCAATATTATTTGAGGTTGTAAGCTCCTGGGCTCCAATTATTGTGTGAACAAAATCAATTTTATGGAAATAACTGCAAATAGTGATAATTATGAATGTAAATGAGTTCTACAGAGGAGCATTAACATGTGGAACACTATTTTATCAAATTATTGGCAACTTTTATCTGATTTGTAGTTTTTGTTGGTCAGGTTAATTTTTCTTCCCTGGACCTGTATATATGTGTTGATATGTTTGTTGAAGTTAAATTAAAAATACAGGTAAGTGGCGAGACAAACTAGTGAGAAAATGCATATAAGTACAAATGTATATAACACATTATATCACCAAGGATTGAGAAATGTTGAGCCCAGGGTCAACTCGTACAGTGGTCCTTGATTGTTAATTACTTGTTAATATCAGATACACATACATTCATTACAGTTACATTACTAAGGACACATGTAGAGGTTCTTAGATTTTTTTTTTTAAACTTTAGCATAATGAAATTGAAGAATATGTTTGTAAATATGTTATTTCACCTAAATGATTAAACATCTGTATGTGAATTAGAGTTTGAATGAGAGAAAGAGGATATTGGACAAAAAAGGTATGTTGTGTTGGTATAATTGCGGCAGTGCCTGTAATGTACTGACTGATTCACATTTCTGTCCACATAGAAAGAGAGGTTACCTGAGAGGCCGGACTGTCATGTGTCGAAGAGGACCATCTCTGAAACTGACATCTGGAGATTTCATGGCTTTCTTATCATTTTGGGCTGCATTTAAATCCAAAAGGTAAAATCCACCGTGACTATACATCCATTGGCTGTTGTACATCTGTGATTTTTGCACAAGATTGGGTCATGTCAAAGTCCCGCCCCAAAAAACATCATCAAGAAGAGGAAGGCCTACCGCTTGCGTCAAAATCTGGCTCTGCACACAATTGCATTCACTTCAAAAGCGTTTGGGATCTCTATTCATAAGGCAAGGTGTGCCGCTGGGTGTGTCCCAAACGCTCACTGAGAGGCACGTTGTCGAGTTGAGACATAAGTGTGGCGTCACAAAAGTCTCGTGTATCGGCCTGACTGCGTGAGAGGAACAGGTCTGACACAAACTCACATCAAACCCTATCATTACAGATTATTTCTAATTAAAGTCTCACCCTTGAATTTTTAAAAATCAAAAATTAAGTCAAAAATACATATTCATATTAAATATTTATATTTTGACATCTAATTTCTGTTTATCTTATTGTCTATTATTGCTTCTTCTAAAAACTGTAGTAAGGAGGTTTTTCTTGTGTCAAAACTTAAATCATGTTTTTCCACTTGCCTTTAGTAGTTTCAATCATACCCTGAAGGTGAATCATGAACAGTAACATTTTGGTCTAGATTTTTTTTAAACATAACAACACAGTAGATGCTACAGTATATTAGACCTGGAAAACCTGCCAGCTGGAGGCCACATTCACCTACAGTATATTACTAAATCTCCCCTGGACCGTTCTCAATTCACAAATATGTATCTGTAAATCAGTCTACAATTGTTTGCCCTTTGGTCCAGTTTTAGTTAAATCAAAGAAAAACAAAAAAGTTATCAAAGCTTAATTAACTCAATTAATATTTGTCTCAAAATACATTCATATTGTAAAAACAAAACAATATCCACAGATGCAAAAGTTGAGCTTCAAACCAACTTGACATCTTCCCGCTCCTTTTTTTATATTTATGTTTATAAAATAAAAAGTGTTATAACTGAAGACAATGTGTTTTGCCAAATTGAGTTAAATGGCAATCGCGTGATAACGAGTCAGTTTCTCCACAACATGAAAATATTCCACTCTGACACTGTGTAGAAAGCCACCCCTGGGAACTTGGTGTGTATATGTCTGGACACAAGGGGGAGCTATACACAAAAAGTGTAACACTAATGATCTTTGAGAAGCAATCATATTCTAGCCACTGACACTTTATTGTAGAGTTGAATCAGTGGATGGGAATGTGTATTGATTTCAAATTTTATTTGAAGTATAATTTGCAGAACAAAGAAAGACACTTATTCAGTATAAACACGTTTTTTGGTTTGTTTCTGCTGCATCAGTGTTCAATCCATGTTCAGTCCAATTCAAAGGAAGTAAATTTTCTGGCGTCCTACAGCAGGCAAATGGGGAAAAGTGAAAGAGTGACCAATTTCGAGCCTCATGTTGATATTTCCCGTGAGTTTTACACTAAATCATCAGAGGTATGTCCTTGCGCTCCCCTTTGACCAGAGCTGGCCTTTCTCCATCCCATTATTCATCAATCAGTTCTGATGGAGCAGATATTTGCCGAGTTGTGCAAAGGTGTTTTGTTATGCAACTCTAATGGTTATTGTGCAAACTGAGCCCACTGTCCAAATATAACCCTTCAAAGTATTGCATTATACAAGTTTACATTTATTACAGAAGTTGTATACAGCAAATATTTACAGCAAACGAATCAAATACACTGTCGTCACCTTAAAAAAGTCATGCTGCTAATAATGATTAGCAGCATGTCCTTTATAGTGTGTCCTTTATAATCTGTCCATACCGAGCGTGTTTTTATTTTTCAAATAAAAAATACACATTATGATCTTTTTGATAATAATAACACATTGCAAAAGTGATAAAACCCTAGTGAAGTAACGCTTGAATTGTTGTCTTTATCTGAGAATATTATTGCTTTGTCATAAATGCCAATGGAAGTTGGAACAAGCAAAAAAGAGCAATTTTCCACTGAGAATAAAAGGCGTCTGTGCTTGAAATTAGGCTGAAAACCCTTTTTTCATTGGCAAATTTTCATCTGAGTAAAATTATACTGAAATCAAGCTTTAAAATAGTTGCTAAAGACTCCCACAGTGAATGATACAGGCCTTTAACACACTGCTGTACAACAACTCTCCTCCATCAGAGACAAGAAGTCATCTCAAAGTTATGTTTACGCATTGGCACCTTCTGTATGTATTGTATAGTATATGATTAATCACTGTGTACCTTTTGACATGTAGGATCTATTTTTAACTTTTGATTGATAGTTTTTAGTTTCTTATCTAAATGGGATCTGCTAGTTGTGTCCATTAAGATTGCCGTTTCGGTTTGATTACTAGTGCTGCCCCAATCCAGTAGAGGATGTTGTAGCTTATTGTGAGGGCTAAGAGTAGAGGCTCCGGTACATGATGTTGTCCTCTGGGGGCGGTCCTAAGAGTAGAGGCTCCAGTAGATGATGTTGAAGAGCAGGTATGTGAGGGGGAAGATGACCCTGGAGTACGAGTCGATCACGTAGCTGTGGCTCATGATGAAGCTGAGGCGGTGTTTCAGAGGAAGCTGGCAGTGGAGACCGGTGGGCTCTGCGGGGATTGACGCGGTGGAGTTGCGAGCGCGCGTGTTCCGCTCCGTGTTTGGGGCACTCGAGGAGTCCGGGAACGGGCTCAAGTCTATGTCGTTGTCGTGGAAACAGCTGTCGAAAGCCATGGCCTGTGTGTTGTTGAAAGAAGCAGGGACCTATGAGAGACGACATGTTTAAGAAGGAATAGATCATAAACAAGACATTTTGTTTGTCCTAACAGAAAGAGTCTTGTAAAAAGAAATGCTGTTAACAATCACATGCAGTCTTTATCTTTTTTTGAAAAAAATGTAAGCCTTTGGGCTGAGAGCTGATTGGCTGAGTGAGGGTGGTCTTCACACAGCCAATCAGCTGATCCAAAGATGTGATATAAACCAAAAACACAGTACAGTTTATAAACCGCATCAGATATTATTTTTTTAAATAAAGTATTTTTTGTTCTATATATAGACCACACTTTGATATAAGCCACAGGGGTTCATGTTGTAATGCAACACTGGACCAAGAACTGATGGAGCAGAACAAAAATTATGAGGTGTTTTAACGCACTGTTGACTTGTGAGGATGAAAGCACTCTGAAAACTTTGACAATACACATGTGTCCCATCTGTGCAAAAAAGTATTTCATTTTGAATATATTTTATAGTACAATTATATCTGGTGTGTTTGTCTATGTTTAATCCGGTGTTATATAGGCTGTTAAAACAAGATAAAAATATAATATAATCTGATATTGTCTTTAAAGCCACAGCACATCACTTTTTAAAGGAGCAAAAACACAGAAAAATATGTTTTAATTTAGGGTTTATACGGAAATGAGGTATGAAAATACAGATCCTAACTGTGCTTGCATTTCCACAAACCTGACTGGTTGGATGAGGGCTCTTTAATATGTAATTCAACTGATCTACTTCAATGCTGAAGTAGATCAGTTGAATTACTTTCTATTTACACAGAAGCATGCAGCATTTTATTCTCTTGAGAAAATAAAACTGAATTTCTTTTGGCAATACCCCTCCATATACTCATCATATTTGTCACTAATTCTCTCTCACCTTTGCCCGTCTGAGCTTCTTCATTTCTTCCACTGTTGTGAAGTAGTTGACTGCTGCGTACTCGATCACAGACAGAAACACAAACAGGAAACTGGCCCAAAGGTAGATGTCCACAGCTTTGACGTAAGACACCTGCGGCATGGAGGCGGACACTCCAGTGATGATGGTGGACATGGTCAGGACAGTGGTGATGCCTGCACACACACACGTAACATCAGAATTGGTGTTAGTGTCCTTAGCAAGTAGGTCCTGGGTTCGATTCCACCTCCAATTAGGGCCACCGTTCTGTGTAGAGTTTGCATGTTCTCCTGGTGTCTACGTAGGTTCCTATACCCCTTAATACGTCTTTGGTGAGTGTGGAGTTGCCTGCTTGTTCCACAGGGTAACAGTAAAGCGTCTTTTTTTGTCACATATTTCACTTCTTTGAAACAGTTCAGTGATCTTATGAGGATTGGTGCATTTTCCATATACATATATCAGCTATATATGTAGAGGCAAAAAACTGAATTCTTGGATCCATCTGGAAAAAACACTAATCTGAAGAAGTCACTTCGTAAAGTAAATCCGAGGAGGCAGTAATCCTTTATTGACATAGGGACACGCCGACACCTTTCAACCCTTAGGCGCTGAGTAAAATACATGATTGACACTGGTGGATTAAAGGCACGAGTTACATGATTAAAATACATGACTTAATCTCAGGAAATGTAGAAAACATTAATTTGTACAAACAACAAACCACAAAGAATGCTTTTTGAGATATGGCCATAGACCCATGTTGCTTTGTAAAGTGAAAAAAAAAAAACGTGATTCAATCATGTGACTCTTCTAATGAAGGCAGGGTCAAATGGTTTTGGCTTGTGTCTCAGATTCAGATTCAGACTACTTTATTCATCCCACCAGGGGGAATTAATTTGAGCTGCATAGGGAATAAAAACAGGAAACATTAGTCTAGCCACATGAAGTGGAGCCCAAATAAACAGAAGAACACAGCATTACAGCAACACAAGCTTAAACACACGCTAAAGTCCATATCACCAACAAGCTACAGAGAGTTTAGCAGTTGGGACAAAAGATTTTAAGTGACTGTTGGTTTTACAATAAGGTGACATTTAGCGTCTTCCAAATGGGAGCAAAGTGAACTTATTCAAGTCCCTCTGTCAAACTCAATAGTTTATGAGCACACTTCCATCAAGAGAAAGATTTGGAAACCAGCAGATTCAAAAATTGTGAAAATTGATCAGGCCTCTGTCAATAAAGGATTTTTACTTAATCTGAATGCCTTCTTTTTGTGACTTCTTCATTGAATAAGCCACAAAATATCGATAACAAACAGGTAGCAGACTCTATCAGAGAAGTTACACAATACACTTTTAATAATTAGAGCCATGGATTTCAGTTCAGGAAGGTTCTCTGGGAGGCAAATGAGCTTGCGTTGCAGATCTTGCTAAACTCTACCATTTATAAGTTGTAAAAACATTTTGGGCTCTGAAGAAGGGGTTGACTAATATTGATGTATTGGATTTTTCTATGTTTTTGCTGTTTCTTTCTTTCCTAGAAAAATAATTAGTCTAGTTCAACCTACTAATCAAGACAATAATGATAAAACTCAAAAAAACACAAGCATGTACTGCATAACACAACAGCTGTGCCATAACAGTTGTTGGTTTGTGCTTTACAATTTTTATTTGTCTTGCTTTTTTCTATCTGAGATGTTGCTGCAGTACAGTGTTCATGGTTTTACACTGGTCCAGACCGGAGCGGAGAAAATTCATGGTCCAAACCAAGTGGATCAGAGGAAAATCCACTGGAGGAATGCTACCTTTTTGGACAATGCTAATGAAGCATTTAGCGTTTTACTTTGGACTAGAGCAGAGAAAATGGTCCGAACCAAGCAGAGCTACTCCACCTCTGCTGCTGTGACCCATCCTGCTCCACCCAGAAGCTACTCCACCTCTGCTGCTGTGACCTGAAGGGCTGTTTCTGATTATTACTATTGTTAGCTTTTTACAATGATCAATTTTATTTTTGCTGCTACTGGACACTTGGATTTCTCCTATACGGGGATCAATTAACTACTATCTATCTATTTACTTTATACAGTATGTGTCTAAACAAATTATTGATTAGTTTACTTTAGTTAACTTAGTTAATTGAGTGTGTATGTGTATGTGTATCAAAATGTTTACATCATTGCACATTAATATGGGGTCTATACGTTGGCAATTGGCTTTCTTGATATCGATTCATCCCAACTTTGGAAATCATTGCGACAACAATAACAACAACACAATTAAAGGTATGAGAGTGTGTTTTAAAGCATGATTATCTCAGCCTGACTCTCGCCAGACCCATGTAGTTCGCTGCACGTTCAGCCAGACGCCTCTGGTGGAGCATGGCGGAACTACAAGGGTCTGGCGAGAGCCAGGCTATGATTATGTAACAAGATGTACGAATCACTTAGAATAAGTACACTACCTAGGGAGACTCGAGCTGGTACAGCCCTTCGGTCAATCCAGAATGACACCCACGACAGCATGACCATGAGCATTGTGGGAAAATATGTCTGCAGCATGAAGAAAAAGATGTGCCTCCTCAGGATGAAGTTTATATAGAGCCGATTGTACCATCCTGTAACAGACACGCAACGCAGTGGTTAGGATGTACAGCATTTGTAAACAGATTATTGCAATCCAGAGGCTGATGGATCTTGGGCCTGTGTGTTACATAATCTTCTGGTGATGACATGTTCTCAAGAGATTTTTTCAAACTAAAGACTATTTCCCTTTTTATTTTTTTGACAGCAAAGAGGCGCTGGTTTTAAAATATCCCTCCAATTCTATCTATAATCCAACTGAACAAAAGCAATTGTGTAACAACTTTTATGAGAGAAGTTTGTACCTGTACCTTCTTGTTTGTTAATATTATATAATGCTTTATAACCTATTGAAATTTAAAACATTACATTAACCTTTTGAAAGACTAAATATAAACACAAATGCACAATCAGTGGGCTCTTGGACAGGGGTATTGAACTTGATCCTCAAGAGGCCGGTGTGGCTGCAGGTTTGTAAGTTTTCCCTCCAACCCAGCAGGAGAATGCCAGACTCCAGCTATTACCTCAAGTGAGTCCAGTCTGAACTTGAAGACTTGAGGACCGAATACCCCTGCTCTAGTATCATTGAAAAGACTTTTAGCAACAGAACATCCAGACAGATTTTTTCTCTATATTCTAAACTTTGTATTAGTTACATAAGACATTTTTGACACGTCTTAAGACTCTCCATATACAACCACATGAACGGAACAAGTACAGGATGTTGTTTGTTTATATTACGTTTATTGTAACTTAAATTATTTTAGTGCTGTCTGGATTGGTGCTTGTTGAGGTAAGTCGTTTAACCTCAATATAAACCATTACTGAAACAGCTCTACTTTGGCTTAGGGAAAGTGCAAAAACAACAAAAACTTTACAATTCATTAGATATCTGCACTTTAGGATGGGAAAGTAAAAGTATAAAAGTACATGAGACCCTGCAATCTGCCTTGATGTCCTGTTGCTAAAATTGTTTTTTTCAATAGTTCTAGAGCCCTTTGATGGTGTTTTTATCTCTCAATGATGAATATAAATGAATTGTGTCCGTATAAATCATGTGTAACCTTGTTCCTCCTGTGGGAGCCCATATCTTCTGTTATCTTATATTCTTTTTTCTCTATTCCAAAGTAGTGAAAGCTACTTTTACATTGCCAAGTAAATAATGGCCTATTGTTTATGTTCTTCACATACCGGTGCTGCTGTAGTAGGAGACCCCAAAGGAAGGCTGGAAGTCCTCTATGAAAAACTGTGAAAGCACCATCTCATCCGTCTTCAAAGAGTTGTTCCCGTTCTTCCAGTAGAGCATCAGGTCATTTTCATTGTATGCATCTTCAACATGAGAAAACAGGGTCAGGCATTCAGAAACTGCACGTAGTACTTGTTTATTGGTGTAAAAAGGCCTTAATATAGATTATGTTAGATCAGGCCTCACCAATTAATCAGATTGACTCATCAGTTGTGTAAAAATGGGTCACTCTTTTGGTGTTATTTTTAGCACGAGGATTGAAATGATTACAAACAGGCAGCTAGATCAGTTCAGACTAAAACAGTTTGGCAGAAATACATAGTAAATGTTACAAAGATAATAAAGTAGATTAGTATATTCACACTTACAGCTTTCCAGTTCCAATGAGCAGTTCTGTGTGTCCAGTGGGAAACTGCTGAAGTCCATTGAGCACAGAGCAGTCACAGTGATCCTGTAAAAAAAAAAAAAAAAAAGTGGAGAATCAGTGGCATATTACATACATACATTACAAATTAAAGCTGGGATACCTCACTTTTAATTACAAAAACTATGTAGTAATATACATGTAACTAATTCTGAAAACAGTCTCACTATAAGAAGCTTTTTTAAACAGAAAACTGAAAAAGAGAGGATCACCCTCCCTTAGCCAATCAGCTCTCTGCCCAAAGTTTCTTAGTGTTTTAGCAAATATTTTTATGATTTCAATAGGAGACAGCACAATCTGGTATGATTTATTCACACACAGAGGTTAAAAGGGCTTACCTAACTTTTCTCCATTTAAAAAGTATTTTATTTTTGAGGGAAAAAGTTAGGTAACCCCCCTTTAACTTCTATAGTCATAAAAGTGGACCAGCGACCTTCTACATCCTTTGGTCTTTCTTCGTAATGCAGTGCAAATTCATCTATGTCATCTAAATACTCCATCAACCAAATGACAAAACAGTATAGAAATTTGACTTGTAAAATTCCTCTGTAAAAATCCTTATGATGATTATAGAAAAATGTGTTTCCGTCATTCTTAGTCAACGATCGTGTTTGTGTTGGATAATGTAATGACAGGATTTCCCACCAGCTGCAACAGAGACGCCATATTGTCAACATCTGGGACTGAAAGAGACCCATCAACTGTGGCTCGTGTTTACTGAGGCTGGTAAGCGCTTTTAAATGCCCCGCCTACATCACATGCGTAAGAAGTAATTAATCTTGATTTAAATAGCGCACAGATATGTCACAGACCAAGGTCACGCAAAACGCTTTACAATGTTTGTTGGAGTACCAATTTTTCCCATTCACTCCACAAACTGATGATAGTAACGAGACGCCATCACCATCCATTCACACACTCATTCTGTTCATTACGATTGCACATGATTTTAGTGGCAAGGAAAACTGGAGCACCCTGAGGAAACCTATGCACAGTGCACCAAACTAAGGCCCGTGAGCCAATTGCGGCCCTCATTGTCATTGTATGTGGCCCTCTGCCTTGCTAACCCAAATTAGTCTTTAAAATCAAAAACACAAGCTCACTGTCATCCATCCAACTTCAGCTCAGGCAATGTAGACCTCGTTCTAAAGACCAGTACGTCTGGATTTCAGTCGTTGACTTTACAACAACAACATCAACACTGAACTGACGTGGTTTTTGATTGTGTCACAAACTTCATACTTAATGGTGCTAATGTATCTGGTGAGATGGTAAACATTTGTCATTCAGCCAACTTCAGCTTTGTTATACATCATTTTAATGCGCAAAACAGCCCAAATCCATTTTTTATCCATCTCGGCCCCCGGACCAGCCTGGTGAACTGAAGAGGCCTTCTCACTAAAACGTTTGGACACCCCAGGCATAGTGTGTTCTAAATATGATTATTATTATTTTCATTATTAGTATTATTATCACTCATTTGCTTACCTGACGCTGTACAGGATATGGCCGTCCGGAAACACTCTCAGCATGATGTTCTCCATGGTGGTGTCGTGTATGAAGGAACGTTTGGAATGCACAAAGAACACGTCAGGAACCCAAATCTTCTTCACAAGTCGAGCGTCAAAAGTCCGACTCTTGTTGCTGCTGGAGGGAAAGGCCAGTCGGATGTCCTGCCAGTAATGCCTCAAGTACAACGTCATGGTAAAGTCCTGCATCAAGAACAGAATATACTCCAGCGACTGATCATCCACCATTATTATGACTATTAGTATTATTTATATGAGGCACCACATTTATTTTAACACCAGTATTTTCTATCCTATCTTCATCTATTAGTTTTTCATTGTTTTTTGAACAAAACATTGTTTGTTTATTTATTATTTAATTGGATTCTCATTTTTTCTGGGGTCCAAGATTTTCACAAAGATCTCAATACAATGCAATGCACTTCTGTAACTGTATACTACATCCAGATAAATAGGAAAAAAGGTTTCAGTTATTCACATTAAGTAAGTAAGTAAGTAAGTAATCTTTATTTATATACCGCCTTTTCACTGCACATTGGAGTCTCAAAGCGGTTTACAATTGTTATTTTTGGGAGTGGGGGTGCCAGTACAGGAGGCACATGCCAGACCTATTGTACATATTTTTAGAGGTAGGGGAAACCGGAGCACCCGGAGGAAACCTACACAGACACGGGGAGAACATGCAAACTCCAGTCAGAAAGGCCCTGGTCCAACCGGGATTCGAACGCAGGACCTTCTTGCTGAGAGACGAGAGTGCTATCCACTCAGCCACCGTGCCGCCCTGCCCATTAATACATTATCTATCAAGATAGAATTAAAGATTGTTGTTAATAACGTCCTTCTCCATCGACTCCCACTGATGACTGCTGTCGTTGTGTCCTTGGGCAAGACACTTAACCCCACTTTGCCCAAAGCCCCCACTGAAAGATCAAGGCTATGCTCACACTCAGAGAGCAGCCGTCCTCCTGTGGACTCACCACCTGCAGAGGGTCAGTGAGGGGCTGGTGCTATGAGACTTGGGTGGCATCTCTGACTGCCACCCCCCTGACCCAGAAATGGATTAAAGGGTAGAAAATGGATGGATGGATGGATGTTAATAACGTGAATAGAGTCAAACAGGTAACTTGATTCCAAGATAATACCTTTCTAACATCTTTTCAAAACCTATCTTGGAATTTGTCAACAAAGATGGACTTTAATTTAGACTATTTGTTTGTTTACCACATATAAACATGCTTGCTGTTACAGCCAATAATGATGTGTAATTCTTAATAGTTATTATGTTTTATAAAGTGTCTAATTTCAAAAAGATTTTTTATTAGATTGCACTCAATAACACTAATCTAACTTTATGGGTTTATGTAAAATAGCAGGTTCTATAGGACGTTATCATCACTTTTGGACAAAAATAAACCCTTGAGAAATGAAGCCAGTGTATGTTCAGATTTTACCATGTTGACTTCAGATATGCTGTCGATACTCTCCACCTGAACGTCAACGCCCACAGGGAGGGCTCCAGCTGAAAAATAAATAGATAAGTGAGATAGTTTTACTCATAAAACCAAAAATGTAATTTAGAGACAGGCATTATACTGGACCACCATGAATCAACAGCTTTACTATCCTCCTCCTAATCCCCTTGAAGCATGTATTGCATCGTTACATCATACACTGACAACTATTGTCCCTCACTCAACACTTGTACATATTTGTTATTGTATGTTTTGTGACACAGAGAAACACAGAGGTTATAGATACATAAGACATACTGTATAAGCTGCATATGACTAATGAGTAGAGGAAAATATAAGAATTGTTTAATACAATTTTATAAACGGTTTATATCTTTGTCAGACATTTCAAAACATTTGTGGAATTTCCTTCAAAAACATTTATGAATTCAGTTAAAGTGATTAAAAATGATTATTCTTTAAAAGGGGCAGAGTCCTTACGTCAAGCTGCAGCTGCATAATACAGTAAATCTATAGTGTTAGACAACATACTCTCTGTGCCATTATCTAATGAAGAGGATTATGGCCAGATATATTAAAATCCTGTTCATTGTCACAAAGGTGACTTGCATTCTATATTGTTGACAATATGTCCAACAACTACAAATAGAACATATTATTATCTTAGTATTACTAATATGATGCGTGGCATTTACATGGTAGCTATTAAAGTGACTTGATGTTAAAACAATACAACGACACAACAGTACAATCCATCTGTAAAAATGTGCTGTTACTTTTGTCCGCAAGCCCTAGTTTCTACACTTTTGGCTTCCTAACATGTAACTATAACTATACTTATACCCACCATCCCCCAGAGATTTTGTATCTGCTCTACTGGGTGCAATCATTGTCTCACACAGAAAACAATCTAGGTCACAAAGGTTTTTTAGAGGCATAATACCTAAGACAACATAGCAACCTACTTTTACCTTTATTGAGTTAGCCGAGCAGCAGCAAAAATGTAACCAAATGAATAAACTATGGGAATCGCAGATACACTTGTCATTCCCATGTATGTATCAAGTTGATATTCATTAATTATTAGTAAATTTTACCTCCAAATCCTGGTCGCATTGCAAAGTCATGGTCCTCTATTCGTAGCAGCTGCTCGGACTTAATCAACATTGATTTGGTGCTGTCGAGTTTTTTTATTTTAGGATCCACACGTCTGAAAAACAAATATTACATGTTGTAAAACTTTGCCCCACTCTTTTGAACACTCTTGAACTGAGACATCTGTTGCGAGAATTAGCGCTGCTTTATTGGACTTTAGCACACTGATTAAAATAGAAGCTCTGAGAAAATTAAACCGTCTAAACTGATCTGAAACACACAACAAACAAGGATAAGAATAATGTGCCTGAAAACCTCTTTGTCACACTAGCTTGCCCTTTAGACCCATTATTTTAGCAAATCCCTCCTCTTTTTAAGAACTTGATTAAGTAACATGCAGGGATTGTTGCAATTGAATACACAGGCAGAGGATTTGTCACTTTTTATCTATTATTTTTTATATAACAAGTATGACACAACTTTCCCTCAAAAGACTTAAATCTAATCTGGTCAGAACAAATTGCATGTAGAAAAATCCAACCAAATGAACTCTACTGCATATGCTTTCAAACCACGATCAAAAGCTTTGCTGAACTTGTAAATTATGTCGTTACTGTCTCTTCTGCTTCAGGCTGTAATTGAAATTCAATCCGCTTTCTCTCTAATGGGAAATCATCATAATGACTTGAGTTATGCAACGACACTGGCAGAATATTCAATCATGTGGTAAACTCAGATTTTTAGCTGGATATCACTACAACATCATTCTGGTCTGGTTTCTCTTTCTTTGCTTACCCAGCGTGCTTCTGTTTGACGTTGTCTGCCAGGTGGTGCTCCTTGTGCCTCCTCTTAAAGTGGCTGGTGTTGAGATGCGTCACAGGCCACAGTCCGGCCATGCACATGAGTCTCAGGGCCAGCAAGACCACTCTCATAATGGTGAGCACCCACAGCACCCCTTAGACCGTGACAGTCCCAGAGAGGCAGCTGCAGAGCCCCCTCACAGCCTCCATGACCTGCTCATTCTGTCCCATTGCGCGTACGCCAGCTCCCTTTGACTTGATCTTGTTCTCTCATCTTCGCAAACATGCAGAAAATCAGTCGTGTGCCCACTCCCAGCGTTTAAAGTCCAGGCATCGTCAGATTCACGCTGATTGTCCCTATGTCATCCCACGCGCTTACGTCTGCGGACACAGCGTGGCACTGTCCCCACCCCTCCGATCTCAGACCGAATATCAATTTATTCCCATAATGACAAAGGAATACCATTAATTCTCTCTAATCTTCTTATCTGTGGTTGGCAAAATCTTTTAGTAACCCACAAACAGGAGGCAGCCGCAGAGGGCGGGGAAAGGGATTATGCCAGCAGGCGTTTCATCATCGTTCTCCACAATGGATCAAGTGCAGTGTAGCCTGGTGCAGCTCGGAGAGAGAAAGACCAATCCCAAACAGTCAAGACAGATGTAGAGGCAGCATACGCTGCACACGTGCTGATCACATCCAACGCATGTTTCCTTTCAAAACACTGGATTTGAACACGTTACATTCACTGCAATTGCCAATTATATATACTATATTAGCGCTGCACGATTAGCAATCAAATCACAAATGTTGTGGTTGCAGTGAGTAATTATTTCTTTGCAACAAAGAAAATGTCTCTTTTCTTTAGTATATTTCAAAATATTGTCAGTTTAACAAGTATTTTTCATCTATATTTTCTATTTTTAGTCGTTATTTTCATCCCATCTTTTTTATAATTTATATAAACTAACAAAATGTGCTGCACAACTCAGGTCTGACAATAAGAATCCTGTGAGAAAAGATCAGACATCAAATATCTCTTATTTCGACGTGAAAAAAATACTGTAGGTTACAACTCTATTAACAGTTTCTGTGATGTGTGGGAATTTTTATTTTAGAGTTTTTATTTATCCCGGTGTTTTTATCCCGGTATCAAAACACAAACAAGTCCATCTGAGTGACGAGGTATGATTAATCATGATTAAATCTGATTATAGAGGTGAGAAGAGCAGCTGCATCCTGAAGAATTATGCACATGAACCTCTGATCTACTGTATAAAGCGTGTGAGAAGAAGAAACAGGGCTGCAGACTTGCACCAGTCTGCTCTGTGCCCTCTAGAGGTCACTAACTTCCACTAGATCAAGATTGTGTTCAACTGTTTTGAACAATGTCTATAGTTTCTACCTGTGTCAGCCCACAGACCTCTCATAGTTATCAGTATTGAGATAATAGATGTAATAATACTAAGTAATAAAATGTCACGAGTGAAAAAGAGAGAAACACCCCAGCTCTCAGCCAAACGCACTCACAAGGCTCTTACTTGCAAGTAAACAAAATATTATAAAAAAAATCAAACTTGTTGTGGTCCAATTTATTTTCCGCACCCACATTTGAATTTCTCTTTCTTTAAAACAAACATACATTTTTTATGATGTTTTCATTTATTTTTTTAGTTTTAAGGTTGACCCCTTTTCTATCAAACTAAAAATGTCTTCTTGTATACCAATAAACTATATCGATACTTTGACCACACGTAGCATCCACAGTAGCTCTGGTTAAACGTTACCTGACTGGTTAATTAGTGTGTGTTTGTGGTGTTCTGCAGGATGTAAATGAAGCTGTCCCGCCACACTTGGCTGCATTCACTTCCACAGATGCAGATTTCTGTCCCTTCGGCTCCTGGGGACATGGCACCTCTCTGGCCTCTGCTGCTTCTGCTCCTGGAGACTCTGACAATCACAAAATCAAAAGGTACGGTGAACATTTGAATTTGTATAATTTACCTATTGTAATAATGAAATGTATTCATAATGGTGTTTGTATGCCACAGTTTGTCAATCAAAACTTTGTCAAGGAATAAATAAGTACGTACATAGGTGAATAATTGGGAACATTGAAAGGAGATAACATGTTTATTTTTCAGATAGAAGACACACTTCTGAAATGTTTATAGCACATATTTAACAGGAAAACCGTCTAAATGATGATGTTTTTGTGTGTTCATGGATTTGACAGCTGTAGAAATACTGAAGCTTTTATAGAGTTGGTCTCGCCTATTAAATGTTCAAGACTCAAGTTAAATAGGACATTACTCACTCTGTCCATTGTATGTTTTAATAATATCAAAATACTGCAATGGTTTGCGTTCATGTTGTAGAACTCTCTTTTAGAGTTCTACAGAGTTTTAAAGTTTTAATGTTTATGACGAAAAATAATTAGACCATAGTTGATATGTATCAAAAAAGAAGATGTCAAACTTTGACAGTTTGTATTTCATGTTGATAGGCCTATGAATTACGGACACATCATCTATAAGCTTGGCTTTTGACTGTTACCATAGTTACCAAGAAAGATTTTTCAACTGCCCTCCGCCACAATTTTTAAAAAGGCTCCTTGGAATGTGGTGGTGTCAGCTGAACACAAAACACTATTAATGTATAAGATCCAAGGTGGTTTTACTGCAAAATAAAATCTTGAATCTTGAATGATAGGAGTACAAACTTATGTTACCAAATTTATGGATGTCGTTTTCCAAAAACAGGAGATAGATGTCTGTTTCTATTTGTCTTTTAGAATGTATATAACCAGTGTGTGCATAGCCATTCTATAGTCTTCATTTGTGTGGTAGTGGTTTTCCCTGATGAGGACGTGACCTGCCTGGTGCATGAGGATTGTGTGCTGCCCTGTCCGTTCAGGCCGATCGGCTCCGTGGTCATCCACTGGTACAAGCAGCAGACTCCAGTGCACAGCTTCTATTACAACAAGGACCAGTTTGGACTCCAGAACAAACAGTTCAGTGGACGCACCTCGCTCTTCAACTCCCAAATCCCACAAGGCAACGCTTCGCTGCTTCTCAAGAGAGTCCGCGTCCAGGACAAGGGCCGGTACAAATGCTACACCAGTACCAGGAAAGGAAACCAGGAGGCCTACGTCAACCTGGACCTGAAAGGTGAACTCTCTGATGTCAACATATATGATTATTGACCTTATCGTGACAGTTCAATGAAACATTATCACCTCAACTGTCCTCCCTAAACTCCATTTAATTGCTGGTCATACTTTTTTTTTTACACTATTATTGGCCTTTATTAAACAAAAAAAGTCCCAAGGAGAGCTCAGAATCTTTTTTCAGAAAGAGGGGCACTTTGTACATGTTGCCACTAGGGTTCCAGTTTAAGTGGAAAGATTTTGTTTCCAAACTCAGGCAAAGACTTTTTCCCCCATCCAACTTTTAAAGAGGAAAATGCAAGATGTAATAAAAAACATAATTAAATACATAGTACGTTATCCTGGAAGTGTCGTGAGAATGTTAAAAAACACTAATGCACTACTTTAGAGATTTATAGGATTTGAGCAGTTTATAAGCTTCTCTAAAATCCTCTCGTTTCTCAGACGCCAAAATATCTACAATGAATAGACTGAACTAGCAATGTTGTCTGGAATGTGTTTAACTTAAATGGGCGGTGACAACATTTATATTGATTAATTGATGTAACTATTGTATCACTCTAACTTTGCCACAAGGGGGCACATGTACCCTTTGACCCAGTCTAAACCAGGGTCGTTAAAGATGGGGTATCTCGCTTTCAAACCACAAAGAAACCAGTTCCTGGCACTCAAAACAGTTTGGCTCTTTCATTAGTTTTCACATACATGTATTTTTGTGGCCTCTGTCACATCTATAGATCATCTTTTTCAGACTGAGAGGTGACAAAGAGAGGACCATCCTAATTCGCGATATATTTGACTTTTAAAAGAATGTTCTGTTGGTTAAAAAAAAAAGTTTGCACGCTCTCGCTTTAAGAAGTAATTAATAGCAAAGGACCTATAGTACCATTACAATCATCATGGTATTTCTAACAATACTCATTTTTAGCCCACATCCAGATGGTGATCCTTGAAATGACAGATGAAGCTGTGACCTGTTCATCTTCAAACATTTACCCTGTCCCTCGCCTGACCTGGAGCACTGATCCACCTTCAGCTTTGAACAACGCCACTGTTAAAATCACAGACCACAAAGGACTGTACTCTGTGGAAAGCACTTTGAGAGTTGTGGGTAATATCTCTGATTTTACCTACATCTGCTCTTTTACATCGGCAGACAAAATGCAAGTGGTAATATCGTCTCAGAAAATACAAGGTAAATGAATTGCAAATATCCAAATGATCATGTATTTTGTTTTACACATTTGAACGAAACTTAGTAAAACAAAATAAACAGGGTCTCAAAATAAGAACATAGAACATCCTTACACACTGTAGGTGCAATATAAAAAGCAAACCATCCTTTTGTTTAAAAGCCTTGTTGATTACAGAGGTCGGAGCAAACTCCCCACCTCAGACCTCAGATTAAAGACAACAACGCAAATAAGCTCTTGTTACAGCGGAGGTCTGCGGAGGCCATCTGTGAACGGGACGGTCATGCAGCAGATGGGTCATGCAAGCAACAGGAACCACTTTGATGCAGGGTTCATCTAGAACCACGGAAAGTGATCCTCCCGTATCAAACAATGCCCCAATCTACTCTTATGTGTAGTCAAGGTAAATTAAATAGTTTGTTCCATAACTTTAGGTATTGAGAAAAGTGTGACCCTCTTTTTAATCATGTAATTATATTATTAGATTTAAACGTTGGACTGTCTTTCTTAACATTTCAATGATTCCATTTATAATAATTCATAGTACTCATAAAGACACCCAAAGACAATTCACATGGAAATATTCTTTCATTCCATACACTGTGGTGGTAAACTAGTGATGCATCTACAGCTGCCCTGGGGCAGACGAATCGAAGCAAGGCTACTAATCTGTGCCATCTGCCCCTGCAATTACCAACTTATTTATGCACACACCCCACATACAAGACCATGTGGGCTAAATGTGTTGCCAAAGGTGTTCCCAGAGGTCTCCCATCATAGTAGTGACCAGGTCTTGTCCTGAAATCTGACAGGGACTATAGCCATGTTAGGGTTGCGGAAGTACCATTATTTATTTTATTTTTAACTAAACTCTGAAAATGCAAAACACTAGTATGCCATCTTCTTCAGGTTCCTCTTAGTTCAAACATTTGTCCAAATCGACAATAGTGGAGTAGCCCTATTTTAGGCCCAGTACATCGACTGCTGTTTACTAATTTTTGTCTATGTCTTCTAGAGAGTATAACACAAGAAGAAGGCCAAACATTGTCCATTCCCTGTGTCGTCCCGCAAAATATGAAAAACTACTCTCTTGTTTGGACTCTTGTGCATTCCCATGAGCCTTTGGTGATCCTGCGCTACGACAGCCAGACCAGAGAAGCCTTCAGCCTTTGGGAGGGACAGGTGGAGCTGCAGCAAGACCTGCTTCTGAGCGGGGATGGGACTCTCCTGGTCCACGAACCAGACACTGTGGAGCACTCAGGCCTCTACATCTGTGTTTTCTCAGATCATCAAAACAGACAAACAGTGAAAACCTTTGTCAATATCACAGAAGCTCCTTTATGTAAGATAAAACTCCCAATGTGTTGGAAATGTTAGGTATGTCCTAATTGTTGTTGTTTTCCAGGTGTAGACGAGCAGAGTGTGCAGCGATCGCGATGGAGCACTGTCGCCTCCGTCGCCTTTGTCCTGATGGTCATCGCTGTAGCTCTTCCTCAGTTTCTAAGACAGAAAGGTATGTATAACTTTGTGTAGCACATTTTCTTTTACAAAAAAGTTGATCCATTCTTTACAGGAACCTCCTTACATCTTTTCTTTTATTAGTTATCTGTTATTGATTATAAAAAAGAATGAGTAATCTTTTTTATAGTAGTTCTCTATTATAAAGTTTCAGGGCTATACCTTTTATACCTTTCTGATTTTAAGGGTGGTTTTGTTTCATGACTCTTGTACCAGACTGCAGCTCATGAGCACATAGCTTTGTGAAATGTGTGGCTGTGCTGTACGATGCACAATCACTGAACTAATGGATTAATTGAAAAGATTAATCTGGCAATAAATCAATTACCTAAAGGAATTACAGCCCTTATGTAGCTCTATCTGTCACAAAGTCTGGGTATATTAGTATAAACATATTTTTGTTGAATGCTATGAGCAGTATATTTAACACTATATTATGTTTATAAGCTGCAAATATGTGTTTTTTTTTTTTTCAGAGAATTTGACCCAGACAGTTTCACGTTACAACGGAGCAGCAAATGTTCACAATGGTCTAGACACCTCTGCGTCGTACAAAATTGTACAAAATGGTGACGGTAAATTCCATGTGGAAGTGGAATTAGAGAAAGAAATATCAAATGTGTCAAAGAGTTGTGAGAATTTACCACAAGAGACAGAAAAAGCCAAGAATGAAACAGCTGAAAAAACAGACAGTGATGTGATACAGTTGAACGGTCAGGAAATATTGGACTCTTGTGACATGGCCCTTTAAAGCTGACATTTAAGACAAAGTATGATCTGTGCATGCATTGGATGATCAAGAAAAATACATAAACTCAACATTTATTTCCGTGCGTTCCTTTTTTCTTATGTGGTTGCTTTGTATTGAAGAAAGATAAAGGCAGCCAATACTTTTCGTTTCAAACTTCCTGTTGTGGATTCAACTTTGACCTTGAGCCACTTCATCTAATAAACTAAACCAGCTGAATAAGATAACCTTTGCTTTTGTGGTAACGAAACTAATCTTACAAAAGACAAAGATCTTGACGCTGTTAATTGCTGCTGTGCTCCACAAATTGTCTTTGGGACTCATTTAGTCATTAGTGGTCAGTTCAATAGCCTTAAGCCGTTTTATGTACAGCTATATTAAATCAGAGAGTCAATGTTTCTCTTTGTAGAGCCTGTTAAACTGCAAAAGCATTCTAAATTTGGACCAATCTGAGTCAGCGAGAGCATTTGACTTTAGATTGTAGGTAATGTTTTTATATAAATCACTGATTAAAGCCTAATAGAAAGAATAGAAAAAGCATGGCAAGAAAACAGTTACAAAGTTACAAACCTGATTTATTCCATTTGTATATATTGTCTTTCAAAACTCTGGTAATTCTTTCGTATTTCTTTTTGAGATTACTTTTGATGGCGTGACTCAGACTTCCCAACAACTGCCACAGCCGATTGCACATCCCACTCACAGAATCTGACACCCATTTCTCCACTCATTCTCCCTCCAACCTTCCTTTTCCACACGAGTCGAGCCAAAATCTCTATTACGCCGCATATGGTTTTGCTCTTGTTTTTACAAATCCAAGCCTTGCACACATGCAGGTTTCACTATCCCTATGAGGACCATTTATTATTGGGAAAAAAAACAGCTTTTGTGAGGGGGAGTGGAAACCCAGCCAACCTTGATTGTGTATATGGAGATTTTTAATGCTTGGTTCATTCGTAACGGCTACCTTGAAGTCTCTTTAAATTGTTTAAAAATAACAAGGGGCTGAGACGCGCTCTTGGGTGGTCATACGTTTTTGGTTGTTGTCTCCTATGATAACATTGACATAACTCATTCCTCAACCCTTAAAACTTAAACCAAATGTGACTTGTAATGGTTTAAAGCCCAACATGATTTAGCAGCCTATGCAAGCATCAGAAAATATTGACTACATATTTTACTACAATAAGTCAAAGGTAGACTTGGATAATCCGGTTCTCAACCAAAGCAGAGCAATAGGTCTTTAAGAGTGGATGCTACTGTAGGGTATGCATACTTTGTGCGTGAGAGGTGACTGTGTAATCAAAGAACCACATCAACAAATGCATAGGATGTTAGTACTGGGGGCACGAGTAAGACTTTCATCAAGTTGTATTTGCTTTCTTGCGGCTTATTTAACCGCAGCATTCCTCAGAATAGCAAAATCTAGAGGTAATTTTGGAGGGGTTGGACCAGGAGCACTTAGTCATTTGAAATCCCCATAGCTTTACACTCCTAAGTCAAAGTTTTTGGATCCGTTTTAAAGCAACATTCTTGTCTTTTAGTGTGTGCGTGTGTGTGTTTACCAAATCACGCAGTTCAAATGTGACAAAGATTTATCCCTGTCAATTCATTGAGGCTGCAAATAGGAGAGAGAGATGCATGTAATTATGTGTACATGTATGTGTGTGCTTTTACGACACAGTAACGTCTGGAAGTAATCATGTCGTCCACAGCCCCTCTCCCCATGATGTCATTGAAGGTTTGCGCCTAATAGCGAAGATTGCAGTCAGAGCTATAGGGCCTGTCTCCAAAAAGGTCTCATGTTCCTTCTTTTCTCAAAGCCACTTATACTGTAGCTACAATACGACACATTTTCCATCAGATCAAAACTCAACTGTTAATGCTGAGTGTTGTGATAGGACTTTGATTTAAATCATTTCTCTGCTCTTTCAGGTGTTTGTTTTGAGGAGGGGGAGATTTTGGCCCTGTCTCAGACATATTATAACAGTATGGGCCCCATCCCGCCTCCACTCACAATACTGCTGAAATAACAAACTCAGAAGTCTACTTTTTTATAGCTTTCCAGAACATGGGAGAGTAAGTGGACAGACAAAAAAAAGTAGAAAACTTGCTGTGGGAAAAGAGATTTGGATTTCAAATGACAAACATCCATCAAAAAATACTGTTGCTGTTAAAACAAGAATTTAATTTAAATAATATTTTAAAGAATTGCACTACACATTTTGCTTACTTTAGGAGCGTTAAGACAGACCAATGTATGGAGGAGAAATAGGATGAGTGAAAAGGTTTTCTATCAATGGATTACTACATGGGGTCAAAGAGTACAATCAATCAGATAAAAGGTGGATTGTTCTTAGTTGATGGAAGGCATTGTTGTCTCTTCAATACCAATCACTGAAAACAAAATCTTCGCATTTATATAATGACTTAAAGCTGGGTTTAGTGACTTGCAAACACCGAAAACTTCATAATACGTAATAAAATCCATATAACTAGTTCTTGGCCCTAAAGAAGTTTGTTCTATCATTAAGTTTTACTTATATGTATTTTTGGCCTCTGTCACATCTTTTGATCAGCTTTTTCAGACAGAGAAGTGAAAAAGAGAGGACTACCCTACCCAACCAATCAGCTCTCAGCCCAAAGTGCCTGTCTTACATGATGGCAAAAGACATGTTTTCTAATACATTTAAGAAAGCATGTTATGGCCTAATTTTCTCACTAAATTATACGTTTACTAGACTCTTTCTGTTAGACTAGCAACATTAATTATTCATGGGAGTAAGCTAGATGGGTTGCTTTTAAAGTACTGTCATTAGATATTGATCACGTACCAGTCCTCACCCATAGGAGGCGTCGTGGAGCCCTGGCGTTAGGCTGCATACACTCCCCTCTTGGAGCACATTTTTGGGAGTAGGTGGGAGGGCAGAGGGTCTCCTCCTGTCTCTCTTTGTCATGGGAAGACTTTGGACTTATCTGCGGTTCTTTACTGAAAAAGAAGAGCTTGTCACGAGTTAAAGCGTGTGATTGCGACAGTATGAGGGGTCGAGGATCGCTGCGGGTGTTGATTGGCTGATTGAACAATAGTCACAGGGATGCTTCAGGATATGTAACTCACTTTACTGGAAAAAAAAAAACTGTCAGGTAAGTCACTATACATGTGTTATTGTGCATGTCATTTCATTTTATTAGAACTAAGACAATTATATAAAATATAACAATTCAACTATGGTTTGCATAACTTTTCAGATGTTTGTCTTCAGCTGATACAAAATAAGTGAGGCAACATGAGCGTCACATGAGTTGGACATGATTTATAGACAAAAGTAACAAAAACTAAAAAGAAAAAAATTTAAAATGAACAAAATAATACTGTAATCTGATTTACTCTCTAACTGGTTCAAACTGGTGTTCCTAACTTTTTGGTTTCATAAATAGCGCGTGTTGTTTGTCCCAACAGTGTAATAAACGTACATTTGAAACCGCAAATTAGACCACAGGCACTGTCCATGTCTTATTAGAAATATGTTTATCTTTTGCATACTTGTAGCAAAGAGCCCTGTGAGTCACAATCTGATGCTTTGGCTTGAAAGCTGATTGGTTGAGCGAGGGTGGTCCTCTCTCTATTTCACTTTTCTGTCAAAAAAAAAAGTTGATTTAAAGATGTGACAATGACAAACAATACATACATGTCAATACAATATAGAAACTGTTTTGAGAGCAAAGAGTTTTAGTTAGATGGATTTTATCACATTGTTCCATTTGCTGTGGGTTGGAAACTATAGGCACTCCTGCTTTCATGTCACTGTAACTATTTTGCCATAATCTTACTTTGAAACTAATTATTTCTATAGCTGACTGCATTGCATCTACACTAAACGCTCTCTTGGACCCACAGTTTGAGTGTCTTGCTTCGGCATACACTTCAGTACACATAGTTACAGTAGGCAATATGAGATGTCTGGTATTATCACTGTGGGTCTTTCCTGTGTGTTATTGCCCCGCTGCTCTGTAGTCTGGGTGATGCACTAAAAACTCCTGCTCCTCACATGTGCAGGGGCTCGCACTCTCCCCTCTTTTTTTCCAGGAGGGCTGAGAATGAACTCACGCTGATTGATTGTGTGACTGTGTAAAAGGATACCCCATTTCCTGTATGGGCTCTCACTCCAGACGGCTCAGAAAACCTTGGATCGGGCATCTCTCCCTCTGTTTGTCTGCTTTTCTATGGTCTAGAATCCAGAGACTGCAGCATCTTTGCATGTAAAGTAGTATTTTGTATGTTGGATATTTGATTTTTACATTTTCTTTTGGGGAAAATGTGATCCAAGAGTCAACAGAAGTGCTGAAAACATGTGAACTATTCTATGATTGCCATATTGTGCCATGCAGTTTCTCAGTTTTTCACAAAGGATTTAGTCTGGACACCTTTGTGCTGTTTACAGGGAGATGTTTCTCTACATGGATTTTGCACAGAATGGCAATTTCTTCTGTGACCAGTGAGTGACCACAAGAACAACCAGAAAAGGCAATTGGTCAATTCTCTGTAGAGTGAATGTTTTTCAATAAAATTCAGCTATAAAACCGTAATTGAAGAGACTGCTGTGGAAAATTAGGGACAAGACAATAACAACCTTACAAGAAAAGTTTAACAATGCATTGAGGAGTCCACACGTCAAAATAGATACAGACTTTATTCTGAAACATTCCTGTGATCTTTAATTTCTTTTCTGGTCCAAATTTGAGCAGTGATACAAGAGGTTTGTGACCTGCTGTCATGGATGTCTCTCATTACTGACATAAGACATGCCATTATAGGTCATGAAACTTGCTGAACTCTTATGATGTTAATTAGAAATTTTGTCCGAACAAAAGTCTCTGTAAATTCACTTTTCACTCGAGCAGGAGCAACTAGAACACTCCATCTCTTTCAGTATTCCCAGACTGGCCTGACTGCTCTTTCAATGACTTAAGGGTCTCTGAGGGAGCGCTTTGGGCTAGCGCTCAAGTGTCTGAGGCTAAAAGATCAATTCAACTGCAGGGCAAGTTTCAGACGTCAAGTGGTTATTAGTTAGAAAGGCTTTGTCTGGTTTTCTAATATGTCTTGTGTGACTTTCAACAAAAAGTCAAGTATGGAAAAAGTTGGTTTTGCATTGTGTGATAATAGGTCCTTGGTTTAAGATTTGTTATAATGTAAGATAATAGAAAGTAAAGTTATGTTTATTGTGTTTGTAATCAATCCTTTTCAACTAACAGCAGGAAATGTTTCTCACCATCTTTCGCCACATTACTTCTTAAGCTTAAGGCAGGAACTCAGAGTAGGTTATTTATTTTGGTTGGAAATAATTTTCCCTTCCTTATATCTGTTTTTCTTGTCAGGCTGTAATCGTCCCTGGATTTGGCAGCTGAAATCTGCAGCACCAGTCTGTATCCGAGAAAGGTCATCATGAACAGCAGCATGCTTCCTCAGAGGAGCTCAATGAGTACACTCAGCTACGGCACAGGTTTGACAAAGACCAGCATAATTTTCAATGTTTTTAACCTCTTGCATCTTTAATTTACCTTTACATCAATCAGTTTGACAATTACTAAATTATATTTTGTCCAGAGTCATGTCTTGTGGCTGCAGGTACCTTTAGGTCAGTCATTTTTGTGTCCTCCTCGATCACTTGCCTTCTTCCGTTTTTAGAAGACGCACTTTAGGGCGATGTTTGTGTTGGGTTTTAAAGTGAGTGCACATTCTTCCCTGGTATTCCCCTTTTGCTCAGCATATGTATCCCACTAAATTCCCCCTCCTCACTGTTGCGCTTTTCTGGACACTGTATTTGGTCTGGAAAATGCATGTACTGTACGTGCTGTAAATGCCGCAAAGTTGCCAATACATTTGTTGTCACACATTCACCACATTGACATGTGTGATCATCTGTCATCTACTTAACTCACTGCTGCCACTTTTCAGCAGTCCATTTCTAACCTGGCCCAAGTGTGAATGAGATGATTAGCTGTTGATTGTTTTTGACAATGATACACTTTTTTGGTAGAGAACCAAGAGTCCAAGGTATTAACCATCCTTTTTTCAGTTATCATATAATGCATTGACATGTTCCATACATTAACTAATAATTGACTTGATTGAGTCAAAAACGATGTCTGAACAGGCTGCTACACAATTCTTGATTTTTTTTAATGGATTTTAATTTTCTTCAGACTGTGTGAAGCTGGAGCCGAGTGTGTCGTCTGTGGGTGGGGCCATGAGAGGCGGCCGGTCAAAAGCTGAGCTACAGGAGCTGATGGAGACTCTACAGCGCAGGAAGAGTGCTCTGGAGGCCAGTCTTCGTGCTGCTGAGTGCAGCAGGAAGTACCTGAATGTGCCCTCTGCGGTGGCATCCCAGCCCCCTCGGCCCCTATCGGCCCTCAGCATGGACCGGCCCCCCTCCACGTCCAGGATGCTGGCGTATGTGTCTAATGGAAGCAGTGTGCCCCCCTCTCCTCGACAAGGGGAACGCCAGATCACCTCCAACGGTGTTCACCACCATTCTCGCCACCAGTCCCAGGACAGTCTGCTCTTGTCCAGTGAGGGGAGCTCTCTGCTGTCCCCATGCTCGCCCCGGATCAAGAGTGGTGCGGCCAGTGTCCCATCCAGCCCCCGCATGGGCCGCAGACTCTACTCTCAGGTTAGAGCAGGCGACTCTCGCCAGAGGAAGTACTCCACAGGATCCTTGACCAGTTTAGGTGCTCACAGTCGGTCTCTGCCCCGTCTCCATAATCCCGCTGACCCTCCAACTTTGTCTCTGCCTATACGAAACCCTCCAGTGCCCCACAAAGCGGGAGGCTCGGCTCGACGAAGTCTGTCCTCCTTAGAGCAGCCTCCAGATGTGACTGTCCCGGCCAGCATGCCCAGCACACCTCGGAGGGCCAGCATGGCCTCTCTCAGCTCTCTGGGGGTAGACCTGGATGGGACAGCCTTAGACCTGGGCTTTGGAGAGAGGAGGATGTCCTTTGGTAAGGGGGGACTCAGCCCAGGACAAAGAGTTGGCAGCATCAGCTCTCTAAACGGTAAAGAGGAGCTTCGAGACTACCATCAGCATCAGAGAGACGAGCGTCTGAGGGAGCAGAAAGTTCAAAGACTGGTGAGATCTACACAAATAAAGAGCTTGATATACTTCCAAGAATCAAAACTGACAACAGAACTGAAATCTTGTTTGTTGTTGTAGGAATGTCAGCGTCTGGAAACAATCTTGAACTTATGCACAGAGCTTGAGAGGGACACCTCCACCTCAGCTGTGTGCAGCCTCCAGAAGATCAACAAGGAACTGGAGAAACTGCAGGTTTCGGACGATGACTCTGTTTTCACAGACTCTCCCAACAGCAGCGCTCCAGACACCTGCTTCAGCCCCAAGACCCGAGACTATCCGCTAAGTGAGGACCCCGCGGCGGGGCAGAGGGGTCAACAGAGCAGCTACAGTGGGGTCCGGTCACATTCACCTGCAGTCAGCCTCAGCAGCAGTGCCGCCTCCCCCTCCATGAACCACAGAACCAAAGTAAGCACACACATAGAAAAATATATACATTATAATAATAGAAAAAATTTGTGTACCTTTATAATCATGTATATTCTATTGTAACAAGTAGTATGTGGTTTGTGAAAATGATTATATTTGTGCAGGACAACTTAGTTAATGTTTCAACTGAGGTAAGGGAAAATGTCTTAAAGCTGTATCAAAGCTGTTGTGCGCAGTGGAAAATATATTCGTAATAACAGTGGATCTTGTTGTGGTGTTCTTGCACAAGGGGCTACAAATACGTGATTTACATTTCCTGTCTATGTGGTATGGAAAAGTGCATAATCCGAAAAAGCACTCATTACTCAAAAGATAGAAAAGTAGAAATCCTTATTTTGACCAAATAAGGATAAAAACTTCAAACTCTCACCATTGACATGCAAAAACGATTTATTATTATATGTCTTCAAATGCCTTGCTCAGCTGACTCTAGAATGGAAAATTGAAAAGAAAAACAGGATAACGCAAAAGTCAAACATCTGGCCTTTGTGGGAATAGTAAAACTGGACACCTGGACTTTACCCTAAGCTTTCGGGTACCCCTTCACTAGTCTCATTGTATGTGTGTGCATTGTATTGCCCTGTTCTTCTCAGTCTGGGGCAGAGCCTAATGGCACGTCTGGTTTTAATGATGAAGTCCCAGTTTCGCTTCACTGCTCAGGATTTCAGACCCTTTAAGGAGGGGGAACAGGAAATGACTTTATCCTACTGAGAATTGGCCTGCGCATGTGTGTATGAGTGTGTGTGAGTGTGTGTGAGTGTGTGTGTGGAGACCTGCGCCTTTTCCAGATGTGTAAACGTTATACCTAAAACCAACATATGACCAATCTTAACTAAATACGGCTCGTCGTTTACACCTTGTCTCCAAATCGACACGTTTCCAGATCTATCGGCACGTCCTTAAACGAAGCTGAGGTGAATTTCTGTTACGTGTCAATAGACAGATGTTTACAAATTCCTGGTGCCTTCTCCCACATCTCCCACAAACCACCACAGTCCTGTCCCCTCAACAGCAGTGCACTCAAGGTTGTATTTATATTGATTTCTGCTTGAGTGATACTGGGTTGACCTGCATTAATGGGTGGAACCAGACTTCATATATTTTGTAATGGGGCTTTTTAATTTTCGTTTGGAACAGTTTTTTACTTAAACATTGAGTTACCCTTACTGTTATGGGAAATAGGCAACTTAATCCCAGGCACACCTGACTTGTATTTTGGACTTTTACTTGCATTTTTACCAAAGATTGGTCTTTGCTAGGTTCGCCAATGGCCTGTCATGAAAACAAAAAAAAAATGTTTTGTATACATTTGTCATTTGACAACATTTGACAACATGTATACATACAGCTAAATATCTTAATTTCACACAAAGCAACGAACAAATGATTAATATTAAGGCCCAAAATATATTGTTATATCTATCAGTTATTGAATAATAAGCTGAGGACCTGTACTGTGAACGTGTTTCCATTGTAACCCCTATCTCCATGTCAAATTTTAAACCAGGACACTAATTTTATGTTGATCTACATTGACTTTTTCTTTAATGGCTAGGAAAAAAATATTATGAATGAACAATAATAATTTCCCAAAATATTGACAAAATAAAAATGTGAGGAAATATCCTACACAGAAAATGAGCCATTTCTTATTTATTTCTACATACAAAATCTTTAAATCTTCATACTGTGTACCAAACGTAGTGCCCCTAGTGTCTCATCGCTGCTCATACAAAACACATATAGTGACTTTTAACCCGCTCTGGTTAAGTTACATTTGAATGATTATAAATAAGTGTGCCTTATTGTGAGGATGAATAGTCACTATTGTTGTGTTTTTTGTTGTGTGGGAGTATTTTAGACAGACTGGCAACGGAGGGCACTGCATTTCCACTGCACTAAGCTGAAAGGAATGTCTTGTTGTTAATGTTCCAAATTCGGATGAGATAAAAAATGTACAGCTGTGGTCAACTAATGCTGTAAAACTAAAGTGACTTGGCGTCTGTGTCTGTAAGCAACAACTGTAGAGAAGAGTCATTTTGAAGTCTGTAAAACTGTGCGTTTATTTGAATTCCTGGTTTCACTGCAGGCTTTGGAGAGTGTGCAGCTGAAACAGGAAGTGACACAGATCGAAGAAGAGCGCATTCAGGTCCTCAACAACATGGAGGAGCTGGAGCAGAAGATCAAGGACCTGGACAACCAAATGGAGGAGTCCATCAGAGAGGTGCAGGGCTCTTCTTGTCAAACTCTGGACTACATTGGACAAACAACACCAATTTTGGGAAAGTTGGTGTAAATATGTTTTAGTATCCACTATCTAAGGTACTAGGGAAACAAGAGATTAGATTAGTTTATTACCTTAGATACCTTAGTGATGGGACTGCATTAAAAAGTATGTTGATAGTGACCAAAAATACCACCACAGTATATCACAATGGTGGGTATTTACAAAGTTAAAGACCCACATTATGTATTCAATTTGTTTGTTTTTTTGTTAAACACGTTGGTATCTTACATCCTACAGTGGGAGATATTCTTTTTCCATTTGTCTTGTTGGATAAACATATGCTTCAGGCTTTTGAATGTGGTCCCTTGTTGTCTTGCTGCAAAACAAATTTCTCCTTGTGGGACAATAACAAATAACTTTGAACTCTGAACTTTTATGGCAGGGGTTACATTCTAAAAAGACCTCACAATAAGCAGCTATAGGTTTTAAGACTGTAAAACCCCTCACCACACACTTTATACACTTTTCTAACCACCTGAACTCAAAACTGCTAAAGTGCGATTGCAGAGATATCAAACCTGTCTGTTGTACGACCCTGTGCTGAGGGGCAGGAGCAGGATTGAGGGCTTTAATCCTGCCCCTCTGAACTAATCACCGCAGTGCACACAAGCCACACATTTTTTTTCTTACTTTAAATTAAGGTGACTGTCATGTTCTAATAGCTTTATATTTTAGAAGTACACACAGTATGAGTTGCACGTTGTAAAAAAAAAAAAAACATGCAAAATTGCCCACAAAAAATCTGCAAAAAATTGAGGCCGCAAAAGGTGAACCACAATAATGCAAGGGACCACTGTATTCAAAATGTTGACACCAATATTTACTGCAAATTACTGTAGTATCAGCTCCATGAAGTATATCAGTTATCCGCTTCCTTGTCTAATTATTGGTATCAGTATCAGTCCTGTGAAAAAAAATCTATTTGACTTTATAATTTAGTGTTTTCATATGATACAGATATACCTACTATATTCCTATTTTAATGTATACTATAAAAAACATCCTTTTCTTTTAAAATACAGATCATATGCACCTTCTGAAACCAAATGTCTACAACATTTACAGCAAGAAGATTCTAAAACAATTGCCATTTTGGATACCATGGGAGAAGTCCGAACCAAGCTAGACATATTGATGTGGCTACTCTATGCAGTCATTTCAAACAAGGAATAACTCACTAGAACCGCAAAAGACGGCTGCTTTATTGTCTAAACTGGAACTTTGAATTTCAGCCATCCCTTGGGTTGGTGCAGACACATGTGAAAAGCTGCAAGACATTTTTATGCCTGGTTTGAAAATGGAAGAATGGCTTTCTTCATAAAGCGGAGTGATGTTGTATTGATGCTTTGCAGATGGAGGTGGAGCGTGCTCTGCTGGACGGGGAGCATGAGGCGGAGGTGGCCCAGTCCGAGAGAGAGAAAGAGCTTCTGGATCAACTCAAGGAAAAAACTCTTGCGTCCAACACACCAAACGGAACAGAGAGGACAGAGGTAGAAATGAGACTGTTACATAAAACACAGTGCCTCTGGATTATCCCTGCAGCCGTCCATTGAAGAGGGCTCTGCAAAAGTACTAACGTTATGAGCAATGCATGAAATATTTACTGAATGTGAGAAACTACAGGCAGCAATACTTTTACTGTTATCACTGGCTGCCTTTGAGATGACACATTTCCCCATTTCAAAGTTTGTTAGAGCAGTGGGTCCCAGTCTTTTTAAGATAAAACTGGAACAAAAGTAAGAAAGACTTTTTTTCAGACTGATAGACCAATTGTTATTATGACTATTCGTGTCCTAGGTTAAATGTTTAGAATATCATTAGTATTGTTTATTTCTTTAACAAATTAGCTTTAAAAAAAACATAACGGATGCATCTTCACTGGGACCCGAACCCCTGTTTGGGAAACCCTGCAGTAGGTAGTGAGTTATAGTGCGCCCAAAAAAAAGTTTCACAATTTTACCATAATTATATGTATGTAGAAATTGACCTTGCTCTGAATAATCTTATATGTTGTGTTTTAGTTTCTCAATTTAGACCAAAAATCTCAAAGAAGGGCCCCAAATAGTTCTCATATGTTTTAAAGAAACCAGCACCTGATTCTAATTTGTATCAAAAGGCTGGAAATCTGAAGCCTTCCCCCTTTCTGGCAACAAAAATATATTTGACGTATAACTGAAGACAATGAGATGAATCGACATGTTGTTGGCGCTGCGGTTAGCACTTCAGACTCACAACAAAGAGGTCCCGGGTCCAACTCTTGTGGATTGTGGGTTTTCCAAACAGAATGAATGAACAATAAAGGTATAAATTCATCCATTCTGTTTTGGAATTTGCATGCTCTCCTGCTTCCACTGGTTGTTAGAGTTTATTGTACATTAGAGTATTTTTCAAGTACTGTTGTTTTCCCTGCTATTAGTACTTGACTGCTTTTTCTTCTGAACATGTTTTACTCCTTACTTTTATACAAAAATGTAGCTGTACTTTCTACTTCTTGAAATTGTAAATGGCTCAGTTACTTTGCAGATGGCAACACAACATAAAGACTGGATTAAAGTGGTTAGCCGTGCTTCTAAGTCCAGATAAATATTCAGATCGAGTTCTATGTGTTTTGTTTGTCATGCCAGTACAAAACATTTCTACAGCAGTATCATGTTGTTAAATGATTCAAGGCAATGTTTGAAATGTCTCAAATAAATATACTGTCCGTCAATAATTCTACGATAATACATTTTACTTTTAGTTTTTAACATAAAAAGCTTGAACATTTATACTTTTATGGGAATGATTTGTGTACTTTTACTTATTTTGTGTACTTTTACTTATTTTGTGTCTATACTTTTACTACCGAAGTTCAATCATGAATTCAATCAATTCATTTTTTCAAATTAACTAACAGAGATAATGTTTTTTGTTTGTTTACCCTATGTTAGGTTGAGGAACAGACCAAAAGTTTGGAGGAGTTGGAATTTCAAAAATTGGAAAGAGAAATCATCCAGGATGAAGAAAAGGAAAACCAGGAGCTGCTGCGGGAGATTGCAGAGTGTCAGCGCATTTCTATCACACGCAAAGTAAAGCAACATTTACGTTGTTATTATACTGGGAAAAAAAAACATCTATTTAACCCTAAAACCTTGCTAAGTCACAGTAATTACCATGTTTGTGGAGCGATAGAGCTGTGCGTTTGTCCAAAGCTTAGCAGGTTGCCTTCCTCCGGTGCCTCTGAATGCAAAGGCCACACAAAGAAAGTAACATTCATGTTGCTCTTTGCAGGAGAGGATTATGACTCTGAAGAAACAGTCCACACAGATAACTTTACAAGCTCAACAAGAACGAGACAACTTCCAAAAGGAGAAAAACAACTTGCTTATCATGCTTCAAAAAGTAAGCAGGATATGCTTTGAGGTTTTTTTTTTATAGATAAAAATATATTGAAGTGTTTGTTATACAGGAAAAAGAGAAATTAGCATCTTTGGAAGAAAAGTATGCAGAGATATCGGAAGGACAAGTCTTTGCCAGCAACCCCATAAAAGAGGTCAAATATGCTGTGCCTCGCTGAGTAAAAGGTGCTTTCTGAATGTGGTTTTAATGTGTGGTTTGTGGTTTTGTCCCAGCATTTGAACTCTCTGAAGGAAAGGAGAAGGAGTAAAGAAAACACACCTCTCCAAAGCGACAGTCTACCTCACAAGAGGAGCCAACAGATCCTCTCCTCCTACAGCAGGTCGATGGGACACACACTGCCCCCGAAGGTCAGAGCGGTACTGCACCATCCTCTGCTTAAAGCGTGTGTTGTTGGAAAAGACTTATTGTCTGAGGGAACGTGAGCCAGAAGGAAGGAGTTTTAATGATGAAGATTTTTATTGATCCATCAGCAAATGACCATGTTTATTCTCAGGCCGAGGTCTCATGAGTCCAAACATGTGTTCATCAGTGAGTCCCAGTCTTGGCCCCAGTGAGTGTCTTAGAACATGGAACACATGTGCTTCCGCAAAATTATTCCTCAAAAGTTTGTATGTATGGAATGTAAATGTATGAATTGAGTTTTGGAGGTTGTGACATGTTCCTATACTGCCTAGGGACGTGTATATATATATATATATATATATATATATATATATATATATATATATATATATATATACACAAAGTGGTGGTGGAGGGCAGCGAAAAAATGTTTCCTGGAAACAATGGTAACCTCTAAACTAAGACTTCTAGTCTTAGTAATTTCTGTGTAATCCCTGGGCCACATGAAACAAATCCACATCTTCTTTGTCATACATATCAACTATGGTCTAATTATTGTCTTATAAAGGTGTCGATAGTGGTGTTTGAAAAAAGATTTTCAAACATAACAATAATTTGGCAGGTTTGTGAATCTAATCCATCTTTTAAAAAAAAAGATATTTGAGTGGTATTGACACCTGCCCTCAAACTGAAATAGAATTCTACAAATGAACACCCTTCAACTGATGTGCTGTCTAATATTAACCTAGAATTTAGTTTTACTCATACAAAGGCAGGCAAGGCAAGGTAGGTTTATTTATATAGCACAATTCATACACAAGGCAATTCAAAGTGCTGAACAAAACAAGAAAGCATTAAAATCATAAATAATCACAGAACATTAAAAAGAAAGATAAAAATATAAAATCCCTCAGTTGTAGCACAGCTAAACAGAACTGTCTTTAACCTGGTTTTAAACATTGTCAGAGAGGAGGCCTGTCTCACCTGGATAAGTGGTTCTGTGGTTACTTCAAGATAAGATAACTGCTTTAACACAGGTTTGTAATCTGTGATTTGAAGAACAAAATCTCTTTCTTCAAAATATCTCCATGGCGATTGGACATGAATAAATGTGATTGGTGCATCCTTTGTAAAAGCATTCAGAGACGCTATAATAGTTCAAATGGAAAACAGAAAATCATTTCTAACCAGCCTTTGCCTCCTGTCCAGGCGCACCCTCCTCTCTCTCAAAGCTCCAGTGTTGGCAGTGTGCTCCCACCAGGATTCACCTTCTCGTCCCGGGACACAAACGGCCGCCGTCTGCAGAAAAGTGAGTCACATGATCCTCTCAGCTTTGATCAATGCAACATGTTTCCTTCCTCTGGCCCTAAACCTTTACACAGTTTACATGAAAAAATCTAAAATGGAGACCAAATTACATGCCAATATTTTAGTTGAAAAAGTATAAAGTTGTGCAACACACCTTGACCATGACCGATCATATGTTCACGGAGAAATACCTGACAGACTTTCTCAGTGAGGAAGCCATTGAGAAGGATTTTGACACTTGAGAAGGAAAAAACATGTTTATTGCTTGGTGCTTTTTGCGTCTCTGCTGTTTCTGATTTGTTTGTACGATTTTTGTTTTGTTTTTCTTTCAGACAATAATAACCAATTCCAGATGAATGACGAGAGACAGAGGAGGAGCGACTTCTGCAGCCGCTTGGTTTCAGAGCCCAGCGTCTTCTTGGATTCTTTTTCCTTTGCCGACAACAGCCAGACCTCGGACACCGTCAGCGTGGACAGCTCGGACAGCCTGGAGACCAGCTTCTCTGCATGCTCCCCAGACAATATATCCAGGTGAGCAATCCTCTGACACATCTGCAACTGAAAAGATCTGAGGTAGACTTAATGGATATAATAAGAAATGTTGAGAGGAATGCTTCTGTCTGGTTTTCTGTTTAAGCCACTTATTCAGTCCAGCTGTTCTGTTTGACCAACACCACACATGTCGACATTTGCATGGACATGTTGAAGCCCTTTGTAGACTTTCAACATAAATGTAACAAAATATTTCATGTACCCTTTGTTCTCATTGTCACATTCTGCCTATGTTTGACAATCTTTTCCTCGTTAGTGCAAGCACATCCAACATGGCCAAAATTGAGGAGATGGAGCGTTTACTTCGAGAGGCCCAGGTGGAGAAACAAAGGCTGCTGGAACATCGTGTAAATATCATTCCTTAATTGGTGGCCAGACACAAACTGTATACATTTGTGTGTTTGATGTAAGGCTTTATTTACTTTATGTGTAGGAGCGGGAAATGGAGATTCGGAGACAGGCGCTGGAGGAGGAGAGGAGGCGAAGAGAAGCTCTGGAGAAACGGCTTCAGGAAGAAACGAGCAGACGACAGAAACTTGTGGAAAGAGAAGTGAAGCTCCGCGAGAAACAGAGGTCACAGGTATTTGAACATTTGATGCTGTTATTTAGTGTACAGACTTAACCGACCCAAAACATGACAATTTATGTTACTTCAAGGTCAATTGAGTGTGAGTTCCAAGTTGAGTTTTATGGGCCATAAATTAGAGATGACTGAAAGGTTCACTGAGTTTAATCCAACGATATTATTAATCTGATAAAAAGTCAAAAGATACGTTATTTTTCTGATCAAAATCAGAAAGATTCAAAGGACACAATAGTGACTATAAAGTATGTCACCTATTCTTTACTCAGACGTAAAGTTGCATTCAGTCACTTTTCTGGTAAATAATTCATACAACACTGTGACATAAAAACATAAATTGCAACTTAGCTTTGTGAATAAATGTGTAAACACCATAAACTGGTGTTCTAACTTCCATGCGTCTTTGTGTATCTCCAGTCCCGCCTCCTGTCGCGCTACCTCCCGGTCAGGAAAGATGACTTTGATCTTCATGGACACATTGAGGCAGCTGGACACAATCCAGATGCTTGCTTTCATTTGGCCATCACTGATAAAACCTGCCGGGGGTTCCTTGTCAAAATGGGCGGCAAGATCAAAACCTGGAAGAAGCGCTGGTTTGTCTTTGACCAAAACCGCAGGACACTCACTTACTATGCAGGTAAGGGGTTCCCTTTTTATCCTCTTGCATTTCCCATACATTATGAAAACATAATTACCACAACAGGACCTTTTCTATAAAGTGGTGGTCAGGACCATGGAAGGCTTTTATCAGTCTTTCACAAACGACACTGTGTTTTGTGTTCTCTACCACAGACAAACATGAAACCAAGATGAAAGGAGTCATCTACTTCCAGGCCATAGAGGAAGTTTACTATGACCACTTAAAAAACGCACACAAAGTAAGCACACTTATATTGTTATTCATGTGTGGTTTTCTAGTCCACATCTGTAAGACACATCTCTTTCTCCAGAGCCCAAATCCATCTCTGACCTTCTGCGTGAAGACCCATGACCGAGTCTACTACATGGTGGCTCCGTCTCCTGAGGCCATGCGCATCTGGATGGATGTGATAGTCACAGGTGCTGAGGGACACATGCACTTTATGGTCTGACACAGGGATATTGACAATGGACACCACTCTGCCTCCATGTCTTCTGTGTGAGCACAACACATACAGTGTTTGCTATAGCTCAATGCCACTACAAGACTCCTCTTTGTGTAGTGTTGTACACCACTTAAATAGATAAGCTACTAAACCAAAATGGCTGAGTATAAAAAGGGCATTCATATAGCATCTGACTGCCTAACAGCTCTATCCTTTGCTTTTTCTTTATAAGCTTCTTTTGAATGTTTGGTTGTAATAACTCACATTGTTTGAAAATGCACATCGCATACTATTTTACCTCACATTTACTCGCCTCTAAATCAGGATTTTTTTAATTTACCATGATCAGTGTTAAAGTTGACACGCTTCATTTCCACATTACGTTCGATTAATTTATTTTTATATGGCACTTTTCAAATAGTATTTTTCAGTATTTCAGACTGCTATGTTAAAACATAGCTTTAGACAAGCATCCAGCTCGTGCCTTTTATTGTGAGCAAATAGTTTGTTCACGTTACAACGTCATGTAAACCAGTGCTGCATAACCGCTCCTCACCAGCAGAGGGCCTCAGCGCTGCGTCTGCACTAACATGACGTAATGCTTTGGCTGACTCTTCAGCTATAAATGATGCGTCACGTTTTTATGGGACAAATGAATATTATCATTGTATTTCCTGCAAACGTATATTTATATTCTGCATTTATCCACCATTAGAATGAACGTGTTGCAGCAGATGTGTTATATTGTTTATATTGAATGAAAAGTGGATTGGGCAGTTTTAACCAGGTTGTAACCCTCGGAGAGCAGCTGTTGACCCAGAGCTGCTGCGTCTCTCACAATTTGTTTTCGCAGCTGAATTCCTACATTAGAGGATTCGTCCTTCTAAGTATGACACGCTAAAGAAATACATTTTATTAAATGTTTATATGCTGTTGTTTTCTTTTAGTTTTGTACCAGAACAAAAGTCATTCCAATGATAATATGCTATGTTTTATTATCAATTATGAAAATAAATATTTGTTTCATTTTGTAATGATATGATTGCAAAAGCATCCATATGATTTATTCTATTTTACATTTTGGAATCGCTCATGGTGTTCTAAAAATAGCTTAATTAAAACATGTTCCCTGTTCATTGGTCCACATATGGACTGCTCATTTCTACATGACCTGTTCAATCTATACAATGAGTAAGACCCTTCTTTGGCCTTAGGCCTCCTTTTACTCCTGAAAGCCTTCAATTGGTTGACCTAGTGAGGTTGGCATGGATACTTGAATGAGGCGTGCTAAATGAGGCTCGAAAAGTTCCTCTAGAGACAGAATATACAGATAAACAATGTTCTGTCTCTAGAGGAACCGGTCTAGAGTTTAAGCAGAGTGTCATTGTGGCTACTGTACTTTGTACAACATTTTTAGGGCAGAATCACTGCAGATAAGTGTAAAAGTGCACAGAAATGGAACAGTCTATGCAAAGCAGCCAGTTGTGTAATGTATTAGCAGAAGTATGAACATAGCTGATAATCATGTGAATGCATCCTGACAAAGAGCTGTATTCAACAGTATGTATTCCTCTGCTAGCTTAGTCAGTATGGATTATTATTGGATGACCCTTTTCAAAGATCTGGATAACGTTTTGGTGCAAGATAGTAATCAGGCAAGTTTTCTCATACCCATATAGGATTTTAAAAAAATTGGACATCGATTTGAAACTGTTTTTACGTTTGATTGTTTATGATAGAATTACATTGTGTTGAGTCTGTTTTGAAGATACAATAATACGCGTGATCACCCTTTAATCATTGCCCCTTATCACACACTCTTTGTCTCTTTGTGTGAGCGATAGGTGCGCATAAAACCTGCTCTGATCCTCAATTGCAGGTGCTTGCTAAATACAAGCTTTCTCTGAATCGTGTCTAGGCCTCAGGGGGATGTCGTTCTTTTCTCAGGGATACGGTTTCAATCTCTACGCTCTGTAATAGCACCTGACGCCTTCATAACCTCGTGTTTTTTCCTCTGCCAAATGATTGTGTTCTTCTCAGCTTGCTGCCTCTGGCCCAATGAAACACAGAGGACCTTGTGTGTCACCTCTGCTATGGTTTATCAAACTCAGACTTTGTACTTATTCTTAGAGTCAGGGCCCTCTCCGCATCCATCCTCATGACCCGTGTCAGCTCCCCAATGTGAGATTTTGCTCTCACCACCAGACATGAGTTCGAACTTTGAAATAGAAAGTAATCTTGACATGCTTAAATTTTACACATTTTAACACATTACATCTGTACAGAATGTGTTGTAATTATTATGTTATTATGTTCAACTACTGTACTGTATATGGCAGACCTGGGCAAACTGCAGGCTGGGGGCCACTTTCGGCCTTATTCATGTTTCAATGCAACCCCCGGTCCCTTCAGTTGTTAACCTCATACGGCTTAGTTCAATTATTGATGGCTCCCTGTTTTCCTCCTTGTCTCCAAAATATTCTGTGTTTTTATTTTTATAATTTCAGTAGCTTTCACAGAAAATGTTAAATAGATTTTGTCATGTTAAAGGAAATGGTACAACATGCGCCCCCCCCCCAGATATAATATTTATCCACCCCTGGTATATTTACATTACAATTAACCCTTTAGGTAACAGGGGTATTTCAAAAATGTTTTGTGAATCAGTCAAAAGATTCAACACTGAGACTTTAAAAGACAATTAAATACATAAAACATGTAGGGAAACGTTCAGGCGCCTTTAGGGCTAGCAAAACAAGTTCAAACCAGGATAATACCCAGCATTAGAGAAAAACCAGAACTAATTTATTACTAGATCATGACTAAACCAGCGAGAACTAAAGCATTACATTATAGGGCTAACATTTGAATGAAAAAACCAGAACTAATCTTGAAAGCAGATCTCACCAGCGTTCTCATAACCGCAAAGAATCCAAAACCAATCTAAAGTTCAAAGTGGAGCTCTAAACAAGGACTCAATCCGCCTGACTGGAGCACAAATCAATTGAATCCCTCAGTGCAAGATATTGTGCCTATAACCTTTTTATAAAACATTGAATTAAACATTAAACCCCAATTTGTAGGAAATTATCCAGCAGGGCCATCACCCTCGTGTCGCTCTAAGAATAGCAGTGACACACATTCCTGTAGTTGTCTCAAATGAGGTATGCATATTAAGTGCTTCCCTCACAGCTGATTGGCCGTCGCTGCTCACATTCAGGCTGTGTCTATTCAGGTCAGTGCGCTTGGCCTGAGAATGATGTTAGTATGATGCAGCTCTGTGGGTCATCTGACACACTGGCGCTGGAAAGATGTCAAAGAGCGGAAATGTCAGCTTTAGATTTGTTTGAATGGAAGAAATATTACTATGATTATAAACGGCTAAATAAATACATAGAATATATATGAGATTTTTTAAGAGAACCCTCATTCAACTTATAGCGGGGACATTTCAGTGTGGTTTGTATGAGACTGACCTATAGGACAGTCTGGAAGTTTTAAAGTATTTTTGGCCTGGCTGCACAAAACAAATCTTTTTTAAATTTATTTTTTATTCATGACATATCCATTCAGGAGAATAAGCTATATTTTTGTCTGGTATTCTTTTGACTTGATAAAGTATTTTGTATTGGCTTTTCCTGCTGTGTTTCTAAAAGAGCCTGAACATTACTTAATAGAATTATATTCACTTTAGTCATGCCTTTGTTTTGATCTTTTAGTCTTGGTCACCCAAAGTTTATGATTTGCGTGTAAGTCACAAGTTATTTTTTTGTATAATGGCAAATTTTGTCAGTAGTTGTTTCTTTGAAAAGATATTAGGTTACTTAGGGCTTTTATTATTTATTGATTAAATAGTAAACAAAACAACATAGCAGAGACAATACACAGACACTGCTCTTGTCCAAATACAGTATACTGTAAGTGTGGAAACATTAAGAGTTGGTCCAATTTCTTTTCCACTAATAAATCCACTGTCCATTTAGCTGTCTAACAAGCATTGTCCACTTAAAACTGGGAGGAGGTATTGGCACTATCCACAGATAATGTTTTATCACATCATTTAGCAGACAAAGACATAGTCGCTGTACAGTTCAAAAAGTATGCAAAAAAATAACATTTGTTCATTTCTGCTACATATTATACATCCAGGTAGATTGGAATGTTTGGATTTTGGCTGTAAATTCGGTAGGAGACAGTAAAAGAACAGCTCATCAAAGAGATTTACTGGAAAGAAAGATAAAAACGGTGCCTAGAAAAATGTAAGTTCCCAAAGTAAAAAACATTTTGTCTGTCGGAAAAGCACCTCTTGAAAGTGTGTCTGTATATATTTGTGTGAGTATGGATGTAGTACACTGCGCTACCATGTTTTTCACTTAAGTTGCCAATGCTGACCCAAATCTATCCTGAGAACAGTGTCAATGTCCTTAGGCTGCCCAGAGAGACTAATTGTGCTCCTGTTTATATTTACTGTTTCTGTCTTACTTTGAAGTTAAGAAATGAGACAGAAATTAGTGTTAAAAAGTCGCATTCAAAGTCATTGCTCTTGATCCACTGTTCTATTTCCGTAACTGCATGCTGCCACTTTGAGCTGTTGGTTTTGCCCCCGCTGCTCTCCTCACTGGGACTTTAGACACCGGGATCTTGGTCCTGTTGGCTTGTGGGATTTGAGAACCATGTTTTACTGGTATTTTACTGGAATCACGCGGGGAATTGCTGGGGGCCTTTGATAGCATCTGCGGGCTCTCCTCCGGGCTGTACTTAGAAGTAACCACAGCTATCTCAGAAACTGGGATTGCAACTTTGCCTTTTCCTTCGCGTGAGTTCAAGTGAAGGACCGGTTCCTCAGGCGCAGGTGTAGCTGTGTCCTTATTTGCCTCCTCCTCTGAGTTCTGGCTCACACGTACCGGGATTTTGCCCACTCTGCCCCCACCGACAACTGGAATTTTGCTTACTCCTGTGGTGCTATGTCCTTGCGATGTCCTCTTTCTGTCTTCTTTCAATTGCTGTGAGTCTTCCTGTAATACATCTCGTGGCTCTGGAGTTTTTGCACTTGTCAAGTTTCTGTCTACTGTAAATGTGTCACTTTCTCTTTTTTCCCTAGCCATGCCGCTGTCCCGGGGCAGTGGGGTAGAGGAAACGGGGCAGGAGGAAGTTTGTGAAAGTGCAGTGTGCGTGAAAGTAGTAGGAACAGAGGGGATTTGTGGAGAAGATGCAGAGATTTGTGATGTCTGAGTGGATGTTTTTGAAAGAAAAGAAGGCATTTCAGAAGGTGCTGGGGACATTTTAGGTTGTGAAAGAGATAGAGGTCCATCTTTAGATACTGAAAGTGAGGAAGAGGGGGCTTTAGAGATTTGGGTCAAAGCAGATGCTGGAAGCTGACTTGGAATCGTCCCATTTAAATAAACAGCAGCAGTATTTGTCATAGGCAAAGCTTGACTGTTTAATATTGTAGGTGGAACCGGTTCAGCACTCACTTGGCTCTTAGCAAAAGTTGCGTTTGTTGAACTTGAATTTTCGCTGACAAGAGGTTGAAATGTTTTGTTCAGACCTGCTGTGCATAACTGAGCAGGTGGAGATATACTTGGTGTAGATACTGATATGGCTGCAGAGTTAACTTCTGTTGTTGTCGTCTTTGATGAGATAAGTGGCGTAGGCGGCAAGGGTTGGGCTGAAATTGGATATGACACCGATACTGTCACTGGGACTTTGTTGTAAGAGGTGGCTTGAAAACTGCTTGTCAAATCCGGTTTAGACATTGAGGATAGTGTGAATGGGGTAGTTTTAGGTGGGCTAACCATGGCTGGAGGTGGTGCGGTTTTAAACCAGAATGATGATGTTGTTTTGGTAGTTTCACTTGTTTCAGATGACGCTTTAGTAGCAGTAGCTGGAGTATTCGGAGGAGCCGTGGTATGTTTCATTGTAATCGTTGGGGAAGACATAATCGGTGTGATTGTTATTGGGGTTGCTGAAGGTTTCGTGGCAGCTGTTGTGATATTTGCTGCCATCTCGTTAGCCGGTTTAATGGTGGGTGTTGTCAACGTTGTGGATTTGGTCAACGTGGTGATGATGCTGCTGGGTTTCATGGGAGAGGATGGAGCCGGCGAAGAAGGCAGCGCGGCGTGAACAGAGTTGAAGTGTTGAGGCGAAACCGAGGACGAGGGCGACGAGAGGGGCTTTAAAAGAGCTGCACTGGCTTTGCCCCACTCGGCCTCCACGTCCGCCATGATGTCCCCACCTCCCGAGATGGAGTCAAAGGTGAGGAGAGAGGAGATGTCAGCCAATAGCGTGCTCAGGCTGTTCTCACCGGGAGCCATGGGGGCCTGCGCGAGAGGTAGTGACTCACTGGGCTCACTGCCTGGGGTCACAGCTCTGGTAGGGGACGTGGTTGAGCTGTCCTGAGCTGTTAGACTCTGGATGGTGGGGTCCGAGCTCTCTGTCCCGGGGCTGCCCAGAGAACGTGGCTGCGATTTGGGGGTCAGCGTCAGGTCCTCTTTGATGATTTCCACGCTGTTACTCCTGGATGACATTAACAGCGGACTTGGTGGGACCTCTTCCTTCTCATCCTTGTCCTTTGAGCGAAACTTTACATTTCCAAACAACCCCTTGATGCCCCTGCGCTGGCGCCCTGTGGACTGGGATACGGTGTGCACTCTACGGTCCCCCGTTCCCCTCCGACCACCTCTGAGGATTGAGAGGAAGCCCAGAGACTTGGCCGAACAGGCAGAGGAGATGGATGCTCGTGCAGGAGCGGCCGCCAGCACGCCATCTTCGCCCAGTGGTCCCTCCTCTCCCTGCTCCTCGTCTCCTTCAATCTTTTCCCCCTCTGAGTCATTAGCAGCAGAATCTGGCACATCCAGAGTCTTGCTCCGGTGCAGTGGGGACTTGTTGTTGCTCTCGCTCTTGCTTCGAATAGAAAATATGTTACCAGGCTTGCGTTTCCCAAACAGCTTGAAACCCTTTCTGATTTTCCCGCTGGGCTGCGTCTCGGATGGTGGTGGAGGATCCTTGTTCTCCGTCTGCACATCCATCTTCTGTGTGTTGCCCTTGCTCCTGGTCTCCTCCCGTCACTCGTAAATATTAATGAATCCTCAGGGAGCGATATGCAATATTGGTATCCGCGTGTAGCCTTATGTCACCTCAGCAGCACACAGCGTTACAGTCTGTGTGTGTGTCCCTCCCTCTGTCTATCTCCCCATCCAGCTCTTTCTCCTCTATTTCTCTCTCCAAAGCCACTCCCCTTTGCCTCGATTTTTTTTGTCTGGCTGCTCTCTGCTGGTTGCTATGGAAACTGAGGGCCTAAGCAGCTTTCTTCAGCGCTGCGGAGCTAGGGGCAATCAAGGAGGCACCCTGTACACCTCTCTCTCTCTCCTCTCCTCAGTCCATCGCTGTCTGATGACTGTTTACATAAGGGCCACAAACAAACACTCCTTTTAACACAGCCAGATTCTGGATTTCTCATTTATCCGCTTTATATAAACGCCTCTATCCCGGGTAATGCTGAGGCTTATGCAGATTTGGTATAACAGTGTTCAACTATCAAAGGGTGATGCATCTCTACATACAAGTCTAATCATAACTAATAACTTCATTTAAAGGAAAGAGATTAATCATTTAACAGCTCCTCTACATAATAGTGATCCCTTAATCCAGCATTAACCCTTTCATCCCTGCATTAAAGGGTAAAGTGTCTTGCTCAGGGGCACAACAATAATGCATCATACTTATTTAGCGCTCTTTGGGACACTCAAAGACGCTTCACACGGTATTATTCATTCACTCCATATGTTACAGCAATACAATGGTAAACTACTATTATAGCCACAGCTGCCCTGGGACAGATAGGCGAAAGTGAGGCTTCTAATCTTTGCCATCAACCCCTAAGACAATAGCAAATAATTCACACTTATATACATGCTCACACACAGTTGAGAGCCTTAGCCGCGCACAGAACAACAATTAGTCCCAGACACAGGCACAAGTTTATATGGATGTGACATTATAATAATAAATATTCTTTTACCAGATATATAGGGCCCTGATTTGAGGTTTTTTTGAGGTTTGTGTTGGGTAAGATGAGGACCTCACTAGAGTTCATAATCAGATAAAAACTCTTCTGTGACTTTCTGAACATCTTGATAGTGCAACCAATGTTAGACAACAATGAAACCATTCTAACGCATTATATAATTTTTATATCTACTAAGAAAATCGTACAGTTTTGCTTCGAGTTGTTTAGGGATAATTGAGGAATTGTTTGCAGTTTGGTCCCGTTTGTGTTTCTCAATCTGCTTAAGCATTTAGGCATATTCAGTAAGGGAACGTGCGGGACGGTGCTCAGGCACTCCCTCTTGTGGAGAAAAAGGTTAATTGACAAAAAGAAGAGCAGCGTTGAGGCTATTTTTGGAAAACCATTTTGTCATCCTGAAGCTTTAATAGCAACACAAATTGGAACAGCTTGATCTAAAAATATAACTGTGACAATGCAAAGATGGACACCAGATTTTTCAGTTAGTTTGTATTCTATTTTTACAGTTCCATTTCTGAAAAGATAAATATACATAAAAAAATACAAAGGAGTTTTTTACCTGTGCATTAAATTGCTCACAGTACATAGACCTTTCAGGGCATTGATTTGGAAACTCATACACTCAATGTAAACAGTCTTTGTTTGTGTTTTGCATAATAGTAAATAAATGTAAAAATTCATATCTAGCGTCTAAAAATAGTGACTAGTTCTACACATCATGCTCCTCAGGGGGGGCCTTCAGAGCCACGCAGCCGTTGTGAGTGTTGTCCGGCTCTTCGGGGCAGTCGTACATGCGGCGATACAAACACCGAGTGACCAGTGTTATGATAAACATCTCCACGATCATCATCTGCTGACTGAGCACTGCCACAACAGACACAAAGGTTTACTTTAATCATGGAGGAGAAAGACAAGGAACAAATGTGGGAAGAAGCTTACTGGAGCCGCGGGCCTGAGAGGAGAAGGGAGGGGAGCAGGCGATCGTCCCATCCAAGGCCAAGATGTTGATGATGGAGGTCTGCAGCTGACTCAGCACCAGGACCAGCTGTAGGAATGTGTCAACAAACCAGCACACAACAACAAGGAGTGTGAATTATGGTTAAAAGACAAAATGAATCATTCTTGTTCAAATTGACTTTAGATTAAAATAAATTATTATGACACATGTTTCAGTATATATATCACATCAAAAATCCATCCATTGTTATCTTGAGCATCACTAAATACATAATTTGTCCACTTTAGTCACATACAGTCCTAGCTCAGATTTATCAGTTCAATCTAATCCACTTTAATTTTTCTTTTATTTATTTATAAAACATGTTCCCAAAGTGCTGCTCAAAGACCAAAGACAAAAGTAAAAAAAAAAAAATAATAATATATATATATATATATATATATATGTCAGAAAACTAAACTTGACCGGATAATCAAAGCATTTAAAACCTGTTACGTGACACATTTTGAGACCACCCTGATGCTGAGACTGACCTGGTACATGGCGTATTTAGGGACCATCCTGAGATGTCCCAACAGTCCTTTCGTGTTCATGAATGTGATTCCCACAGGCCACAGGGAGATGATGGTGAGGACTCCTATGAACGGGTTTATCCAAATAGCCGTGCCGGTAATCTCCAGCTACAACAGGACACAAATTACAATCTGTTTAAAGCTCATGCACCTAACTTTCAAACCATAAAACATTTAATGAAATAATTGTGATTTGTTCCTCACTCTCTATTCTAGTTTTCCATGTATCGTTGACCTCACTTCCTTAGATCAGCTTTTTCAGACAGAAATGTGGAAAAAATAGGACTCCCAAAGTGTCCAGTGGTATGCAACTGTTTTCTAATAAGACATTTTACATTAACCATATTCTTTCTGTTGAAAAAAACAACATGGATTATAAAACCAAATCATTTAGGTACTCCAGCTTTAATAATGTCAGCACCTCATAATGATAATACAAGAATTTGTTTCCTAGTTTGGTGGTTTGAAAGTGAGCTATTCAAGCTTGAAGTGACGGTTACTCACATCTGAGAGATCAAAGTTCCCATTGGTCCACAGAATAATGCAAAGGATGGAGAGGACCGTTTTGAGGATGGCATATTGTAGAGCACCCAGCTTCAACAGGAACAACATGCGTCTAAAACATATTCATTGTAATATTGTTTTAATATGATGGGTGTGTCATTGACTGCATGGTTTATTTTTGTATTTGTTATTTTTACCTGGACATGGGCACTCTGGGCAGGCACACACAGCAGCAGCAGCATGGTCCTGTGCTGATCTTAAACGGTTGTCCAGAAAACCTCTTCAGGAATCCACTACTGCCCCCCAACTCCTCCACAATCAGCATGAGGACTTTGTACACTACCACTGCGAAATAACTGTACAGGCCACGGTCAGGTTTTACAGGGTCATACAAAAAGGCCAATAAAAACCAGCGCTTGTTTGAAGAGGAGCACACAAGGTCTTTGAACAAGTGGCGTGACTAATGATTCATCCACGCTTTACTAGAGAGCATAATCTCAAGGTCGAATGGTAAAATTGGAAATGTCTTTTAGATAAAAGAGCACTCACCAGTTGGATGTCATGTCTGTGAACATCACGGCTCTGGGGATCCACATCCCGAAGCAAGACATGGTGGCAATACACTGAAAAGACAGATCCTATTTATTGATTTTTTTTATAGGTGAAAATACAGACATGTTCAGCTCAATTCAATGTATTCTTGTCTAGCCCTAAATCACAACAAAGTAGTTATCTGAGAGGACTTTACAAAACCGTTGAATTTGCCAACACAGATCAGAGAATCAAACACATATGATACAAGTGCAGACAAACAAGTATAAACAAATACAATAAGACATCCACAAAGAACAGACAACACTGTGGACTTTTAGGTGAGAGAATCTATATTTATGTCTGCTTGTGATTGGAATGGTCTTTATTTTAGGGTACGTTCACATTTCAACTGGACCTGGTTCACAAGAAGTTCACTTAATCCTCACTACATTGTTGAGGATAGTTGGGGTGACTATGGGACCAGGATACACTTGTTTGGTGCTTTCACATCTTTTTTTAGAGTTCGTTTCAATTGGATCAAGTGTGAAGTGTAAAGCTTGGGTACCTAACCTTTGTTTTTATAAATAATTATAGTTTGTCCAACAGAAAGAGACTTGTAAAAGTAAGAAATGATAAAGTCAGACCACAAAGTACTGTCTTCATCTCATGAGAAAACATTAACTTCTGCATACTTGTAAAACAGATCCCTGTGAGTCACTTTTTTCAGTTTTTGACTCTTGACTGGAAGCTGATTGCCTGAAAAAGGGTTGTCTTCTCTTTTTCACTTTTCTGTCTGAAAAAGCTAATCTGAAGAGGCCAAATGTACATGTATGTGTATGTAAAAACTAGTCATAACATTTTGAAATCATTAAATATTCCATGTTTGGTACCCCAGCTTTAGTGTCATCCAACATGAAAAAATGTAATTATTTCCAACACCAATTAAAGACCTATTTAAGTTTCACTCCATTTGAATGTACTGAGACTGAGATATGGTCTATATCCTTTTATTTAATTATTTTTTTACCATTCAAAATACAGTTATAACTGCTGAAAACAATAACTGTGTTTTTCCATCCTATAAAACCCAGGAGTAGAACTCACCGGCGCTGCTCCATTGATCCAGATGATAGTGGTCTTTTTGGGGTACGGTACTTTTCTGTAAATATATACGCACGTGTCTAAATACAGAATCAGCGAGAGGCAGGACATGAAGGTCAGCATGGAGTACAGGCACATCCCAAACACATCCAGTTCTGAGGGAAAAGGGGGAAAAAACAGGCATCACATCACTGAATATGTTTGTATGACGTTAAGTCGTCAATATCAAGGCCTTATTCTTGTTTATTTAATTCTGCAAAGATAATATGTTATCTGGCCTCTTTCAAATTAGTGGAAACTTTTCTGGTTATTGTGTTAAATGTTAAGTAAAGCTATTAAACCTACCTTGTAATGACATAAGGAGTAAGGATCAAAATGTATACTTCATTATTGAGAGAAAATTATAAATATACAATAAAAATCATTTGTGACATCAGAGTCTGAAGTCTAAGTTGTCTGTTCACAAATCATACAAAAATTGGCTCAAAGTAACAGTAAATAATTCTTTTTACACGGAAAATGTGAAATTCTCGTCTAAATCCCAATTATCAAGAGTTCTTTTAGGGCACGTGGAGGTCTGGTTCACTTTAACTGGTCCCATTTTAGTTCACTTAGGGGAAAACATGCTACACAGATTCACATTGATGTTAGTTTACATCTATTAAAACATTTCTGTGAAGCATTTGTTGAACCAGAGAAGAGTGAAAGCATCACGAGGAAAGAGTCAAACATGCCTCACTCACCTCTTATCACGTCAATGGCCAGAGGAGGCTCTTGTAAACATGAAGGATGTATTGTACTATTTAACATCTCCTCCAGGTTTTCCATGTTTAGTTCCAAAAAAAAAAAAGATTGAAAATAAAATAACGACAAACAGTGAAAGGTGCAGGTGTGTGATGGTGGCGCAGAGAAGTGAAGCTGTGGAGCTCAGAGCCTCCGGTAACTCATTCATCCACTAAATGCAGGTCAGTGACATATCCAGCATTACTGTAATGTGTCACTCAACATGAACTTTGGCAAGGCGTGCCATTTCCGAGCCATTGATTTCATTTTCCTGTTAATAGTTTGAGGACATTTCACTTTTCAATACAACATTTGTTTTTAAATGTGAATTACACATTTTCAGCATTCAACATTTCAACATTTTCAAGAGTCAGTTCAGCAACAACAACATGTGTGATTTCTCAGGACTTTCTTATCAGTGCTTGAGAAGTAAGAGCATTAACTGCTCGGTCGTTCACCTCGTGTGGACGTTTTTATCTGTTCTTATTAACATGAACAATGTACAGTCAGTATTTATGAGGACTCCTGTCTGTCAATCATCCATCATCCGAACGCTACAAACACAGTGTTGTTATTGTAAAGTATGGATATTACTATTTACTGGGATAAGCATGTATTATATTTGTATTGCAATGATTATTGTTTCTAAAATGTAACTGAGTAACACTACTTTGTTACTTTTGGTCCAGAGCATTAATTATGATCTCACTGATTCATAATTATTTAACTGTGGTGTAACTCAAATAATAAATGGTGACTGGTACTGATTGCATTTCTATTATTAAACAGTGTTCCTGAAATTACATTAGATTTTAAAATATATGATGCAGAGAAAGAACTGAAAGAAGCTGTTAAACAAGTATCAACAAGAAAATCCCAAAACGTTTAACTGCAAATGTATTTTCTTGAAAGATATAAAACAATTATTGATCTTGTCTTTCCATGGACTTGTGTGAGTGAGTGTCATTTATAGGTTTGTTGTAAGTGAAAAAATAAATAAACAATAAAAAGAATAACAATGAAAATACATTAAAAGTTTATACAATTCAGAAATCCTTCATACAAATTGTACATTTCATCTTTAGTTCAATCATTGAATAAAAAAATCATTCAACTTCATTTTTCATTTGACTAAATGATTATTCAAATTAAAGGTTTCACTGTGGGTTAATTCTTAGTAAAAACTGGTCATTATGTTTCTAAGCTGTTGAAATATTATACAAAAACATTTCACAAATAAATAAAACTTCCAAAAATACAAAATAAAAATAAATTATTACAGTTATAATTGTGCAACAAAAATGTGGTCTTTGGAGAGATTTAGGAGTAAGATTCAGTCACAAGGAAATCAAAATAAATACAGAAAAGTTAAAAGCGTGATGTGACTTCATTAAATCTCCATAAAACATTATCTACAGGAACTTTTGACGGTGTGCAGTGGTAGAAAATACTGAACCACCTGATAAAACATTAAATCCAACACAAGAATCAACCTTTTAGAAAACAGTATTAAAACCATTACAGATGTCGGAATAGATAATTTACAGAAAAATATAAAAAAATGGTTGATCTCATTTAACTTTGGGGTCAACCATTAAAAAGACTAAGGTGCAATTGTTAGTGTTTGTCGCTCTGTTGTGAATATTATAAGGTTTTAGGACATTTGCAAGACTTTTTTATTAGTTTATCGTTATGAAATTAATCATTATACGCAACCACTACAACAAGTCCTTCCTTTATTCCTAAATGACATAAAACACAAGTATGTTCTAGTCTGAGCGTGGAGACGGTTGTTCTGCTCCTCCTGAAAGTGCGAGCAGTCGGTAAGGCCTCGTGAATGCTGGAATTCTAAAACCTGCACAAAATATCGATAAACGTTAAAAAAGAAAAGAAAAAACCATACGAAACTCAAAACGAAGCAGAAGAAAGGGTTGGCTACTTACTATGGCTCGTTCTCTATTGCCACAGAATCAACTTGTCCTTTAAAACAGAAGACATTAACTTAAATATAATCATTTTCATCCATTTGTTATTATTTTTCTACTCTAACAATAAGTCTAAGAACAATATCATACCTGTGTTGTTGTTGTCCAGAGCGGGCTGTGCGTGATTACCAGACTGACATATACTTGTTGCACCATCCACAGGGCCGCGACTAACACCCAGACAAATACTTTTATTAAAACATTATCTTTTAGAATAAAGCTGGGGTATCTAATTTTTAACATTATTTTTTATTTAAATCACATCTAACTAGCTCTCCCAATAATTTGAGAAATGCAAGTATTTTTGGCCTCACATCTTTTAGAGAGAAACGTGAAACAGAGAAGACCCTCGCTCAGATGGCGGTGTAAAAGAGAAAACATCTAACAAGATAAAAACTTGTGGTCTCATTTGTTCGCAACATTTAACTTTTACAAAACTCTTTCGGTCGAGACAAACAAAATGTATGTTAAAAGTTAGGTACCTCAGCTTTCATGTGGGTTAATTTCATCGTATTTAATATATATAATGTAAATAATAATGTACGAACCTGTTTCCATTTTGCTGAAGTATGTTGTTTGCATGTTCAGGATCTATATGAACCAACCTTGTGACAAATGAATGTCCGTCTCCAAGGCTGGGAAAATGAAAGCAAAAAAGCGTAACTTTAAAACTGTAGGCAAAATAAAATATGGTAAATTAAATTATTATTATACAGACCCAGAGAAAACTGGGAAAAACCAGTATCTTGGTTGATCGCCAAAGACTTCAGCCCAATTCCTTTTAAAGCCTAAAGAAAAGCCATTTTTATCCGGCCCATTGGAAAAGGCTGGAGCCCTGGAAGCCTCTAAATAAAAAAGAGGAATTAAAAGACGGTGAAGAAAACTATAGAGAATACTGTAGGACAAGAAAACTGTTGAACACCTATTGTGGTTCGATTCTTCCCCACGAGCCAGAGGTGATAACTGAACAGCGACATGATGCTGATGAAGAACAAAGCTGCCACTAAGAACAGGAATAATATGTGGAACTTGGCGTGAGTGTCAGGAAGCAGTTTCTGAAATCACACAAACGTCACAATAACTATCAGTCTGTTGAGGGATTCTTCCACAAAACATATTCATTTCTCCGGTAATAAAATATATAACATAATTTCACATTGAGCAGTAAAGTGGCAAACTGCAGTTGTGTCCTTAGGCAAGACACTTTACCCACATTGCTCAGAATGTGTCTGGTGTGTGTGTGTGTGTGTGTGTGTGTGTGAATGGGAGGTGGTGGTCGGAGGGGCTGATGGCACATACTGGTTGCCTCGCTTCCGTCAGTGTGCCCCAGGGCAGCTATCACCACCGTGTATGGAGTGAATGGACGCCTTTGAGTGTCCAAAAAAGCGCTATATAAAACCGATGCATTATTATTATATACATCCAATAGAGCCCCATAATAATCACAAACTATATACAGCAGGGGTCTCCAACCAGTAGCTCGACACCCCCTTCCAGGTCGCTCGCCAAAGGATTTAGAAATGAACAAATCAAATAATAATGAGTCATTCTGAGATTATTGAGTGTGATTAGGTTCAGGTGTGTAGCTTTACAATTATCTTAGTGTGTAAACAAGGGTGGATTGAGACTTTCTGGTCTGTAAACTATTGCTTTAAGCAGCAATGACAACTGTCTGTTTTTTTTTTCTAACCCACAGCCCAGACCACGCCCAACTCTAAGCCCCCCTTCTTGTCCCTTGGTCCTCCAGGCAACGCCCTTTTTAGAGAAAATGTTCAAATCTGCATGTGGGCGGAGTAAGGCTGGGCACAGGTGTTTAGTCGCTCTTTCATAATTCAAATTGTAATATTCATTATCATCATTCCATCCATCCATCCATTTTCTTCCCCTTAATCCATTTCTGGGTTGGGGGGGGTGGCAGTCAGAGCTGCACCCAGGACACAGAGCACCAGCCCCTCACTGATCCTCCTGCAGGTGGTGAGTCCACAGGAGCTGAGATCTTTCAGTGGGGGCTTTGGGCAAAGTAGGGTTAAGTGTCTTGCCCAAGGACACAACGACAGCAGTCATCAGTGGGAGTCGTGAAGTAGGTCTTACGGTGGACTCAAACC